TGGGGGTAACATAGAAAAATCCGGTCACGCGATATCGCGTGTTGAGTCGGGCGCTCGAGCGCGCCCGGCACAAAGAGATCGACCTAGCAGTTTACGCGAAACAATATTAAATAGTAAAAAATGAAACGTAGAATAGAAAATAGCGTGACGCGAAAATTGACATTGTAGTGTTAAAACACGCCTCGTGTCGATTACCGGTATAAGTTGCTAATTTTTCGTTCGCTAAACGAAAGCGAATTGGCGCGAAAGCATCGATTCCGGGTAAAATTTTTGACGGTGGAATAACGAGCGTCGACTGACCTGTAACCCGTGCGAAAAGTTCACTCGTCCGTGACACTAGCTTCTGATTTTAGGCAGAGAAGGGCAGCCGGCCGGAGGAATCTTCATCGAACGTTCACTATCATCGTGAGTCTTGAACTAGACTGTGCACCAGGCACCGAAGAACTCGTTCCTTTCCCTCTTCCTTTTCTTTCAGTCCAGCTCAAGCTGGAGGCGGAGGGACACCCGAAGGTTGCCCTCGGCTTTAAACGAAACGAAAATGGTTAGCATATCACGGCATCATAAATCGAAGCATCTTCGCGCCAACACGGTTCGAACCACTAGATCGTTGCATGTCCTCCGCCAGTTGAGTTACGATCGGCAAAACTCGACGTGTTTCCGATACGCTGTATCAAGAATACGATCGATGTTAAACAAACGATTTGTTTAAACAGGATAGATAAACTAGCGCTGTTCGAGTTTCTACGCGTACACCGCGGATGCGTTTATGTAACGCAACAGGAAAGTGGTGACGAAACGTTGCTTTATTTGTTCTCGAGAAAAATACGGAACCAACATCGTCGATTCGAAGAGAACGCGATAGCAGCATGGTTATAATTTAATAACCGTAGTGACGCGCGATCGTTAGGCACGTCGAATTATTCGTACAATCGGGAACGAGTGAGAAAAATTTGCCAATACTCGACAGATTTTCACGGGAGTCGACCGTGTTTTCATTACATCACAATTTTACTTACTACTGCGACGTCACGTTGACTCCGTGCGCCAAGTTCCCAGCGAAATTTCAGCTGATTCCTTCCAACATCTTACCGGGTCTCTAGATCGCTCGGAGTTTCGATGAAATTTCGATTCCGTACATGGTACGGAGATAGACGAGTTCACTTTGATCGTTTGGCGTTAGATGCACTTGATTGTATGGTCGGTAAATCATGCGAAACGCATGGGTAAAAGCTACGGGGTGGGAGATTCCTCCTTCCAGGACCTGTACACCACCGGTTCTCACCTTTATTCGTACCAACACATAACCAAACTTGACCACCATATATTATTCTCGGCGAGTGAGCAATATAACGTGGCGATATAACGCGTGACTACGTGTAGAATGTATGACAATATCGTTGCGATATACGCGTATAGAGATCTAGCTATAACGCGCGGAGATCCAACGTGTATCGATATATCGCGTGGACCGCATGGAGATTTAAACCGTGGAAATATAACGCGAGATGGAACGCGTAGCGATATATCGCGTGGAAATAGAAAGCGTAGAGATCTAACGCGTGGAAATAGAAAGCGTCGAGATCTAACTCATGAAAGTAGAACGCGTAGAGATCTTGCGGCGATATATTGCGAGGCAATATAACGCGTAGAGATCTAACTCGTGAAAATATGACGCGTGGAAATAGAATGCGTGTAATTCTACTTGGGTAGCGATGTATCATGTGGCAATATAACGAGCGGCAATATAACGCGAGGAAATTTAACGCGTGCAAATTTAACTTATAGAAATAGAATGCGTGGAGTTCTACTCGCGTAGCAATATATCACACGGCAATATAACGCGTGGCAATATATCGCGCGGCAATATAACGCGAGGAGATTTAACGCGTGCAGATTTAACTTGTAGAAATAGAATGCGTGCAGTTTTACTTGCGTGGCAATATATCATGTGGCAATATAACGGCAATATAACGCGTGGAAAGTTAACACATACGATTGAAAGTGTGGTAATATAACATGAAGCTATATACAAAGTAACAAGTATAGTACGTGACGATATAACACACGGCTATACGCGTAACGACATGTACATGATAAAATTATCGAAAACAAAATGGAGATAAACACTGTTCGTTTAAATAAAATAATAAAATATTACATATTATTCCATCGGGACCGGCATGATACCGGCGAGAATCTTCTCTCCGTCCGAACAGTCGTGGTTTGGTTTCGGTGAATCTTCTTTTTATCAAGGTACGTTCTTTCTTGTTGCCTTTTTGCCGCCTCGTCACGTTGCTTTCGCTTTTTTTCTTTTCTCCGACTTCTCTTCTTTTCCTTCTCCTTAATCATTATCCTGCAGGTTGCTTATCAGTTTTTATTTGAAAACGCGCGCCGCTATTTTTAACCCGGCCATTCTTCTTCCTCGCGGTCTTGTTTCTTTCCTGACCGTCTTTCTTCTTAACCGAGAAGTCACGACCGGCTACTCTTTCCCGCGAGTAAATGAAATAAAAGTACATCGACGCGAAACTGCTGATGATGTTCCACGAAGGAATAACATTTTTCTGTTGTTATGTAAATATATGTAACTTCCTTTTTTCGGGAAATTGCGTTCAAGATTATTTGCGATGATCGTTCAATTTTATTTTTCCGTTTAATTATTGTTAAAAATAAAAATAGACGCACATTCGTGTGTGCCAAATTGTTTAACACGTTAAATATCCCCACAGTCAACAGTTGACTGACAATTTGAATTTTGTATAATGGAATAATTAGTAAAAGACGAGAAGACAAACTTCGAGTTACGTCAATATTGTACTAACAACGTAAAATAACAGAGAGGGAGATTAAATTCAATAATTAATTTTAGTATTATTAAATATAATAATTTTCATTTTTTTAAATTTCCATTTCAATATTTGTCTCCGCACTTTAACAATTAACGCGTTAACGTGAAATTACTTCTCGCTCAAAATTTTGTCTTGGAATAATTTGATACATTGGACGTATGTACAATGTGATGTAAAAAAAGAATTAAAAAATCGATGATAACAGTTATATTTATTAGCGATGCGAGTATAGCTGGAAGTAATTGAGCGGATTCAATATTAGCCTGGTCTGGTTAAGAATAGCCACGGTGGGAATCCCGTTTGACCACCTTGCGTGCCAGTTGTTTACCGACTAAATTAGGGTGAATGTTCCGTTGTGCAAAAGCTATCGTTATTTTGTTACCGAATAACAATATTAAATTTTGCGATAATAATTGAACCAGTCATTAAGTCCTCTCGAGTGAGCTAATAACGTAATCAAATAAAAAAATCATTATACTTCAATATTTAAAATCATGGTTTGATATTTTCTTCCCTTTTCATATTTTTTGTAAAAGGATTTATGACTTACAACAATAGCATTTTTATGTAAAGATTTGGAAAAAATTCTTAGGAATTTATTAAATAAAGAATGTCTATATTTTATTTTTTTTCTATACTTCAATAGTAGTAATCCAAAATTGTTAAATGTACATTGTTCATAAATACAAAAACAATATTGTTAATAAATTAATGCTTTATATATTTGCATCGTACATTTAGATTAATATAAAAAAAATCTTGTTACATAAGTTTTTTTATTTCTCTCCAAAAATTAATATATAAATTCAGTATGTAAAAATATGTTTTATAGTAACAGTAGATGAAATTTATATTATTATCATAGTATTTGTACTAGAATATGAAAACAAGTATTTTTATTTGTTATATATTTAAGTTACACAATTTGTGAATTTTGTAATTACATTGTATATGTTTTATAAATACTATTACAATATTGGTTCCTTTTGTAATTCAATACATTTTGCAGTACATTATTGAGTTTTTATTACGCGTGTTAAATCATACTTCTTTTGTCGAGAAATTCGTACAAATATATTCAAATTTAAATAATATAAAGTATTTACAGAAGCGTCTTAACAACCCATTGCTTTTTACAATTTTATAAAAATCATAACTAATAAATACTTTTTTAATGATTAGACAATGATATGGTAACCATATTTTAAATTTGATACTTTTGTGTATGACGTTTGTACAAATTATTTTTTGCTTCAAAAACATTTAAAAACCAAAAACTATTCTTCTTTTCCTGGTTGGAGACATAATTACATACTACGAACTGTTATCTTTTTTTAATTGTTTGTTTATCATTTGAAACTTATTAAATATTGCAAACATTTGTTTTTTAATTATGTATTACTGTCAATAGTTTGTTAGAAATTATGCAAAATGTTACATAATAATCTAAAATAATTCATTATTATTTTATATTATCCACTATAATTTCATTTTAGTATATTGTATATATTTTTTTTTAGGTGCAGCATTCAGAATACTAACATTTTTTATATTATATTATGTACTTGAGAGTTGTACTAATTTATTATTCACTAGTGCTATTGTTAGTACATAAAAAAACTTATTTTTCATATGTTTTATACATTTTAATATAATAAATGTAAAAGGCATAAAAATGAGGACGTGCGTCCATTGTTTAAATTATAATTTTAATAATAAATTAGAAATGATCTAGTATGTGTGAGATAAGAAAATAAGAACATTATTTTAATATTTTACATACAATACTCTTTTCTTCATTAATGTAAATTGATTAGTCAATTATTTTATTATTAGCTACTTCGTAAAAGAACTATGTTACAAAAAAATATATCTATCCTTAGAACACAGAATCAACGATTAAAGAGGTATAACGTTGTATCTAAAATATTTTGTATTAAAATAATTTTCCTATAAAAGGTCAAAATTGATTTTCCAAATAGATAGCTGTTTACCTGGTTATATACAATTGAATGTTAGACTAAACATCTTATACATAATATACAGGGCATCACATACTTGTTTTCAAGAGGTTTCTAAAAGACAAAATGTATGCACATCTAATTGAATCAAATATTCAATAAAAACAATTAAACGTGTAAAAAATGTGAAGAGAAAGGAGAAATGGTCACAGTAAAAGTAAAAGACCATTCAAATATCTCTTGCAACATAAGTAGCTGATAAGATATCATACGATAATCAATATCAGAAGAGTGGTTATAAATAAACCACAGGTAAAGCAGAATTTCTAACACAATACATTTTAGTATGTAGTAATGGTTAAATAATGTAGCAATCTGCAATTAAAATAATTCCGAATACCAATTTTCAAATATAATGTTATTATCGTTTTGCTGTAGAAGACGGAAAAGTATAGTGATTGGATATAATCAAGGCACCCTGTATATTATCCCATTTTGTGAGAAGAAATGATCATGTTATTAAAAAGTTTGTTAGAATAGGATTACATGTATATATAAAATTTATCTTCGTTGGTAAAAATTATGAGCTAGCAATTCTGTTTGTATAAATAAGTTTTGCTACCAGAAAGATGCCATTTTGGTATTCCTCATAGAACAGTTAAATACGTTTGACAAGATTCATTGGTGTCTTAAAATTATACCACCATTTGTGCTTTCATAATTGCCATTATCAAATTTGTAATTTTCGTATTAAATTAGTCATTTCGTAATATTTAACTGATCAAGAATACATTGTATATTACAACATACAACACTTTTTTTTGTTCTTTTTATCATTTAACTTTAGCGGTGGTCTTTCAGATAACTGAAATTTTCTAACAATTCTTACTAATTCATGAAAAGCTTGATCTACATTCATTCTTAATTTTGCACTGCACTCTATATAAGGTATTTTTAATTGACGAGCCATATTTTGAGCTTCTTCGACTGACACCTACAACAAACAGTTTAAATTAATGTAGTATTTATTACTTACTTATAATAACAATAACATTGACTTACAACTCTGTGATAATCCAAATCTGCTTTGTTCCCAACCATAAGCATAGGAAATTCATCACGATCTTTTACTCTAAGAATTTGTCTATGAAATTTCAATATTTCATCGAAAGATGAATGGTCCGTTACTGCAAATACAAGGAGAAAACCTTCGCCACTTCTCATGTACTGTTCTCGCATTGCACTAAACTCTTCTTGACCTGCAGTATCTAATACTAAAACATCATAAAATATTATTAGTCTAATTATTCCAACTATTATAGAACATATAATATTTTAAATATTTTTTCGAGCTTCATTACTTTAAGTCTTTGATTAAATACTGGTTAAGAAATTATAGTCTTACAATAACAAACCCTTGGTTCATTATGGAACTGCATGAAAATCAACATAAAATATAAGTTATAACAGTTATTACGCTTATACAAACAACTTTCAAACAATAATCAGTGTACAGTATCATGGTCCCAATAATTTACTTACTGTCAAGTTTTGCAGGTATATCATCAATAACACATTGTTTGGTATAAGAATCTTCGATGGTTGGGTCATAATCAGTTACAAAATAGCTCTGGAAAGTGTTAATAAAATCAATATAGACAATAAGAAAATAGTGCATAGGTGTTCTATTTCCAATCTAATGTATAACAATATATTTTCTAAACATAAAAAATTGTGACAAAGAAAAAGAAATTTTTATTTTCCATTAGAATTGAAATATGTATTATACATTATTGATACAAGATATGAGCACAGTACTCTCATTTCATACATTATCAGGATAACATGCAAATTCATCAAACAAAGCATTGCAAAGTTATATGACTATATTAGCAGTGCAATCCCTGATTGTGTAACATAATCGGTAGAAGAATGTAACGCGTTCTTCTAATGTTTAGATTAGCGTAATTTCAGAAATAGTCGCATTTGAAATCTAATACTCCAATATTTGTTTTCTATTCGAACGTTTTATTATTCGTTCAGTATTGTGGATGCGCCTAGAAAAATCATTATTGCCTTATTTGAAGGGATAGACGATGACGTAGATATCAAACGAATCTAATTGACAAATCTAGCAAATGCACAAATAAATGTCATATATATACATGTACACACGTATCATATACATATAAATATATACATATACATATAATAAATATATTTGTACACGTGCAACATAACGCTGCATACGTATACGTATATGTACATGTACACCCACATACAAGTCGGGTACACCTATTGGCCATAAAAAGTACTTACTTGAATGAATTGTATTGTGATCGCAGATTTTCCGACACCACCCCCACCTACGACAACAAGTTTATATGTCTGCGCGTAGCTTTGTTTGTCACCGGGCTTCGACATTTTTCATACAATTGATTAGATTGATGATAGATTTACTTGGAAAAATTCACTGACACATATTGAAAACTGTACGACGAAATATGGGAAAAATACAAAATCGAGGCGCATTCACATGCAGGCACTGCACTAAGCGTTCTTTCACGAATAGGGGTGATATACCAAATACTGCATATTTCCTTACTAATACTACAGTTCACGACTCAAGAACGATTAAACATATCGTGAGTCTTCTATGAACGCGAACTCACTAAACACCGAGTAAGGAATGAAGTGAGACAAATACCAGACTATCCCCACCTTATACATATATGTATATACTACACCTATACACATGTATACATATGCATGTGTACAACATTATGCTATTTCGATTGATTGCGCAGTCGCTATCTTAAATACCGCCCTCTTGAGTGTATTTATCTCGATTTGAAATCATTTAAATTTGTGTACTGACCAATGATCATAGCAGTCGAGGCCCATATAACATCAATCAGTCAATCAATCAAATTTGTATACTAGTATTTAACAAATGTCATGTTATATCTATTATATTATTTAATAATATTTATAATAATATACTAAATTACTCTGTAGTAACGGTATTTATAAATTTATAAATATAATTAAGTATAATTATAGTGTAAGTATAAATTTCAAATAATCGAAATATAGTAAGTGATAGTTATCTGAATCATTCAACTGTGCGGTTTAGTTATACTCACCCCTCTTAAAAAGAATACTTTTTTAACAGTCGATAAAAGAATATAAATACATGTTAATAAATTTAAAACATAATCGCAATAATTCATTTCAAATCAAATATATTATACGAAAACAGGTATATCACATAAATTATAATATAATGTAAATGGTGTGATAATGTTCGTTGAAGACCGTGTGACATTAAATATATCGATTTATACAAACGATTAAATCGAAACAAAATAATAATAGGAATATAAATCATGATGTATATCGATAGTTTTCGAACTTAGTTTATTATTGAACTCTTTCAAATAGCATTTGTTGGTGGACTTTAAATACGTAGGTATTGGCTCTGGTTTAACAATAAATCGAACGGATGGTAATTAAATAAAAATTAAATATTTCCATAGTGAAATCACGTGTTATCAGTAATATTGCTTTACTACCGTCGAGTTCGTTTCATTTTTATTTGGTCAATTATTTTATATACCATTTTTCAACAATCGTCGAGTCGTGATAAAATTGCAGAGGTACAAAAGGCACGGGATTTCATTTCGAAGATAAGCGCTTTTAGTATAAAATATGCGAATCGTTTAATCGATCGTCCGTAACGATTTTCGATAAATAAAAAGATACTTATCGCGTGGTTAATGTTCAATTGAAAATTCGAAATATTGCATATAAAGAAGTGGATATCCGTGTAGAAATATAGAATTTTTTTTCTTTCATTATTAGAACAAAATATTTCACTTGTTACTTTGCAACTAAATCGCTATCAATGCATTACATAATAAACAACGCACGCTCTGCAATCATAATGATAGCAAAGCATATAGCTTGATGCAATTGAAGATTTGTTTGAAACTCATCCAAGTAAGTTTGATGAAAATTAAAATACTTTCACAGATTGTATTCTTGGCAACTAAAAATTATGCTAAATCAATGAAATTCCCTTTAACATCGGGGTAATTAATCGAAGAATGAATACAATGAAAGAAATGAAATAAATTATCATATAGATAACTTAAAAGTAATCTTGAATCAAATTATATGCTTTGAAATTATTCGAAATAATTATTCAACAATCTTGAAACTACGTGTACTGTTGTGATATTCAATTATATTAACTTGTGTCTTTAATCTTAAATACAAAGGTATACAAATATCTGTATAAACAAAATACTTATTATATATTTGTAAAGCAAGGCGTTTTAATCAATATAAATGGACAATAAACACGAGAAACTATAAAAATGCGTATATACATTATTTTGGAAATATCTCACTATCTTTAACCATTATTTTCAAGCTCAATTCAAAGTGACAAATGATTTCAGAATATGATTTTTAGCTTCTTCACCAATTTATTAGTGAAAGCCTAGTATAAATCTTAGATAGTTAGAAAACGATTAAGCAAAACTGAAGGTAATTGTTATTATCAAAAAATGAACACATATAAACTGAGAGGTTTTTTCTTTTCTAATTCATAATGTTTCACAAAGCATTCATTATACACGGTATAGTTGCATAATATGTACATTTGTTTTCTTTCATTTTTTACATAACACAATATTATTTGGTTATTACAGAAAATGTTAGTATATTTTTGGTTCCAGTGCTTCGTGATTTTGAACGATACAGATATTTACACTTTCAGATAATTAAATATTTTATTCTCTTTTGTTACAAAAAAAATCCATGTTTAAGACATTTGAAACATCACACTGGAACACTGAACATTGCACATAACGCATTTTCCCCATCAATATAATTGTAATTTTCTTGAAATAAAATTCCTTTTTAATTTTCACTTTCATTCTCCTGCGCTATATCCACATTGTATGAAATAAAATTGTGATAGAAAAATTTACAACATACTTGAACCATGTTACCTTCGCTACAAGTATATGCAACATAATACCTTATTAGACAAATATCATTTTTTACTTTTAAACTTTAATTAAGGCCCCGTTATATTCGGTTCGACTACTTTTACCACGCCCAAAAAATTATTTTTCACATCATATTCAAATGACAGTTTCTGTACATTTTAATAAATATTTTAAATCCATAAACAAAATATTATATTGATAAGCATGTGAATTATTATAGCATTACCTTGGCATGGTATAACCATACCTTTTGCCATAATTATTCTTTATATTTCTCTTCTAACATCGTCCTTCAAGAATATCTTAAAATAATATTTGTTTGAATAAATCAAATGATACTTTGCAGTAAGTGAGATGATCCTAGCTTTTGACGTATGAATTTCTTTTAATACTTAATATCGTTATGGATATAATTTCCAAAATAATTTTTCCTTCTATGTGTAGGCCAAAACACACTGTTTGATTTTAATTGTGTACCTTATTTTTCCTTTTAACAGAAGAACAAAATCGTTTATATTTGATTTACAACAAAAGAATGAATTACAGTATATTGTCTGACATAAATAGCTGCATAGATTCAAATAATAATTATTCTCTTTAATTTTTCAATCTTTAGTTTGAAGTTTTAGTTCTTTCATTCATAATAATTAAACAATGCTCCAATTTTTTCATTCTTTCATAAATCTGGAATTAATTGTCCTAATATTTATAGAATAGCAATAATGTTGGTAATATTATGAAGAATGGTAATAGCAGTGATCATAATATAATACAAACGACGAAAGAGAAGCATTCAAAAGAATACATTTAAGACTCGAATATAGATACACTGTTACGAACATTAGAGCTACGTAATATTTCAGAGGCCCATTATTATGTCTTTTGATTTTTTCCAAATATGTTTTTATACTCCAGTTCTGTGTAAGAAATGCTGTCGGTGTCAATGAATAATAATGATAATAATAATTAATAATAATAATAATAATAATGAAAATGATAATAGTAATAATAATAGCAGCAAGAATAACAACAATAACAATAATTACGATGATGGTGATGACGATGATAAATGATTACAACGACGATAATCATAATAGTAAACGATCGTTACTGATAAAGCAATTACTTAATCTCTGTGACAACAAACAATGTTGTCAACAATGATAATTATATTAAAAATGATTTCCAGTTATTTCTATAGAGAGATTGATTTGCTTATTTAAAATCATAGTTTCAATTTGTATAATAATGGGAATCTTAATGATGACAAGGGTGGTAGTAACGTGAACATTCATAGAAATAAAGAGCAATCATAAGTTGCGATAGAAATTGGTTTAATAGATCGATCATTGATCAATCTCTTTAATATTTGTAGGGAATCTTCACAAGTTTGAGAATAATAATAGGATAAGATAATAAAATTACTAATCAATAATAACATAAGGCAATATGTGGAGGATCTGGCCATCATAACTGGGCCTTGCTAGCATCTGATGCCATTCTCGAAATTCTTCGCCAGATTGGCTATACACATTGTTTACACCATTGATTTCTGATACTCCTTCCTTCACCTCTTGTCTCTCGCTACAAGAAGTTAAAGACGACAGTTTTGGTTGGAAGTTTCCATTCAGTCCTTCTATGCACTGCGAATGTAACCTTTCTATGTCTTCCGCTGTAACTTGTCTAGGTGGATATTCAGTACTATTTTGATCTTCGGTTGTTTCCGTTTCACACTCACTCCAATCAATCGAACTTGGATCTATAGGTGGTAACTTAGCCAGTATTTCTTCGACTGTTAAATCTTTACACTGCTCTGGTTGGCTTTTTTGAAAATTTGTAACCGATTTTTCTTTGTACACTACACCTGATTCTTCACACTTAGATGGTACATCATGACAGTTTTCTGTGGGCTTTAACCGACTTTCTGGTGAGGCTTCAGAAACTGTATTCCTATGAGATAAATTGTTCTGAGGACAACGAAGGAACTTTGATACTTGTTCATTGTTACTTCTCAGAATGTCTTCCATGCTGGGTGATTCTACACTTTGACTAGGTAGAGCACTTGAATTAACGCTAGAATTGGTGCCGCGTGCCCGTAGATCAGCCAGCAATTCTTGGGTCGTCTTTAATTTAGGATTCCTTGAGATACTAGCTAGTTTTTCTTTTACACGATCTTCTAAAATTGGTTGCTTCTTCATAGATTTACTGCCTTTCTTTCTACCACGTTTCTTTGGTCCTGAATCATCAGGATCGGTGGAAGACTCCGTAAACTGATCAGAGATTCTTTCTTTAAATGTGGGGCTAGGCACTTGCAAATTTAAATTACCACTTATATTTTCGCCGTTGAGACGTTGCTTTTTAACCAAGGATTCACTTTCGGTGATTGAGTCTGAACCATGATGTTGATAACTAGGTTGGTCCTTAAGGTCATCTTTTCGAAGACGTTTGTTTGAACTGTGAGTTCGTGGCACTGCTTCCATCGAATGATGTTGGCTCGAAGAACCAAGCGTAGGTGGCACATCAGAACTTGTTCTGTGGTTGCTGGTCACTGTAATTGACTGCTTGTTTGATGATGCATTAGGAGAATGTGAATGATCACTATGCACAGACAAAACTGGGCTAAGCACCTGTAATAGTAACAACATCAAATTTTCACCATATTTTATTAATTTAACTAACTAGTATACAGATGAGATGTAATTATTGAAGTTAATTCTTAAAGAAAGTCAAAGAATATGTTATATCTTATCAAAATTTAAATGATACAATAAATTGCAATAAAAAGTATACTAGTAAAAGATGTACAATATATTCAGTTTAAAATACAAAACCAAAATTTTAATAACTTACTCTGAGTGGAGTGGTATCCCTCAACAGTGGACTTTGTGAAGGTACCAAACCTCTCAATGCTGGACTTTGTGGCTTTAAACATCTTAATGCAGGACTATGTGGTTTTGCTCCATTAAGAGCAGGTGGTGCTGTATCAGCTGGTGTGGGTTGTGGAGTAGAATGAGCAGAAGGCAAAACCATATCACGCCAACGTCGTACCAGATCCTTCGCACGTTTAGCCAAGGCATCATTATTTGTTTTTCGTCGAAGTTCATTAATATATTTTCCAAGTCTTGTAATCTAAAGTAAGTAACAGTATTTGCATAATTAGATAATAGAAATTGAATTAAACATGACAATACAGTGTGATTAAACAATATAGTACTGCATATAGATGATGTAACATTTGGAATTGTTAAAAGAATCATATATTTTAGATTTCAAACTTTTTACCTCAAGTACCTCCTTTGTGATCGCCGTCTTTTCCAGGGCCGTAATGACATCCACAACAGCTCCCATGTCGATGACCTAACAAGATTTAGATACAATAAATAAATAATATATACAAAAACAATTAGTCAAAGTTTCACTACATTATCTTACATTTTTATAATGCATAATTTATGTTTAGTGACAACAATGCATTGATAAACCATATATTTTACTATATGTTACCAGCCATCACATATATGTGACACCATAAGAATTGTTCAAGATTTAGCATCACATATCAGTCATACCGAATTGAATATTTTAATAGTATATGTTTAAAACCATATGTAACATTACATAAAATTATACAAATTTTATTCTTGAGTTGTGAAGCGTAAGCTTTTTCTTTAAATAGCAGTAATAAACATATTAATTTATTGATTTCCTAATATATATATTCTAATTTGCCATCTATTTTTTTGTATAAGAATCCATAAAGATATTTAACAGTGTTTATAACAAACAGACTATGGATTTTGATACATTTATGATGTATCGAAGTATGCAAAGTATATACAAATGATGTAATCTGTACTCTGGATCTCTATACTTTGCAGCTTTGATATATTGTATGTGTATTAACATTACATTGTAATAATAGAATAAAAATAAATTTCTGCCATGCTTGCTTTTGACTCAAGTATGTAAGAAATTAAAATACCATCATTACATAGTATTATGTAAAAAGATTTGATTCAATGTAACATTTCAAATATATGTAGTTACATTAAAATCATTTGATAACTATGATTAAAATACAATTAAATAGTTAATGTCTCAACAAATTAATTTATTTTCATAAAGTCAAATATATTATTAAAAAGGGTTAAATTTAATAGTTAAATATCTTAATACAATTCTTTATTAATATACACAAGTTTTGAATCTTTGGTAAATCAACATCTACAATCTAAATCTTTTCTAGAATCAATCACTGGCTCATTACAGTGCAACATATTTAGCTGCTTGTATCATTAGAAATATAGTAAAAAATTGTTGATTTCCTTTTTATTCATACAGCAATATCAATGTTACAATAAGATCAAATATCAATATAAAGATCATACTATTTGAATAGCAAATGAAGAATTGTCAATAATAGTATAATTTGTACAAGATTTATTGAACAACAGCAACATGCAAGATAATCAACACGTGTCTATGAATTTCCTAAATAATTCATCAGCAATAGCACGTTCAACGTAATTTCATTACAGTGCAGTAAGAAACGTTCAATGATAAAACGGCAATCGGGCCATAGATATAAAATGCTTGCAAAACGTTTCGGTACTTCGTAGCTTTCTGCGAACTGCGCCTGTTAATACTAAAAGGTGGACAATACGGTACATGATTTGGGGGTGACGAAAATCTGAAATAAAGAGAAGAGACTGAAAAGAAAAAGAAGCACGAAGGTGTTTCAAACAGTTGTATTCGGTCGTTGGGCATTTCAGCTGCGACATTGAGGTTATGCTTCGGGTACGGTCGACAAACGCGTTTAACGTTTCGACGTCGCACACACTCGTGGAAAGAGAAGAGTTCGTCTGACTGGCATTGCATCGTACGTTCGTACGTACACACAGGAAACGTATAACTCACTCACACGCGGAGCCGTCGCTTACAACTACACTCTCAGTGACTCTCGCGCACGCCACTGGTACAGGCACACGGCGCACGGTGGATCGAGAGTGGCCCGATAGCCGTTTGCGTGAACGGACGGACGGCGCATCGCGGATTCATCCCGCTACTTACATTGTATTCCTTATCAAGAGATTTCAACAATCTTTCGGTGAGCTCGGTGCAATATCTCTGCATCGGGGGGGCACACTTAGGGCCCTCGCGGGGAGATTAGGTTAGCGTAAAATCGGCTCCACGCGTCCGAGTGTCACGAATACGAGAGCACGGGGGACTTGCAATGGCGACTACTGAACTGTGCTCCGCTCGCATGCCCTCCCTACCTCCCAAGTGCCTCCTAGTCGCAGCCCATGCATCGTCCCTAGCCCCACGCCGCCTCATACTGCCAGGCAAACGCTACTAGCTCCTCTCGTGGTTGGATGACACTCCTAACCGTTACCACACCTCCCTTCTATCCCCACTACCGCGATCAAATGGCGCTCGAATCGAATACCGATATTCAGCAGCTAACTTCATGTCACTAGTTTTTCTTTTATGTTTCAAGACTGGAAATAAACAAAGCTATAAATGATTAAAACTAAATGTCTGAGAAAAATAAACTTCTCTTTATCAAATGCTTATTTACTCGTCGAATATATCAAAACTTACTTCTCATAAACACTATGAATAATCACAATAATCCTTTCTTGGGCTTTAAAAGCTTCATATAAACAGCCTTTAAAAGAAATAATATTTACAGTTTTTTTTATTTCCACTCTTTATTTATATTTACTGCGAAAGAACGACCTAACTATACGTCGAATTTTGGTATATTTCTGCGCATCTTAACTGTGTTCGATTGCGTGTACTTTGTAGTCTATGACAACGCGCATGCGTACTTCAGACGATCTTGACAACGGAAGTATATACCCAGCGGTCACATAGTTTTGTGGTTTTTAATTACTATTGATAGTAGGATATTCCGCCCGATAAATGAAATATTACTTCACCTGTATTCATTTTATAAATATTCTTAAGAAGATTCAATACAATATTTGTCTTATCTTAAACGTAATGCGTTATTACAAGTGGCTCTCACTATTCGTTTATTTTTTCCCCACCAAGTGCATGACCATGAAAATAGAGTACAAGTTATAAGATTACAACTTATCGTGATTAGAGATTTTTCTAGGTTATCAGCTGTGTAAATAGTCATCTAGTTATGTACAGTAAGCTTATACAACGTGATATTTTAAAATAAATATTTGGGTATGATATATATTAATAAAAATGTATAATTGACATTATAATTATGTTTAAATCATAAGACCAGAGTGCGTAATCCATATGCTAACGTGTACATGAATATGACATAAAAATAGAAACAGAGCGCTGTATAAATGTTTATATAAATGTCCCTAGCATTTTTGTTCGATCACGCATGCGCACTCGGTCACTGACGAACTTTGTGCGCAATGTTTCAAAAACGTTTGTAGAGAGAAATATGAAAGTTATCTTCTCGAAAATTGCTTTTCCTAAATAAAATATCAATTGAATAATTTAGAAAGTTAATGCTAGATTGCGTGAAGTTATGTTGTGCAATATTACAATACAATATTGTAATAGTACATTGTGATGTACACAGTACCTACGACGCATTATTATTTACTAATGCGCATGCGTAATTAGTCACGATTGTATAGTTTTTTCCAGTTTACCGATTCCCTTTACGACTTGAGTAAACAATTCACTGATTTTATAACAAGTATTATGAAATTCTAATTAATGTATATGTAATTAATAATATATTAAATTAATTGAATGTGTTATATAAAACATATGTATTAAAATAAAAATGGGGTTTTCTGGGTATAGAATGAAGTTGGGTGGATACAGTACTACCAATATGATAAACAATCATAATTACATGGTTGCATTTGTATTATTGACTATATACTATTCTTATATATATAAAAGTTATATATATGTGTATATATATATAATATATATATATTCTTTTAATTAATTATACAAAAAATATATGCATATTGTAATTGATATTAATTTTATTACCGAAATGGAGATTCATAGCTCTATTAATCATTACGATTATTACTTTCAAAATTAATTACCATAAACATTATGTATGTAACATGATTAATAAGAGAAATTGTACATTAATTAATCGCAACTTTTTGTCAAAGAATTAGAGATTGTTTGTTTTATTAAAGTGCGAGTGCATATGTGCAAGACTGTAACGTTAAAATGATTAGGTGAAAAGTAGTATGAAGTTCTAGTGTGGTATCCATAACCTAATTCGTAGAAAAATGTACGCGAGGATAAGATTTGCATATTTCTCTGAAATTTGTCGTTTTTGCGAAATCTTGAGCAACAGCCACGAGTAAATGAAATCATCGATGTCAAATGTAAATTTTTCTAGAACTTCGTGATAAAGTCGTATTCGTGTATTTTTTGTATGCATAGAAATGGCCCTCCTATTTTATGTTCGTAATAAATAGTAAAAAAAAAGTAAAAATTTAACATAGTAGACGAATAAATAAATTGTTAAGTTTGTGATCATAAGACATAAAAGGCCCACTTATATAATATTCGCACTGAGTGCATATTATACGGTAAATATGTTTTGTCAAAATTATTTGCGAAATTGCATATAACAAAATACTTTTGCATGCAAACGTAAACAACTACATTATACACATAAATTAATTTTATTCATTATATGATAATACAGTATTATTTCAAAAGTATTTCTTGTATGAATCCTAATTCTCATGTGTATAAGCACTGTTACATATTGTTTTGTAAATTATTTTAATGTTTTATTTTTTATATGAAGTATATATTATACCTTCTTATTATAGTAAAAAAGATAATACTTAACTATTCAGTTGATAAATCTTTCTAAAATATAAAACAATAAAATTTTCTACTTTTATGTGTTATTTATAAACTGTTCAGCAAAATCAGTTGTATAAATTTGTATTAAAACATAAAAGTAATCATAACCATAAATCCGAGTTAAACAAAACATATGGTTATCTGATTTTTCATACATTTATATGGAAATTACTTCCAAAAATGCTTATATACTATAATTTATTTTGTGTAATTATAAATAAAACTATCACAAAATTTGAAACTATAATTGTATATGAATCGAATAATTCTACTAGTCTATTTAAGCAGTATCTGTCTACGTATACTTTTAAAAGGACAGACATTTTTACTATTCAACATAATATTGTTTTTTGACTTTAATATTTTATTGCTGAATAATTTTCTTAATAAATATTTATTATCATGTTATTTACTTTATAACTATAACCCTAGTATAATTATATACTTTTGATTGCAAAAATATATTACCGACTAATTAATTGCAACTTGTAATCCATATAATAACATCTACATTCTGGTTAATTGATGCAGTTTGACATATAGGATAGGGATTTTGTAGTTTCTTATCGCTGTATCCTATTATGTCACTGTCCTCATTAATGAACCATAGAAAATTGGAATTATTCAAATTTTATTACTTTTTTAATGGATATTCTTATTCAATTAAATTTAACTTTAACTTTAATTTTACATAATATACTGTAAACTAATGTTTACTCATTGTTATAAAAAAAATATTAAGGTTAAGAAAGCAATAAAATTATTATATTCAATTTTTTAATTTTTATTACTCTTCTAATAATAAAATTTGTATTAATATAATTAAACTCTTATTTAAACGACAACATAATTTTAAATGTATTGTAAATATTACAATTGAGCACATATTTAGTCGATGGAATGACTAAATAATGATTTCTATAAATAATTAAAAAAAAAAACAAATACTTATATGAAAATGGAATCAAATCAGAAATTGAAACTGATAGAAAATTACATTGCATTACTTAAAACTGTATTAGTAAAATAGCTCAATATTTCTTACCGCTTTAACTCAATCAAGCGATTATTCTACCAGTACAATTCATTCCAAAAATAAGTAAAAGTATTTGACAATATTATTATATGATATAAACTCGCGTCGAATCATTATTCAATCAACAAAATAGTCCCAAATTTTCTATAAATTTATAAATAGAACATTTCACAAGATTATTCCAAAGTATTCACAATGTACTATACCATAGATCTTTGAATTAAGCAATAATATTACCTATATTTTGTATATTTTTGTACACTGGCTCTAAGACATTCAAGACTTCACTGAAAAATTGCTTTGTAGATTTCAGTGAGCAATAGTCACCCCTCCCTTTTTTTTTTGTTTTAAATAAATATTTGTATAGAGTTGGATCACGAAAAAAGAATAGTTTTCATGAAAACAAAAACTGAATCAAAGTATTGGTCAATGATGAAGTCCTCCAACTTTTAGTTTTTTTGTTTGACGTACAGTCCTGCTTGCTTCACTGTCTGAAGATTCAGATTCTGTATCATTGTATCCTGACATTGGTACACCTTCTGACTTTGTGACTTCACAAGTCTCAGCTGCAAAGTTACCTGTCATCTTTGCTTTCTCAAGTGCTCGAACTGCAAACAATATATTTTGAAACAGTGTAAAAGCTTGGCTATAATAAGTTGAAAATAAATGTACATAAGCTATAAGTTGTTTCAAAGTAATATTAAGGCTAACTGAGATTAAATATCCAATGCAAATAAGATTAATAATTACTTTGAGACTCTAAAAGATTATTTTGCCGTTTCAAGTCATCAATATCCTGCTGGTGTGAAGAATTTTTGCGTCGCATGAATTGTATATACTCAGCAGCTTTTTTGAGTATCTGTGCTCTGCTTGCAACTTTTTCTCCTTGCAATGCAGGAACGGAATCTCTGAGACTTGAGAAACTATCTTTAATATGATCTCTGCGTTTGCGTTCCAAAGCATTGTGATGTGCACGTTTTTCTGCCTAAAAGTCACATATGTTCTTCTTTTGCTTTTAAAATTGTAAATTTGAGTAATTTTAGAAAATTATAAAATACACATATAAACAGTACAAAATAACAATATTGACATACTGTTGTCAAACTTGTATCAGTCTATAATATTACAAGAAATAGTGAAAATTTACATTATAATTATATTACAAATACCTTCATTTTGTTTGAAATATTAAAAAATAAATTATTTGGAAACAAAATATTGTTTCTTACTAGCTATTAGTTAAATTAAGTGGAAAGCGTCTGTTTAACCTCAAAGACATATAAACTTCAGATTTTTCGAATAAATGATTGGTATACTGATAGATAATTAATAAGCATAGAATAGATAAACTATTTAAAACGAAACAAAGGAAATAAGAATAAAGAATGAACTTACCTGAGAATAATATTGTGTATTGTTTGAATGCCTTTGCCTGGAGTCAGAGTCATCGCCTTCCTGAAAAACGATGTCTTTAATAACACTCATTGAAAGGGCACTTTTTTAAGAACTTACATCACTCTCAATGTCGATGTCTCGATCATCGTCACTCATTATAATTTTCTTGGTTGCCCGAGTAATTGGTAAACAAAAGAGCTTATCCAGTACTCGAGTGATATATATGAACGTAGCACGCAGTACACATATACACAAGGATTTGACAGGAAAGCATAAAAGTTACCAATGGTTTATCGAAATAGAGATTTTATTTTGAACAAGTGTAGAGCCTGTCTATATTTTTGTGATTTATTGGAAAATTGTATACCAAAAGAAGAGAAACATTATAATCAGATTTGGCATTTTATCACAAATTAAACGCCTTTCAAAAACATTTATATTTTACAGAAAAATCATTAGTTTCTTTTATAAAAAAGAAAACATTGTACTGTTACTACCTTCAGTCGTGTGTAGGTGGCGCATGTAGCACGGAAATGAACTTTCTGTAGTCAAATTTGTTTTATTTATGATCATATCGTATAATGTTCGGGGTATTTTTGAACACTAAAAAAGTTGCAACAATGCTTGTGAAATCGGTGATGTTGAAAAGAAACTTGAAGTTCAGTTTGCCGTGGTTAGGAAAATTTTTGATACATTACTCGTATTTTTATAATTATGTAATTTTCTTTTGGCGATATCTGGAAAATGGTGGTGTTCGAAAATTGGAAAGGTGGCAAGAGAGGGAGAAAGAAAAGAAGGAGAAAGTAAGGGATCTCCCACCCTCTACAATATTTTCCACCGTTCGTGGGGAGACCCCTTCTTTCTTTCATTATGAAATCATATATAAAAGAACAAATTAGTAGTGTGCACTTCATCACAAACACTTTGTTACTAAATGAATCCTACTAAATGGTTTTGCGCCTTTGACAGAGGGATATAATTGAGGGATGAACAACAACTATTTATAGTATCTGGAGGCTCATCGAGCACTAGCGAGAAAGCCGCTTCAATGTTATGCGCCGTCTAGTGGTGACGAGTGTATATAGGAATGAGGCGCCACATCAGCCCCTTTTTCAACCACCATCGCCATCTTTAACAGTTGCCGTCAAAAATGCATTCTGTTTTCATGCGTGGCAATGCTATTTTAGCATATACATTAAGTGTTTCGGCGTGTTTAACGTTTTGTTGTTTTCTATCTACCGTATTTATTGATTATAGAGCAAATGCAACATTAAATACTGTCAAAGTAGTAGTGTAAGTATGACTTATTCATTTAGTATCACATGTTTTCATACAAATATATTTATTATTTTATGATTCTGGAATATAATTGATTTACGTATTATATCGTACTTTTTCTTGTTGCATCAATAAATTTTGTACTTTATCTCTTTTTAAATATAACTTATGTTACAAAAAGATATGTACAGAATGATGTACATGAAAAATATGACTTTGTGTAATGTAGTTGTTGTAACTGACATACTGTACATATTTAATAATTAATAGCATTTCATTTGTTTTCCAGCAAAAATGTTCCAGATTATAGTGCTTCAAGAGAAAAAAATGATTTGGGTTATTTAACATTTGACTTACAAACTGATATCCTTTTTTATCTTCTCAACTAATGTAATACAAATGATATGTATTTAATGATATAACAAAGCTGTGGATATTTATGTATTTATGATATATTGAACTCTGTATAGCACAGAGATTTACGATGTACAGATTGTAGAATTTATATATTCTTTGTAGACTTTGATACATCATGATGCATCAATATTCACAGTCTAATCAAAACTATATGTATATTTTCTTTACATAAATATACATCTCACTCAGTTATTTAATTGGAATGTTAAACAATTATTTTTATATCTCACTGCTGAATATCAGACAGAAAATAATGAATTCAATCAGGTTTGTGTCTAATAATACTTATTTCGATGTAGAATATTATACTATAAATTATTCTTTACTTCAGGTAGTGTTATGGGATAAAATAGTACTCCGTGGAGATAATGCTGTACTTGATTTTAAAAATATGAATACGAAGTATTACTTCTGGGATGATGGTAATGGATTAAGGTAATTTGGAATAAATAATAATGGGGTAAAGTATAGAAATGCAATTACCAAAAATATATATAATTAATTTTTATTTATTCTTTTAGAGGAAATAAAAACGTAACATTAACTTTATCATGGAATATTATACCAAATGCTGGACTTTTACCAAGTGTCAATGCCCTTGGTTCTCATACATTTGCATTTCCATCTGAATATACCTCATTACGTGTATAACATACATTTATATATGTGATAAATTTATATTCGTTATTTTATAAAACTTTTAATTATTCTACACAAAGTCAATCCATAATAAATGTAATATTATTTTCATGTGTCATGATTGAATGTTAGGTCATTGTTCTTTTCTGTTCCTAATTTGGTTATACCATGAATATACTTCTATATAAAAATATAATTTATTTTATGTGTACATGGTATAAACATGTAGAATTATAATTTATTAAAAACTGAAACAGGATATTGGTTATTGTATATAAATGAAAATTTAATATTCAATTGTATATTGTTTTTATTAATGATTACATTTAAGTGATGTGTTGTTCTCGTTCTCTTCGTTTTCGCTTAATGACTCGTTTTCTTGTTCCTCCTCGTCATCGTCATCATCATCGTCCTCATCACCGTCATAATCGTCTTCCTCATCATCCTCAGCTTCATTATCTTGATCATAGTTGTGAGATTGGCTTCCTGAAATACAAAACAACATATACATAACACGTTTTACAATAATAGTTATTAAAATAATTTTTTTACCATAGCAGCTATATCCAGTTTCATCATCAGATTCATATAGTCCACTTTGATTTTGTCTTCCAAATTTATGACTTCTTGCTGCAATAAAATAAAATTAACTTATATAAACACTTACTTAAAAATTGCATAATAATAAATAATTAATTCAAAAATTAATATATTACTTGACATGCTAAGATCTTTCGTTTGAGATGTTTCAAAGCCACATTTAGGACAAGGTATGGGTTTGTTCTTATCATATTTAAATCCTTTTCTTCGAACATGATCTTCACAATAACATGTCTTACATCTCAAACAAGAATATTGTCCCAAACGATTGCAGGATTGACCTAAAAATGTTAATTATTTATAACAAATAGAAGAGGAATTATAAAAATATTGCTGATTAAAATATTGCTACATTCTTACATTTAAAACTTTCTGCTTCTAGAACTTGACACGATGCTTGATGTTCAAATTGATCATCTTCACAAAGAAAACAATCACAAAATGAACATCGAAATATCCTACCACCATGATCCCAAACACCTCTCTCACATTCCTGACAAATTGCATCCATTAATGGACACATACAGGCATGAGTTGTAAGACAACGTCTTCCATGGCAGACCCATGCTTCGCAATGATCACATATAGCTCCCTGTTTATAATTTAAACATTTATATTACAATATTTTTTAATATTATTATAGATAAATCATATCTACTTACCACCATACCTAAACCAGTAGTAAATACTCCAGGATGACGAACCACACAATCTCCAGTTTTTAACATACATTTTACTTTTCCACAATGAGCACACATAGGTAAACGTTGTACACTTTGGCAAAAATAGCAGAAAGCTCTACTTTTTTGTTTCTTGTTACATTTATCACATTCCTTTATAGCAAATAAATATAAACATTAATTGGGAAATAAAATATAATATGCAAATGTATTAAGAGGTTATAAATTAAATATTATTAAAATACAATAATATATAACTACTTGCCATCACTGCATTGCAAGGAAATTTAGCTAAATTTATTTGATCCTTTGCTGCTCTAATTTCTTTTTGCCTTAACTTTTGTTTTTCAGCTTTTCTTCTTTGTCCTGTCTTTTTCTTTGGCATTTTGTTATTTTACACTAATTCACGTAACTATATTATAATTTATATATCTTTATTATATAAAAATACTTTAAATAAATGTTTTGGTACACTCAGTGCACATTTGGCTCCTTTAGCAAAGTAGCCACGAGATACAGATCCCTACCACCTTTTACCGCTAGATGGCTACATATTTTGTAATCCACAAAATGCATTATACTTCACTTTCGTTTTTAATTTTTTGAGCGCATTATGATAGCGATTCTGTTAATGTCGTAGAATATTCTGCTCTTCACGGAAAAGCGTGAAAGCTACTAATTTTGCAAAAAAATCTGCAATTTTCTATTGTCCTAATTCTGCTGTTCACTGTTAGATGGCTTTAGTTATGCATTTCAGATAGCGTACACAAAAATTAAATTTTAAAATACGTGTTAAAATGAGGCTTTCAAAATACCTTTAATTTATATGATATAAAACATTCTAAAATAGGCAATATAACAAGAGAGAAATATACTGAAATATTTGTATAACATAATTTCCCTCAAAAATTCCAATTTTATTTAACAAATGTTACAATTTCTGTACAAATTTGTACACTGTTCACACCTTGTACAAATACAAAGTGAAATATATTATATAATCAAAACGTTTTGCTTAAAATAGTTATTTTTAATATTACTGTTTACAATACGATATTTATTACATAGATACATTCAAAAATGTCTTCCTTATGTTTAAGATTGTAATTTATCTTGTAATAATTTTTCCAATTTGCGCACATCAACTGCAAACTTGCGAATACCTTCGCTTAACTTATCTGATGCCATTTGATCCTCGTTTAAAAGCCACCTAAATTCAGCTTCACCTAAGCTGATCTTTTGAAGATCACTTTTTTTCGCTAATTCTGGAGTAAGTACCTTGCGAATCGGATCATTACTCTTTTCCAATTCTTCCAATAATTTGGGACTTATAGTTAAGAAATCACAACCAGCCAATTCTTTGATTTCACCTGAACATAAAAATGATAACATTTCAATATTATACAATTTTTATTTTTAAATATTTTAATATTTGATACTTACCAACGTTTCTAAATGAAGCACCCATAACAACAGTTTTGTATCCAAACTTTTTATAGTAATTATAAATTTTGGTTACAGACACAACACCTGGGTCTTCTTTAGCATCATAAGACTTTTTATCCGTATTTGATACATACCTAAGAAGTCATGTTAACATTATTAATGCTGTTCAAGATTTGTAATTGATAAATATTTTATTCATAAATATATCGTTTAAGATTTGTATCTTACCAATCTAAGATTCTGCCAACAAATGGAGATATAAGAGTTACACCAGCTTCTGCACATGCAACTGCTTGTGCAAAAGAAAACAGTAATGTCAAATTACAGTGAATTCCATATTTTTCCTCCAGTTCTCTATCAAAATATATTTTTATAGAATACATATCTTCTTTAGGTATTATGTTACTTTTAAAATGTGTAGCTTACTTTGCTGCTTGAATTCCTTCCCATGTAGAAGCAAGCTTAATGAGCACACGATCTTTGTTTATTCCAAATTCTTCATACAAGGCAATTAACCGTTTTGCTTTTTCAATGCTAGCTTCTTTATTGAAAGACAACCTAGCATCTACTTCTGTTGAAACTCTACCTGGTATGATATTTAGAATTTCTTTACCAAAGAGGACACACGTGATATCTAAAGCTGCCTCAATTTGTTCTGCTAGAGTACTGAAACAAATTTAATTCATTTCATTTAAAAAATTATCTAAAATAATGCTCTTACATTAATTTCATTATTACCACTGTTACCGCTTTGAATAGAATTATCTTTCCTGTTACATACTCTGCTTCATTATCCTCTTTTCATTTTTCTTTTTATAAATCTTAACATAATCTTGACAGAATTTTCTACATTTTTATTTAGATTTATTTTCATTCCTGGATATTTCTTGATATGTATATTTTATTCATAAAATTCATTTTTTCTGTATAATGCCTATAATATCTTAAATTAATTTTAACTGCACTAAAACGTCAACATCTACATCTACATCTACATCTATATGCTAAAATAAAGACAACAATTTTTTACAATTATAATACTACTCAATAAGTGGATTTTCATTTTAAAATGTGTACTATTGATTCAACATTTGTAAACATATCATATTAATTATATTAAAAGTACATTACATTACATTATAAAATATTACATTTTTTCTGTAACATACATAGTTCATATAAATTAGAACATCAGAAATTCATTAAGAACATTAACTATATAATACTACTTTAAACATAAGTGATACAATATAAAATATACTTACGATCCAAACTTTTTTCCATATTGCACTGCCTTATCTATTAAGTGAGCATATTTTTTTTGGTTAGCTGCAGCAAGGATCAGAGAAGGATTTGTAGTTGCATCCTTAGGTTTAAATTGTTCCATAGCTGAAAATAATTAAAATTAATAATTATTAAATAATTTAATTAACAATAATTAAATAATAATTAATTTATCAATACTTCTATTATACTTGGCAATGAATAATATAATTTCACATAATACATTTAAGGATTATCATTAACAGATTACATTTACTGTAACGTATTTATATAAATACTTCAAGGGTCATCTGGGAGACCTATAGGTCAAAGCAATGATAGTTATGATAATCACATGCTTATGACAATGTTACATGATAAACAGCAAAAACTTTTGCATTTAATGGAACGAAATAGCGTATAATAATTATTAAAATGATTATTACATAAACATAAAAAAGAAATTGTATCCTGAGATATATTTCTTACTAAATATTTTCAAAAAAGAAAATAAATTTAGAAAGAAAATAAATTAGTAAGGCTCACAAACAGCACATTTATTTTACTTTGAACTTTGCATTCAAAGTCAAACAAATTCATTACATAAAGTTTTAGAAAGTGTACTTACATAGTAATAACTATTTACATTTAAAAAAATATTGATTTATAATAATATAACAAAGATCATAAATTACAAATAATAAATTTATAATCATTTGTTCGCATTGAATTCTTGTAAACAAAAACATAATTGTTATAAAAACGGTAAAAATGCAATCGTAAGATCGGAAGATTTTGTAACTTCCCCTTCCAGCATCGCGTAATATACTCTACATTGGTATTATATCTTCAATATACGCTATTGAAAATACTTTGAACGTTATACTATTTACACGCGTGTACCTACATATATCGCATACAAATTTTATACGATAAATAATTTGTTTAAATAAGTTGAATAGGTTTTTGCGTTTCAAAAACAAACGAAGAGTGCGCCATTTGCGCTTTCCGGCCACGCTTTCTGACAGTCACCTTCACCTTTGATCATATCTGCTCGAACAACGAAAGTTCATAAGAAGTTTGTATTTACGCTTACCTTGAAAGTCGCCGGTATCGGCGACAATTGTTGTTAATTCTTTCAACTGTGCCAAAGAGCTCGTCATCTTGACTTTCTTCGATTGAGGCTCGCTCATTCTAATCGATACTTTTATATACCGGCCGTAGATCGAAATTCCTGCTTCTTACGCTGGAACGATCAGCACTCACGATATTTTACAGGATTACCAACTTATATGAAACTATGGTCTCATTTCCCTCCAGTTCCGCCATTATTACATAACTTCTGTTCGGTTTCGTTTATCAACATAGAGATTATTTCAACATAAATTATCTTGCAGAAACTTTTATTGCCGTACACTCCTTAATTGTACTCTAATATGCTTTTATTTAATTGTACATTTCATTGTTCAGCAATACGAATTTTGTTCAAGTTGATTATGTTAACAGTTTAGTAACAAATTAAATAATAGCGCGAATCCTTGGCTTCCCTCAAGTAAGGGGAAGTTGTACATGACCTCCCACTCATGGACAGAATATTCTTAAAGAGAAAGGAGAGTCGTTGCAAAACGAAACGACTTTTGCAACTCTAAATTTCTGAATTTGAACATTTAAAACTTCTAACATTCCAAGTTTGGAAATTTATGAGAAAGCTCTTTATATTTCCCTTTAACCAGAAGAATTTTATGTTGCACAGTAGCTGTTATTCAAAATTACAACTGCTCTTATAATTTAATTCCATTATGAAATACAAAAATTGTTTTGCATTAATTTTGTATTTATTAATTTATTTTCCAAATAAATATACTTATGCAATTCATGTATATACAAGTATATACTGTTAAATATATTTATTAAAAATTAAGTACAATATAAATGGAAAAATATATCTTGTCTATCAGTTAAGTACATTTGAAGTATGTGTATGTATATATATTGTATATATACATACTCATATATATTGTATATACACAATAAAAGATAGTATAAAAATATATGTACATATATGAGTTGGAACAAAATTTTATTCTTTAATGAGAATTACCTATTTATAATTTTCTGTAACTGTACTTCAATGTCCACAATATTTTTACATATTAACATATGTACTTTGTTAATTTAATGTAAAATCGTGTTTACATATTTTCCAATTAATTTCCATATTACATATATGTTTTACTCAAATGTATGATTAATACATTTATGATAACAATAAGTAATCTGGTAACAGATTATGGTATTAGATTTTGAAACATGAGCTATCGCCATGTTACGCTATTATGAATATTATGAAATATATTCAAATTTTTGTATAGGCGATATAACGAAATACTGATAAAAGAAGTGATATGCCGTATGGAGCGCGTAGTAACTATTATACACGAAAAATATAATCAAATTATATTGTTGCATATTGTATATTAGAAAATTCTCTGTCCTCGATAATATCCCGTTTATCTCATAGATAAACTTCTTTTAGTTTATATCAAACCTTATTACTGAGAGAGTGTGTATCTACAAATGAGGATTTTGGTTGATATCCATACATAAAGATTGAACATATTACTAGAAAAGCACCTAAAGAAAATTGTACAGTTAACTTGAAATCAAAAAGATATATAGATGCTATACAAGATATTATAATAGCTAAAGATGTTGCAAAACCTTTAAGTATGTTATCAGCATATTTAACTACCATGGCAACGATAAGACCTCCACCTGCTTGGAGTACGACCAAATAATAAACAAATAAATCATAACCAAAGAAAAAACCTTGTTTTCTTAGCATTCCACCATCATTTATAAAACATGTCATTAATCCAAAAGGTAATGACAGAAAACTTAACTGTATATTCCTTATCCATACAGATTTATTTGAGTCTTTCAATATTTTTTCAAAATATATTCCTGCAAATCCTGATAAAAAACATGCGCTTAGGGCAGCTGAGAATCCAAGCAAATGATTTTGTTCTATACCAGATGGTAAAGCAGTCTCTGAGTTTTGTGCTAGCTGAACTAATACTACTCCTGTTATTAATAATATCAGTGCTCCCCATTGAGTATTTCTTAGTGACCGTTTTAGTATTACTACAGCAAAAAAGGCTGTTGTTAAAATTTTAAGTTGGTATGTCACCTAAAAAATAATACACATGAAAATAATCAGTGATATTAAAAAAGAAAAATAGGAATATATAAAATATAACATACCTGATAAGTTGCTGCATCTAAATTAGATGCTGATACATACAAAAGGTTGTTTTGTATAGTGTATAGAAGCGATGGCACACATACTTTTAAAGTATCAACAGGTTGTTTTATAATTTGTGAGTGTAATGAATCAATAAATTTTGGAAAACTTCCTTCTTCACTAAGAACCAATATTAAACATGTTATAAATTTCACAACTTCTGCCATAACGACAGCTGAAAAAAATAATTATTATTAAGCAACAATAATTATATACGTATCTTATATATACATTAATTTATAAAAATATAATATAGATACCAGTTGATGAAAGAAACATATCTCCAGATCTTGTACGCGCATAGCGCATACTAAGTCCAACTAAGGCATTTTGTACTGTTAGTGTAATTAAACTAATATATTTTAAAGTTTGGCTACTTCCTACAAAATAAATGAATTAACAATGTATTAAGTAAATAGAATATTTTTAATGATAAATATTTAAATAGAATATTTTTAATGATAAGCGTAAAATTTATATTTACGTTGCTGTTGTTTAATCATAACTATAGTTCCTTTTTACATGCAAATTATTAATTGTGGATACTAGAGGATCATCTTATCTGGAAAATAACATATTATGAATAAAATATAGAAATATAAAATAAAAATCTTAAATTTGACACATAAGTAAATATATAATAGATTTATCATATTATTTTTGCACACTACAAGTTTCAAATTATATATAAATAAATTTAATTTAATTTTTTCATACAAACCTTTAATACTGCTATTAATGTATAAAACACTGTTGCTTTATAAATCTAAGCACATATTTTACTTATGTAGATGCTAATTTATAATACAAAATATCAAAACGTTTACTATTTTCAGTCAGCTATCATAATTTTCCATTTTTTATATACAATTACTTACTTTTAATTTACCTTATTTTGCATTTTCATAAAAAAGAACAGCAATGTAAATAAAAAATGTATTTACAATATATATACGTACACGTATACATTCCTTTTATATCACTTCCTACCCGAAATGTATGAACTAAGAAACGAATTCATATGAAGATATGATTAACATATCAATATAGTTTGAGATGTTAAAAATATATTAGTGTTGTAAATATTTAAATTTGAGCCTATTGAGATAAAACAAAACTTAAATAAAAATAATTATACATAATTGTAACATACGAAAAAAGTTTATTTTTACTATTTTTATAAAGAAAAGCATGAAATTTTTAATGTAAAATTTATTACATTCTAGCAGAAAGTACAAAGAGTAGGTAATTTTAAATAAAATAAAATTATACTAATCAAAATATAATATATAGGAGCAAATCAAAACTAGGGACTTTTAAATTGTTACTAATTTATATTGGTTAGCGTGTTAATATTGTGCAGGTGCGTAGTAGTGTTGATGTTGATTATTCGGTGAAAAGAATTCAAACAATTAGAAAATTTATAATTTATAAGTGACATATATATATTTAATCATATAATAAATATTATACAGATTAATTTAAGTAATTGTGATAAATATATATTGTTGTGTCAATGATTAGACTACGCTCTTAAAAGAGTGTTCTTTAATCAAAGGTTAAATTAGAATAAGTTGTACTAAATAAAACTGTTTAATTCTTTTTTGACGTGTATTTAATACATAAAAAATGTCTTATATGCTATCGCATCTTCACAATGGGTGGCAGGTGGATCAGGCAATTTTGTCGGAAGAAGACAGAGTAGTAGTGAGTTTGAAACATTCACATTCTGAATTTTCTAAATATTCTAAATATTTATGTATTATTTTTCTTCAGGTTATTAGATTTGGTCATGACTGGGATCCAATGTGTATGAAAATGGACGAAGTTCTTTACAATATTGCAGAGAAAGTGAAAAACTTTGCTGTTATTTATTTAGTTGATATTACACAAGTACCTGACTTTAACAAAATGTAAGTTTGAACTGTAGTTTGAATTATAGAAGTTCAGCCATAAATTCATATAAGTGTATCTGAGTATTAGAGTATATATTGAAATTTAATATGTCTAGGTACGAGTTATACGATCCTTGCACAGTAATGTTCTTCTTCAGAAATAAGCACATAATGATTGACTTGGGTACAGGAAACAATAACAAAATAAATTGGACATTGGAAGACAAACAGGAAATGATTGATATCATCGAAACAGTCTATAGAGGTGCCAGAAAAGGTAGAGGTTTAGTTGTTTCACCTAAAGATTATTCTACAAAATATAGATATTAATTTATTTTAGTAATAGAATTTTGTGAGAAATAATTATTTTATATTGATGTATTTGTAACTTGATGAGAAAATGTGATAATTAAGTTTATATTAATAAATAAAAGAATGTTGTGATTGAAAATAGAATTATATAATGTAAATTTATATAATTTATTTGAAATCATACATATATATATACAAGTACTATCTACATATTTATAATTATGTATGAATTGCTACTTAAATTCATACATATATATTTCAAAGTTCTTGACCAGATCTATATTTGAACGTGGTACCATGTTTATTTCTTTTGGAACTGTTTTTATATGAAGGATTCATAGGTGGAGGTTTATCTAAAAACATTATAATTTTAGTACTTACAGCTAAAAATATTTCAAACAGTTTTTCAAATAACTAGTACAAGAAACTTACAAGTTTTTAAACAGTATGGATTTTTTAGTACCTGTTTTATAAAGTTGTATATATATGCATATTGGCTCTGAAAATTTAATGCAAGATTGTAAATAAAATGTAATTTATGTTAATATTCATACTAAACACTGAATTTTCTTACTTCTTTCTGAACCATATTTATTCTATGATGCCGTAATCTATACACTGTTCCAAATACATCCAATTTTCTGTTATCTCGGAGATGCTGTAAAAGTATATCTAATGCAATTAAAGTACCAGTTCTGCCAATTCCTGCACTGCATTAAAGAAAATATAATGATAAAATAATAGAATTTATTATAGGTCACTATTTAGAACATGTATTGCTATTTTGTATATCTCTACCTGCAGTGAACCACAAGATATCCTTTGTTTGCCAGTATATAACGACGAACAATTTGACAAAAATTAATCATTGAATCAAAACCTTCTGGAATATCATGATCTGGCCATTCTTTAAAATGTAAATGTGTTATATTTCTCTTTTTGTTTTCCTATAATATATTTAAAGTATAATGAAATAATACTTTATTTTATAATATTGTATATCAAGTTTCATACTTGAAGTTTCTACCTTTTGCAGAACTAATGTTCTTTGTGTGTAAGACCTATATTCCAGCTCACTTGTACATCTTATAGTCATATTTTCATACCTAAAAGTTTCTTTAATTATTGGAAAATATTGATAACATTTCTCCTGTAAAATAATGGTTTTATGATCAAATTATAATAATGTTTCAATCATTAGTTCAAAAGAATCTTACTTTGCCATTTTCAATTAAATCAGTCAACATAACTATTATATTAACATCATATTGTTCTATCATTCTCCAAAAGTCAAATGTAGTTTCCTCTTTTGGACCTTGACAAGCTATGTATTCATCTTCTCCACTGTATCCCTAAAAATGATAAACATGATATTAATATAAATTCAAAAAAATATGATTACTGTTTGTTTACTCACTTTAATAAAGGATGCATTAATATAATCAGTATTAGGATCATTATCAATGACTTCCAATTTTACTCTGGAAAAGTCATCTGAAAATATAAAATGAGCTTAGTAAAATTTTTAAAAAGCATGTTTTCATATCCTTTGTACATAACTATAAGCATTTACATGGAAGGATATCAGAATATCTATTTTTCTTTCTATTAGCTTGTAAACAGGCAGTATTAGCTGGCATTTGTAAATCAACACTCAGAGTTTGAAGCAATTGAAATTCATTGCTTAATTTTCCAGGGTTCTCAATGAGTTGTTGACAGTGAGCTATGAACTTTTTCTTTGTAAATGGTGTAGGAACTGGTGATCCAGACATATCAGAATGTAGAAATCGCCATATTATTCTAGAAAAATAATAACAAAACAGCATTATAATTTTATAGTTTTTATCTTTTGTAAAAAAATTTATATAAAAAGTAAGTTATACTTACACTTGAGGTGAACATTTGCGTACTAATAACATCATTGTTGTTAAAACTCCGAAAAATAAAATACCAAAGATTACTCCAATAACAAGTCCAATATTTACATCAGCATCTAGTATGAAATAAAATATTTTAAAAGATAATTAGGTAAAAGTTATTACAAGATTAATTAAATTGTAACAATAGAATAAAATATAAAGTACTAACTAGTTTTTATCACAAAGGTTGTTGAATCAGCATATCCACCACGAGTAAACGCTCTCATTCTAACATGATACCATGTATTTGATTTAAGAGGTCCATTACAATAAACTTTTTTATTTGTATTGGAAGAAAATTCTTGACAATTCAGTTCTTCACCAACAGTATATTTAACTGCCTTTACTTCACCATAATCAGCAACATGATTAGCTGTAAGAAAAAGTATATAATAATCTATTTACTCATAGATAAATTTATAAATTTATTATAAAAATGTATCACCTACGATAGGGATCCCACCACAATCTTGTAGTTTGATAAGGTATACTAAAGTCTTGTAACATAGATTCTTCCCAGGATGATATATTTGGCCATGTATGATTTGTAAAATTAAATCTAGTATTGGATGCAGTATTATATTCAATTCGCGATACTATGATAGAATAATAAATAATGTCGCCATTTGTATCAGGAAATAAGGGAAGTAAAAGTGTAGCTGATGTAGTAGTTCTTTGGGCTTTAGATGGATCTAAAGTTATAGATTTTATATAGTCCTCATCAGGTTGAGATGGAACTAAAATATTTAAAGATTTAGTAAGTTGTAACTGATAGGTAAATTTACAGATTAGTAAAAAGATACAGACAAGACATATATACAGTAAAATATATTTTATTTTAAATTTATTACAGCTAGATGCATTTATTAACAAAATTAATGTTTATAAATTAAAATATGTACATACTTCCAGCAGGATATAACACATTGTGTTTTGCAGGTACACCAAGCTTCTTAACTTCTTTAACTTTAACAGATATTTCGAAAGTATAATTATACTCTGCTTTCAATTCATTTAAATTAATTGAAATTATATCATTTTTATTAATATTATTTTCAACAAGTTTTTTAATCGTAAAAGAATGTGGTGTATAATTTCTTCTAGTTCCATGTACAAATATATTAAAGTATTCCATTATTCCATTCAAAGAACATGGAAAGCCCCATTTTAAAATAGTATCCAATGTATTTTTATTGTTTTCATTGTTTTTAATCAAGTAAGAAAAATTAGATACCATTCCTGACACTGTGATTATAAATAATTAATGTAGTTTGATATTATTAAAATATTAATAATTATAATTTTACTTGATAATCAATCACCTCCAGCTGGTGTTTGAAATACTATATCATCACCATAATTTCCCCAACCCGCTTTTGTTTTTGCTCTAATTTTTAATGTATAATTTGTGTGCGGTATCGCTTTAGGATAATCATAAATAAACGTAGATCCGTTTAAATATATGGTATCGTTTGAGGGTTTTAGAGGGCACCAATCAGGTGTTGGAAAATGTATTTCCCATTTCATTATAATTTCAAATTCTTGTAAATTTCCTGCTAGATACGTTGGTGGTTCCCATGCAAGTGTAAACTGTGAATATGTTATATTTCTAATATTCATTATAGGTGCAGATGGTACTAAAATATCAAACATTTTAAATTGTTATTATCTTCTTTGTTTTTCACAGTGGCTAAGTTAACTGATTAAATCAATTGTAAGTCACACACATATATGTAATTTTAATGCATTTATCTGTACTTACTATCTTCTTCTGTATCTACTTTTGTTAATTCGCTTAATTCACTAACACCTGCTTCATTATTGACATATGCCCAACATATATATGTTGTAAATGGACTAACATCTTTCATCACTGAATTTATAAGCATAAATTCATCCTGAATACAAGAATTTATAGGTTCTTCAACGTTTCCATTTACATGATCATAACCATGTCCAGCACTTGCTGTATAGTTACATGTGGCTTTCAGAGAATTTAGAATACAGCTACTATTACCTTTTTCAATTTTCCAAGAAAGCATTATACTATTCATTGTAACGTAAAATTCTGTTAATATTGGTGGTCTCGATACTAGTGAATAAAAAAATCAATTACAAACAGAAGTATGCAATATAATAAATGCAACTATAATAAATACCTGTTGATGCTGTACTTGCATTTATGGAAAGCATATCTCCATCATTATTGTCTTCATCTACTGCAGTAATATAAACATCATAAGAAGTACATGCATGTAAACCATCTACTGTTACATTTGTTCCAGTTATGATAATTGTTTTTAGTTCTGGGGTAATAGTTACACGATAGTGTGCAACACACATTGATCCCACTTTTGGTGGTTGCCACACAATATTTAAAGAAAATGCACTGACTTTTACAGTTGGCTCTTGAGGTCTACTGGGTTCTATTCAAAATAATTATTACTATTTTCTGAACAAAACCTAGTTACTGTTAGTACATATTTATTAACATACTTGGTGAATTTGTTTTTAAAGTAATATTGTGGCCACTAGATTGAACTAAATATGAAACAGCTTTAATTATAAAAAAATACTCTGTACACGGTTCCAAATTTTTTGCCAAATAGTATGTATTTGTAACTGTTATATTATTGCAGACATCATCAGAACATTTTGTAATCATATAACCCTGTACACATGTTGGATATTTTGATGGCTCTTTCCAACTTAAATTAATTGTATTAGTAGTGGTATGTACCACCATACCTTGAATTTCTCCAATTTCTGTAACTAAAATGTAACATAGCAATGTAATAAAAGAATGTGTAAGATTTCTAAAATCTCTTACAATGTTTTCCATTGAAAAGAAATTGTCTTTAATTATTAAATAAAGTTTAAAGTAATTTTGCAACATGATAATAATAAATGCAACTTTACTGTTGTAATCCGTTTTTGCTTCTGCACTAACTCCAACCGGTTCCGGATGTTTATCGACAACTATTACGGTAAATAAGTATTCACTACATGGATCTAAATTAGTGGCGTTGTATTGTGTAGTACTTGCGTTTGCTTTAACGCATGTTTCATTCAAGCACACGTAAATTAAATACGTGAATGATTCGTTCAGTGCATTTTCACAGGGAGGTTGCCAGGATAGATATACCCATTCAGTACTCACATAATCAACCGTCAGATTCTGTACCTTTTTATGATCTATAAACAAAGAGGAAATAAAATGTACTGTGCTACTATTTACAGAATATTTTTAATAAAGTATTCAAAACAAGCTCAATTAACATTTAAGCACATCAAACAGTTTGGAGAGTACTCTCCATATTCTAAAAGTTAATTTCACATATTACAAATACATAACTAAATGTACCTGTCGTATTACACAGAAGTAATTCAGTTTCAAAACTTTCCGCCGAATTTTCATTACTGTTCAGCGTACTAGAATCATATTGTGGTATGTTGAAAGTGCCATCATGCAACAGGGGCTCGGTTTGATCACATATTTTATCAGAAAAATTCTCAGCATTTCTAGATATTTCCAAATACGTATTGTTTACTTTAGAAGACGTCGAATATTTTAAGCGATTTAACGATAAAATTTCTGTCGTTCCATTTCCTTCTGAATTAATTAAACTTATGTTTCCAAGTATACAGATAATTTGAAACGTGTAAATCAGTAGTTGCAATTGTTTCCTTACAATCATGATTTTTGGAGAACTGTAAACAAAGTACAATTTTATGTCTGAAATTTATATGCGATTTAACAAATTGTTTGATGCGACAATTTTAAATAACATTACTGGGATTGTTATCGATTTTGAAATACTTATAGAATTAGCGTATAAAAGAAAAATACGCTTCGCATTGTTTGCAACAGATTACGCCAATCATCAACAATTAAAAAGTTCTATTTCTACATTTCTCGGTATTAAGATCGGTATTAATTTGATCGATGATTAAATCGCGCAGTACTGACTAATGCATTATTGTCGATCGTAGATCAATTGTATTAATAATCTTCATATTAACTCTTGATCCATGATAATATTAGATTCCAAAAGAAAACAGAATGTCTGTAGACCAGTATACACGTTACAAAATAATAAAAATATTTCACAATTTTTTTTTATATATTGTTACCATATTAATTATAAATCCATAAAAACAATCACATACACAGATTTGCTTTCTTGATCTCTTGTACTTCTTCAATATGCATCCGCGCAAAAATGAGCTCACAATGGTTAATAAAACGAAAATAAAATGATAAAAAATTTAGACACACATGTTGGCCAATGGAACTGGTAATGATATGAGAGACAATTTTAGAAATCTAGTACGTACGATATTCTTTCGATAATCATTGTGATCACTAACTGACAGCTTTTCGTTTATCCACTCTGGTCATTGATATCGCTGATAAGAATCTCAAGTCCATTTTAAGCTCTTGAGAAAGCACTCTGCCACTACTCTGTTATCCAAACACTGTACTACACATTTCCATTCTTCTTTCGAGTATTCTGATATTCATTGTACATTTTTGTTTAAAATTTTGTGCGCTGATTATAAATTTACTTGTACTGAAAATCACTACTACCTTGGATGTATATTAGATTATAAAGCGCTAACATATAAGTAAAACACAGACGTAATTTACATAAAATTGACACAAACGCACCCACACATACACATTCGCTTTTATACCATACATAAAATGTTACGAACACAGTAGTTATAAGTAAAGGTTCGATAAATAGCCGTTATTTAGCTAGAGTCTTAAAGACGGCTACTTATCGAGTGGTCACTATATCATGTTCCACATATTTAAAAAGATAGCAAACCAAGCATGATAGCTGGCAATGTCAACCATAGAATATTGTACATTTATATACTTTTCAAAATTGATAAATTTTATTAAAACTGTACAAGGATGTATATTTTGTATACTTGGAAAAATCCAACATCAAGAAATAAGTTTAGACAATTTCAAAAATAGAATAATTTTTAGTAGAAATTGGTTTAATTTCCATACCTATATACAAATATATATTACATCTTAATGTTTAGTATTGCATTCTAGTGTGGTATTTATAAAAAAAATATCTTAAAGCACCAAGTATAGAAAGTAAGTCGTAGCAAATCGTAATACTAGTTAGTGAATGTTAAATTATAATTAATTTATGTATAAAAGAATGCTTACATAATATTAAAAACAAATCAATTACTATTTCATATGTTTTGTAAACATATGTTTTTCTTTTTTTTTTATTACATCATTTGTAACTTATAGCAGTATCAGAACCTTTTCTGTGCAACATTCATGTTTATGTATTTTTATACGTTTTTCTGTTTTGTTATAAAATTTAACTTATGAAATCAAATAAAAACTGTTATTTTAAAATATATGTATATACATCACTTATGTTTTAATTAATGTACTATTTTATGAACACGTAATATGCTTTTCTTGTAATGATTAGTTGAAAAGTTCAACCTTTTTTTTATAATTCCATACCATGAACTCCGCTTATATCTTTATTGTCTTCAATTTCTTTTTTAATAAGTGTATTGGTAACGATTTCTTGATAGTATTCTCCAAACACGCTTCTGTTATGGGAAATAAGTATTAAAAACTGAGCCGCTATGGCTGTTAATTCTTCTTGAAGTGATGAAAGTCCTGGTGGTACGTGCTGTGGAGCAGCAGATTGAGATGATATTATTTTTTGCAAAAATTGCCGAATTCTCAAACCTGAAAAACGATATAAAATGAACGAGGCTGATGTCATAAACTTGTATCCAATACGTACTTATAAGATGTCTGATTTTATGGTCTGGCTTAATAAGGTCTAATATTTGTCCTTCTAGTAACGTTTCCAGCTGCGGAGTTAAGGGTTCAGAACCAATTTCTTGCAATGTCGCATTCAAGTCCATTTTAATTTGTAACACAACATTGGGTATTATGGATTCCAAATCCCTAGCAATAATACATATGAAATTCACTTTGTAATTTTATTATGTATACATGATATGCACATACTTATTTGAATGCACAGTGTCCAATAGTACATTAAGATGTTGTTTAATTTCTTTTTTTAAACTTGACACCCCATGTACTGGTGGACCAACCGTATTGTTTACGAGTAATATCACGGATCCCATAATGCTTAATCTGCTGGTTTTATCGCGTAATTCTAATAATCTACCCTGATCAAGCATTAGAGTCTGAAAGAAAAGAAAATTTACATAATTATCAAAACTAATGGTATTGATGAAACAGACACTTGACAACATACTTCTGCATCCGGATTAAAATCCCACTCTAGAAGATCAAGATATGCTTCGGTTAAAAGAGAATGTGTAAGTTGTCTTACAGCATTAATATCAGATGAACTGGCTGTAACTTTTGTTGGATCAAAATGGCTTAGTAACCATTTTTCAGTATATTGCAAACCATTAGTATTAATTTTCAAAAATTCAGCAAACTTTGCTTTCTCATATTCAATACTGGAAGCAACTATATTTGGTCTCATCATAGTGATAGTAAAATTCGCTAAATCAAGGCGCATTAACTGTAGCACTTCCATTATTCCTTTGAATATTTCAATAACATCTGTCTGTTGACTAAGTTCTGCAATCTTTTCATCTCTTACTGGTGCACAAACTTTGCTCATTATTGAGATCACATATTGTGCATAATGATGAAAATCTAGAACACCCTTTTCTGCTTGTTGTTTGATTAAATCTATATCAAGTACCTCATTCAAGTTCTCTCGAATTTTTGCATGGTGTGGTAACACTAACTCATCTAATGTCTGCACGAAGTAAAAGTATTAATGCATATATTCATATAAATATGTTATTTCTATACATATATAATACCTCTTTAATTTCTTTTAATAAAACCAATGCCTGTGTATAATTTGGAGGATCTTCAGCTAACTGTTCAGCTAACAAACTCCAAAAAGCTTTATGCATGATATCTTTTACTCTTTTGTGGAATGTACCATCATCTGGATCAAGCTTCTGTAATTGAAAATTTTTGTCCACCGCAATTTCATGTGCTAATGCCATATTTCTCATGCCATTTGCAGCTTTTATAATTTCTTCAAGAGTAACAAATTTTGGTGGGGATGCTCCTACTAAACCTCCTACCATAAAATCTGAAATCTTCTGCCTACACAACATTAATTTAATCGCAAATTATGTTAACACAGAATTGAAATATGTTAGCAAATAAATAATACAAATATTTATAATGTACCCTCTTGCATTTTCCTCTTCTGTATCAGGATTTGAATTAGATTGATAATCTACAGGCGCAGATGTGCCAGGTTTGTTAATGTTGCATTTTTGGTCATCATCATTCTCCATTTTCTGGTTCCTATATAATAAAATACATTATTATATCTTGTCAATTAATTGCAGCCAAAACAATACAGTAGATATTATTAAAATAATAAAAATAATCATGCTAAAGATAATTATTAAATCAATACACAGATTAATTATTAGGTACATGTTACAATTAATATTAATAGCTAACTCATATTAATTTCACTCATTTAAATTGCACAATTCTGTTTGTATGCTATAATTAACACATATGAAATTGTAATAGACATATTAAGAATAAGAAAACAAAAGAAGGGATATAATTAAGAATACACATATTAGATATTTAATTATAGCATTATACAAAGGTACATGGCACTGACCAAAACAAAATACCCGGAATAAAATTTAATAGTGCCATTGATCTTGAACATTTGCTACTAATGAAGAAACAGCCAAGAGTAATACCCCATATTACTCCAACACCAATCCAAATTTTACTCCTAATAAAATAGCGTTTAATCATATATTTACCAATCAACTCTAAAGCATTTATGAAAAATTAAAAATTAAGGAATAGTAATAAAATAATGACACCCATAAATTATTACTCTTATTTTAAAAAAAATATTTAGTTCACATTTACCTGCAAATCAGCTGATATCTTTTTAAATAAACAATTTTCACAGTTAAATAATAAAATGTAATAATTCACATGATCGCTAATTTAATTAATTTAATAAAAATTAAAATATAACACATAAAAAGTATACCTATCTGGCATGATTAATGTTTGATTTAAATATTTTGTTGAAGCATGATCTGTACTCAGAAGCAGCTGGTTGTTGAATGCACTAGTCACTGAAGAAAAAGAGGTCAAACTTTAGCTATAAAAAGAACATTCACAAGGTACATATAAGAATGATCCTTCCTGCTTGGTCAGACCAACAACATATTTTTATTTATGATAATGTACCTTATATTTACACATCATTTCAATTAAATGATTAATAGTTAAATTACAATAATTCTTAACATTCACATGAAAGTTGTTCGTTTTAAAATTCTGCTATAGTTTTTGGTGACAAATAAATACAAGTAGCATATTTTAATTAAATACATTTTCAAATGCATAATACAACATTTTATTCTTATGCAGAAATATGAATGTACTTATTGAATTAAACTTAATATTCTGTGCCAACAGTTCTGAATCTTTCCACAAATGCATACTGCCAAAATCAAAATTTAAGAATGCCAGAACTAACAAATCATTATATGCTAATAACTTGTTTGTTTTTATTTTCTCACAGGTTAGCGTTATGTATTCAATTAGTCTTTAATAAAATTAACATCTTGATTTGTATTGTCTTATATTCCCTTCACTTTTTCCTTCCTTTGTTAAACATATTTAAAATCTTTAATTACGTAAACAAAAACATTCTAACATATTTATCATTTTTATCAGATTACAACTTCCATAGAATATTTCATTCTAAATAATTAAAATAAATTTCAGTTTATCCATAGCATGGCAATAGGATAAAGCTTATTCATAGCAATTTTATTTACAAATTACATTAAACTATTTTCATGTATCAAATTTATATCATATGTATTCATATTTTGATCAAATCTAATAATATGCATTTTTACAAACACAATTGACCTTGTAGTACAACCTGTAAACTTAGTTCTTTTGCTGAATAATTACTTTTTTTGGATTCAATATTTTACAACGCAATTATGCAGTAAATACACTTTCACCAAAGAATCAAAATGCGTAAATAATAAATGATATCTTACCTAATTTGATGCTTTATCAGAATGTTGCAGAGTTCATCATATTTTACTTCATATTTTTTACTTTAGATTTGTAAATAATTTTATAAGTAAATCATATTCGAAAATCAATTTTGTTTTGAAGAGCTATAATTTGTATATTTACAACTTTCTAGGTTGATGTTTGACAGTAAAGTTAGGTACACATTCAGTTTCAAAACTGTAGCGTCCTCTGTGAAACAACTGTTTGAGAAGAAAGCGAACAATAACAAAAACGATTTTATTTAATAAAATTATAAATTTGGGTATATAATTATTTGCGATTGTATGGATATCCAATAATAAGTTTCTGCTATACTACAACAATAAGAACACGTCATTTCTCAAAAAGTTTCAACACGAACCTTGTTTGGAAAACAACGTGACTCATCGTAGTCCACCTTGAATTTGCGAAGGTTTATTGGTCCCGATAAATAATCCCACCTGAATTGAATGTTCTTTGTTACAGATAAAGAAATCAGTAGTTTATTGAATGTATTATAATCTACAATTGTTTGTTTACGTTGACCCTAAAGTTATCAATTTTACAATGTGTTGTAACTCTGTAATCACAGTTCCAACATTAAAATTTCAAAATTTGTAAATTTACAAATTTAAAAATGAAAAAGCTTCTAAATCCTTAAATTTTTAAATTTCTAAATTCAAATATTTTCAAATTTCTCGCGCCCGATTGCGTCCGATTTTTTCCGAACTGGCCGCTGTTTAAATACTCGGGTACCCGACGTACCGAGTTATCTTGAACTACTCATTCGTCCCTATTTTTTATTTGAATTTTCTTTTTATGCATCCATCTATGATCAATATTGATTCTTGATTTCGTTTGTCTTATCTATCGATATCAGTGTACAAATAAATCTCATGGGCCGGAGCCCGCTAAATAGAATGAACTTGGACGATTGTCATTGCGCAGTCACCGTATACAAGTCTTAATAAATTGTCTTATACTTTCAGTATTGTACATAAGATTATTGTACAAATGTTTCCAAATCAATGAATGGTGAATACGTCAATTTTGTCACAAAAGAAAGTTGGTAATGGAGTGTTCGGTGCTAATTACATGTAACCAGAAAAGTGTAAAGCGGCTTTCAGTAGTGCGCGTGGACAACAAAACCGGCCGCACGCGCCACCTCCATATTGCATAAGGCCAAAATTGGCCGGTCAAAAATGTTAAGCTGTGGTAGAGTTATCGGACAATTGCCAAAACTTACGAGGCATTCGCATCTTAATCATTTCTGCCGACCTTTAAAATATATTGGTAAGTGTTAATTTGATTGTACGTCAAAATTGAATGATTTAATTTTAAAAGAAGTTTCTTCTGTTTTCGAACTTGTTTCCTCCTCCGACCAAATATTAAATTAATAACTCATTTCATATTTTTATGATTATAATTAACAATCATATTTTTCAATTGTACGTACATGTTTAAGTAATATTATCTTCTAATCAATATTTTTTTAACATTACATATAATGCACTTTATAGAAATTATACACCACGCGATATAACCTCAACCCTGTTCTAATCACTTCAAGTATTTATATTGATCATTATAGGCAATTTGTTAATAAATATGTTTAGTATGCCTTTCACTTAATGTTAATAAACTCAGGTTACTGTTTCTGTATATTAACATTTTTTAATAAAATGCGTATAATGAATTATTTATACATAATTCATGTTTTTTGCAATTATTTATTACCTTTTATTTATTTTAGGAATTACTAGTGTTAATAATTCATGGTATAGTAGCAACTCAGATGACAAGAAAACTTATAAGCCAGCAGGCACCACCATAAAACCAGAAGAATGTGTACCTGACAAAACTAGTTCAAAACCAAAAAGATCTCTACCGTCTTGTGAATCTTATCCTAATGCATCTTGTCCACCATCTTGTTATGAAGTTTGTCAACCAGATTCACAGAGTCCTAATGGTAAACCACCATCACCACCTTATTGGAAGATATTGGCAACTTTAATTATAGCTGGAGTTACAATATATGCGGTATGATAGCAAAACATTATATTGTAATACTTTATTTTGTTTCATTTTAGTTTATCTTTTGGTCATATAAAATAACATTTAATACAATTTTTTATATGAATTACAAAACACGGAACTCTTTTTATTTCTTTAACATCTTTATTAAAACATATCCTATAGATATCTTCCACAAATTGGTTTACATCTAAGAAATCAGATTCTGAAAAGGATGTAGGTAAGAGTCAATTACATTATGACTTACAATCATATAATTCGTTGAAACTTAGAAAAGTGATTTCAGGTAAAAAGGAGAGAAAACATAGAAAATCTGATAAGGCTAAATTACCACCTACTTCTAGTTCATTCCCCAAAGATGTACCTTACCTTTTAATAGGTGGAGGAACAGCTGCATTTTCTGCATTTAGGTCTATTAAATCTAGGGATCCTAGAGCTAAGGTAAGTTATAATAGTCTTGTAATATATATCAATTTAACTATGATGAGTGTAGTATGTTAACATCTGTTATAGGTTTTAATAATAACAGAAGAAGAAGATTTACCATATATGAGACCACCATTGTCCAAGGAACTATGGTACAATACAGATAGAAAAACAAGTGCTGAGTTACTTTTTAAGCAATGGAATGGAGCTCAAAGAAGGTAATTATTTATTTATTAGTTAAATAATTAATTGGTAGTGTTTCATTGTATGCTTATTCACATTATAGTATATTTTATGAGCCACCCGAATTTTATTCAGAAGTTGATAAGTTGATTGAGTCGGAAAAAGGTGGTGTAACTGTAGCAACAGGTTGGAAAGTCACAAAAATTGATGTCCCAAACAAAACTGTAACGTTAGATGATGGTTATGAAATAAAATATGACAAATGTCTTATTGCAACTGGTAAGTATAATTGATTTGTTTGTGTATATATATACATATATATATATAATACATATTTTTTTAGGTGCATCACCTAAAAATCTTCCAGTATTTGAGTCACTTCAAGATGAAGTTAAAGATAAAATTAAAACATTTAGAACAAAAGAAGATTTTCTTGATTTGGAAGAAAGTGTGCATAATCCTAAATGTAAAAATATAGTAATAATTGGCGGAGGATTTCTCGGAACAGAACTCGCTTGCTCTCTTGCTCGTAATTGTACGTTTTTATTATTCCTTTTTCAGAGTAATGGTATTGAAAGTAAAATAATTTCATTTTTATCTAGTACCTGAAAACAAAAAAGTACATCAAGTATATAAGGAGAAATTTATAATGGATCAAATATTACCACAATATTTAAGCGAATGGGCAACAGAAAAAGCAAAATTAGAGGGCGTTAATTGTATTCCTGATTCTGAGGTCGAGGATTATTATTATAAGAATGGACGTTTATCGCTTACTCTTACAGGAGATAATGTTGTGCGTGTTAAATATTTTCATGAAAAAGTTTAAATTGTACCATAAATATTTATTTTTTTTATTTTTTACATGAATAGATTGAGGCTGATGAAGTAATAGTAGCAGTAGGCGTTGAACCAAATACGGAATTGGCGAAAGTTTCGCATTTAGAAACAGATCCTGAAATAGGCGGCTTCCTGGTTAATGCAGAACTAGAAGCAAGAAGCAACCTTTGGGTTGCTGGAGATGCAGCTTGCTTTTATGATATCAGGCTTGGTAGAAGAAGAGTAGAACATCATGACCATGCTGTAATTTCAGGAAGGCTAGCAGGAGAAAATATGACTGGTGCAAGTAAGTAAAAATTTATTCAATATAGTTTACAATAAGAATCGATTTAAATGAAATTTATTTCTATATTTTTACCAGGAAAACCATATCTGCACCAGTCGATGTTTTGGTCCGATTTAGGACCGGAAGTTGGATTTGAGGCAATAGGTATTGTCGATTCTGCACTGCCAACTGTAGGTGTCTTTGTAAAAACAGAAAAAACTGATGATACTTCACTAACAGCCATCGATACTTCGAGTAAAACAACGCAGTCCTCAGATAAAGAGGTAATAAATGTTTGAAATATTTTATAATTGTATATTCTAACACAACATTATATATTTTTGTAATTTATATTTGTACAATGTAGAAGGTAACAACGCAAACAGAAAATTCGGATCAACAAAATTCGAAAGAAGATGATAGATGTATACGTACTGATGCTTCAAAATCGACAGAAGAAACCTCTAAAAAGTATGAAGACTTTGGAAAAGGAGTTATTTTTTATTTACGTGATGATATTGTGGTTGGAATAGTCCTTTGGAATATCTTTAACCGGATGTCTATTGCTAGACAGGTGCGTCCATAAAATATATTAGCATAATTACGTTATTTATATTGTTTAAAGATATATTTTTCTACTGTGTTTTATATATTTATTTTAGGTACTTGCTAAGGGCACAAAATATGATGATTTAAATGAAGTAGCCAAACTATTTACTATTCACGATGACTGATTCCATTAGTGCAAAAATGAAATGACAATATTGCGTCATTTGTGTATATATGATTATTTATCTACTAATTCTGAAAGATTTTACCAATAAAAAAATCTAAAATCTTGTTACTAAGTTTGAAAGGTACGTTTGTATAAATACTGCACATACCAGATACAAAATATTTTCAAAAGGAATCTATCAGATATTCACACGTGTTAGATCATTGCAGACTGTGAATTTTATTATAAAATAAATGAAAAATTGTTTTATTAATTAATTAATCAGAGTTTAATATTCTTTCCAACAATATCATTATGATTGTATATCTGCGCAATATATTTTGTTACATTATAGAACCTGTATGTGTATGTAAATGCCATATATTATAGCAAATATTTCGATAAAGTTGTTAATTTTTATGCGTTTAAATATTTACTTTAACGTTCTTTTATAATTTTATTAATTATGAACAATTATTGGAAGATACTGTTTTGATTTATATCTTATAGATCTCCGTATTTTGAAAACTTAGTTTAACTGAATCCTTTAAGAACAAATTTTGGTAAAATTTTATTTCCATATCTTTTATCTAATGTATCCATAAATTTAATGTACTCATGAGATTTATATTCATTGAATACCTGCAAATAATGTAAACATCGTTATTATTTCCTAAAATCTAAATTTTTTATGTACATACCATATGTTCAGGCCACATTTTTCCACTTGTTATATCTTCCATTATTATACGTTGACAGTGGTACAACAGTGACACACAATAGTATATTATATAGTCAGATGAATATAAAATACAAATAGCGAAAAAATGCATAATTTGAGGCCAAGAAAGTAAGCCCCAAAAACATTGAGATATCATTAAGTTACATATTAAGGACCAGTTCATTCCACAAGTATCCTGTATTTACAAAATTATTGTAGAATTCATTGCAAGACATAATATGTTTTTACTAAATAGAAATATAATTTTGTAGATTGAATGTTACGTATAGAAAAAAGTGTAATATCTTAATGTGTATATTTACCTTAAGAGCAAATTTGATATGGGGAAATTCATTACTAACTATGCTTTCTAAAACTTGCATAAATGTAAATTGTGTACCATATTCTTCTTCCATATGCTTGTCTAAAACTTTCCCCAAATTTGGCCATAAAAATGCGGTTACTGGGAATTTAATTAATTGTGCAACAAATATTTTGCACCTGTAATTATCAAATTCATAGTATCATTTTATTTTAGTAGGTCAGTGATGATAAATAACTGTCTTATTATGCGCATTGTCATTAAAAATGATGACTAAGTTTTCAACCTGAGACCTGCCAATGATGATACTTTGACTAGCTAGAGTTATCCCACGTTTTTTCTTCGACAAAATATTAACCATTTGAATTGTTTTTTATCAAAATACTTTTGCAAATTTTTATAAAAGTTGTTTGATTAAAAACATTTTAAATTGTTAATGAAGGGTGTATTCGCGGTCAACTGAGGCATCTGTATGAAGTGTAATATATAAACAATAAAAAATTAATGTTTAACACTGAGTTTCTTGCTTCATTTACATTTACATTATGGGAATTCCTGAATATAATCTTTTTATGGGTGCTTTTTTGTATACAAGAATAACAAGTTTATAAGAGCCAGTTTGATAAAACATGAAATCTCACTCTTAGAAGATAATACATAACAAAAATAAAATGTACCTCTGTATATCTCCTTTACAAATAATAAATACCGTTGACAAGAACCAATCAAATCCATCAAATCGTTTTGGTCTCTCATATTTTATAAATGCATAACAGCTATTAATAAATTCTTGTAGTGTTTCTTTCATTTTAACAGTATTTTCTAACAGCTCACTTTGTTCTGCATAATGTAAAGCTAAGTTAATTCCATGAATTTCTTCTGGAAACCAGAAATCTGTACTTGATGATATATTTTCCTGCCATTGAAAATGTTCATCCCATTCTGCAGTGGGAATTGCTTTCTGCATCTGATCTACTAATTGAATCAGTACTGTTCTCTAAACAAATAAGTTACTTTGTAAAAACACTGGTGTATATCAAGCAAAACTGAAAAATATATTAACCTTTAATGGATCAGATGATGCTTTATATGCATCTCTAATTTGTTGAACCCAGTTACTGTCTAACAGTCCAGGTTTATTTTCTCGAAGTAAACTTTCCAATTCTGAATCATATTCAGTTTCAGAAAAATATGTGTCTTTTGTATTTGATTTCCAAGAAGATGATTTTGCCAGATCATATACTTCTGATTCAGAAGCTTCTTCTTCATCTGTACTTATCATAAAATATGTTTTGGATATAATTTTTTTTCTTATTATAGTATAATCATCAATACATATAGGGCTTAATTCTTCATTTCCAGCTTCTGTATTTGAATTTTGAAGCTCTAATAATATGTTCTAAAAAACATTGGCACCAATGAAAAAAGAAAATTGTAGCAGCTTATTCTTAAGAAGCATTGATTTGTTACCTGGAAATTCAGTAATTCTAGTAAATATAGACAAATATTTAAATTCCAAATGACTGCATTTAATGACAGAAGTCCCAAGTAATGATAATTTGATTCAGGGTTTATTGAACTTTTAAAAAGTTCAAATAAGTTAGGTGGGTAATTCTGTTCTTCACTACTATCTGATTCATTTAAATTTGACATAAATGCAGAATAACCTAATAGAATTTAAAATAAATAATTATTATTAATAAATGTTAATAGTATAATTAAATATAGTGATACTGGAATTATTATGCTTACATTTAAAATTAAGAGAAAAAAATGTTAATATATGTAAAAACTTTTGAATATTTTCATGATCCCATGGATCATAGAAATAATGTGGAATTTCTAATATTTTACATGTTTCTAAAAGCAAGTTTGATAAAACGTGAGATGCAAGATTCGCAATTACATCATATCCCAATTGAAAAAAGGCTGCAGTTGATATGAAATTAACTACTTCCATTGATGTCCATGACATCCTCAAGGGTGCAATAGATCCTTCAATTAATTCTTGGAATACTGATAACTCTTGAACAAGAGCTTTCAATGCAAATGGTATATATACCATTTTAAGCAATAATGAATTAACTGCACTAAAGAAAAAATTTGTTAATATTGATATTTTGTTGATAAGTATATAATCTATAAGTAAAAATTACCTGTTCATTTGTTGGACTTTATTTTCATTTTCAGGATAAGATTTATTTAACTTATTGTAAAAATATGACACAGCAGGATAAAATTCGTTTTCTACTTTATGTTGTACAATCTCATATACATCAAATATATCAAATAACTTTTCCATTACTTTAAATAGTTTCAGTAGATATTCGATATTTATTATAGAAAAAGGTTGTTTTAACATGTTAGATGCTATCATTACGATAAACATGGCTGGACATTTTGATATGGTGTTTTCAAAATTTACTGTATGCTCTTTACATTCTGTAATAAGAAATGAAGAACCATCCGCTGTGTCCAACATATGCAAAATAATATTTAATGTATGTACCCATATCTTAATATTATTTTCAGACAGAGAAGATAAATGACATAATGCAATATGATAAAATTCATGATCATATAAAATAGTTGGTTTATCTAAAATAATTTGTAAAGCATAACAAGAAACATCATATACCCCATTTAATGTTTCCATACCTAATTTATTTAAGGCTTTTAAACAAGCAGTTAGAAATTCAGAAACTGAGAAAGGAGGTTCAGATATACTTTCTGTTAAAAGTCTTCGCCCTGCATCATAAGCACAAAGTTGTGATACAAAGCATAAACAATGAAGATATGTTACTGTTTCTATGGTATTTCCATTAATGATAACTTCCATTGGATCATCATAAATAGAAACTGTTACAGAATGAGGAAGCTCTTCCATTCCTTTCTTTGTGTAATGCATTATTTGTTGCAATAAACTTGGTGACTTTCCTAATGCTGTTAAAAACATTTTTCTAGTAGTAAGATTGACAATCCATTTCTTACTCCAATCTGCACGTGGCTCCAGTATGGAAATTATATTTAATATATTTAATGGCTTAGGTTGCATTAAACTATCAAATTCGTGTGTACTTAAAAATGTTATGAATTGTTCTATTAATTCTTCTGTACTTTTATCAGCGTGTCTTGCGCCTTTTATCTTTTCTTCATTAAAACGAATCAATAAATGTGTAATGCGAAATACTCTTTCATGCAAAAAAAACTTAAAATTAACGCCGGCAATTAGAGTAGGTAATATTTCAAATGTCTTCTGTGAATGGTATTGAGCATTAAAGGCATCCAGTATATTTGTATATACATCATGTGATTGTAAACAAATTAGCAAATTTGCATGTACTTGTAAGCTAGATTCAAAAATAGATCTACTCTCATCTGTGAGACCATCTAGCAAAGCCTTCCGAAGCGAGTCCCATATTGGATTGTTATTCAAATTCGATAATTCGCTTTTTAAAAGAATTTCATAACCAGATAATCTAACATGAGCAGGTTTATCTTGACTGATTTTATTAATAATAATATTGTAATATTCATCGTTATTTAACGGAGAATTCCAATCTTCGCTTGTTTGATCACTAATGTAAGAAAATGATGACTGAGGCCGAGAATCAGAAATTATAGTCGATGTAGATCTTGACGCTGATTGCTCAGCAACTGTCGCTTTCATAGAATTCAACAAAGTGGACATTTCTTTAGAGTGTATAATTCTTTTAGCTATTTCAGTGTAGCTCACATGTTCGTCTAATGATTTTTGTATCTTTGTTTCAAACTCTTTTCTTAAGCACTTTTTAATCCACTTTTGAAGATTTGAAGAAATATTATTTTCCATACTTAAAAAATAATATAAATTTATTTACACAATTATACAAATTGAAACTAAAAGTAGAAACTAAATGTAGATGAAATTTGTAGACTATGACTGTAATGTTTTGATTCTGTTTCTATGGCTACTGACGAAAGTATATAAAGATATAATGTATGCTTTATATGTATAACAAATTTTTAATATTTTTTCTTATATGAGACATGTTTTATACATATTTGTAATCACATTTTTATATATGTCTCATTGTTATAAAATTTCGTAAGATACTAAAGCGTCATTAAACTTTTACAAAATTTATAATTAGAAACATCAAAAATGGGATTTGGAGTATTTATATATTACTGTCAACGCGCAGCTACTATAACATTCGGAAATTTCTTTTGTAAGGCATAAATTCCTCCTTGTAGCGAACATACACCAGTTATGCCACATTTCACAAGAAAATCTGCAAACTGCAGAAGATATTTTAATTTTAACACCCATAAAAAGTATATTTTATAACATGATATTTACCAACGCATTATTTTGATCATGAGGTCCAATAATTACAACTATACTGTTTTTACTTTCAGCGAGCGGCTTTGCATGTGATCCAAGTGTTTCGATATGAGTTTGAGATAGTTGTACACTAGTAAATGGAATGTTAATACTGCCTACCACAGCACCTCTTTCAAATCTATGAAAGGCAAATTATATTTATATGTATCAGTTACATACTTCTAAACTGAATTTCTATTTTTTTAACAATTAAATACTTACTGTATATTATTACGTATATCTACAGATATTAATCTCTCAGGGTTGTTATCTAACAAATTCATAAAATCATCAACACTAATTCTTGGCATTTTCTCAGTACCTGGTTCTGGTTCAGACCAACTTGCATCCTATAGCATAGTATTCTGTATTTAAACTTGTAAAATTATTCGAGAATATGTATAAATTTATTTGTATACCTTAGGTTGATTGAACTGAAATTTTCTGTAAGTGATACTAGGTGGTGTAGTTTGATACATCGTCATAGAATCCTTAACACATAATTCTATATCAATTTCAGGAAGATCAGAAAACAGAAGGATGCACTCGTTGAAACCAGAAGTTAACAGAGAATCGCGTAATTGCTTTAATATTGCTAAACCAACAAGAAGTGGAAATGACGAATCTCCTAGCAAAAGTTTATCCCATAAATGCAATATTTTATGAAGTGGAAATACATCTGAAAGCCAACATGTAATTTAATAGAAATATTCTAGGTAATTAACACCTATAATAAATAACTTACGTGAAAACATTGTTAAAAACCACGGTATAGCAAACAATTCTGGTACAAAGTTAATTGATCTAAGATGATTTGCTAACTGAGGATCATGAAAGGCTATTATTTGCGAAAATTTTCCTAGGTATTCTTGTATGATGGCAGAATTATCTTTCAAAAAGAATTTATGAAGATATTTTGGTATAAATGCAGACAGACATTCGAATGCTCTAGCTGAAATGGAATAATATTAACAAAATTTAGAACAATCAAGATAAGAAGTGTACAGTACGTATATTACCTTCATTATTGAAATTGAGATAAAGGAATGGAGCCGTTAGCGAATCTAATCCTTGCCAATAAACATAATGAGGGTTATTTCGAACCCATGCTTTGAGTAATCTTTGAAGCCTTTCATGACCAGCACCAGATGATAATAGCTCACTGTATTGATGACATCTTGGTATATCTACTTCTATCTAAAAAATGATTAATACACTAAAACGTGAATATAAATGACACAGTAAAATTATCAATAAATTACCTGTCTGTCTGTATGGGTAGGAGTTTCTTTGTCAATCATATCATAACGTTTCTGAATATCACCAGTAATACCAAGCAATGCTGCCCAGACAGCTCCTCTAACAGGTGGAGGTATATCTTTGTGTGCTTCTTCAATGATAGCTTCCCGAGTAATTGGGTAAACCTAAATAATAAAAAAGTGCCATATAAAGAGATCTCACTGTATACACATTATTAATAAAATTTTATACAAATAATATAATACCTGTAATAATCTATCATACAAAACAATCCTATAAAACTGATACTCTGTGTCTCTTTCTCTTATAATTAATGGTAACTGTGAAGAAGCATCCATTAGATCTTCCTGTAATTGGATACGCATTCTGCAAAAAAATTGATAAAAATTTAGTAGATGCGTAAATGTTTTATATCTATATTAATTCTATGTACATATATATAAATATTCAATACCTACTGATTTGTCAACCATGGATAATTTGCTATATACGGAATGTGAGATAGACGTTGACGTAGTGTATCAAGCGGAATTTTTACTACACGCAAATCAAGTAAGCCTGCTGTGTCTCTTTGACCAAACATTTGACCTAAAAGTATTACCAAACTAAAAACGAAATAATATATGGTGCTCTGTTGTTATAGAATCGATTTGTAAAATAGTCAAAATTACTTTGGTATAGATAAAATGGGTGGTGTTGATCTGATAAGTCCTTGCTTCTTTAATTCTGCAGTAATATCTCCACCTGCTAATTGCCATAAGTAATATAATTCATCCATTTTTCTAACTATAACATTTTTGTAAAGACTTTCTTCTTTTTCTTTTTCATTTTTTGATAAAAAATGTTCAAATATTGTAAGTTTTAACAATTCCTCAGGTGTTTTACGTTTTGAAGGATGAATTTGAAGACAGGCATCTATAAACTCTTTTACCTTATCAGGTAATTCCTGATATAATAATAAACTATCAATAGTGTAAATATTAATAAAAGTCTGTAATATATATCAACAAAAAAGTATACCTTGTAAATGTGATAACAATTATTTTCTCTTGCAATACGTTCAAATACAGAAGTTTCACAATGTATTAAACTAAGAACCTTTCGCAAGCACTGAGATAATTTCACATTTGGCCATATTGATTTTCCTAGTAATAATTCTCCTATAATCATTCCTAAAGACCAAGAATCCACTTTTGGACTACTAACACCTGGGCTTAAAAATATTTCAGGTGCTGTGTATTTTGGATATCTGCAAATAATTATAATTATAATTTTTATGTTATCAAATATTTTTGGCTTCATTAGTACCTACCCAATAGGAAAAGATACATTTCTCCCACTATCAGTCATATAGTATAATCCAAAATTATACAATTGCACATTTCCACTTGTGTTAATGAGTATATTATCAGAACTTAAGTGTCTATGTACCAAACCTAATGCATTCATATGTTTCAATCCTAATAAGCATTGAAATGCTATTTTAATAATATCATCAAGATTTAAATTTTCTTTGCTGCTGAGTGGGTCACCATTGTATTCTGTCACAACTACTATCCGTTCTGTAAATAAATTTGTATATATTTTAACTATATAACTATATGATATCCATATATATAAAAAGTTACCATGTTTGCTTCTAATTATATCCAGATAAGTAGATAAGTATGGATGATGAATAGTTTTCAGAAATTGTGATTTTCCATATATAGTTATTGAGTTTGGTGTAAGAGGTAAACCATTACTTCCGCAAAGTTCTACTGGATGACTTTGTGCAAAAAATGTCATTCCACCAAAACAGCGCTCTTCATTTTCTAACAGTGCTGGACACATTTTGTAGCCTATAATGATATAAAATATGATAATATTAACTTCAGCACCTTATTATAATTAACAACTTAATTCAGAAACAAGAAGAAGCAATAATTAGGAAATTAATATTACTGTTAATTGTTAACATTGCATACAAATTGTTCTTCATTATATAATATAAAAAATATACGTACACTAATATATTTACATATAATTATAAAACAGGTTAATATTGTATTTACATTATTAACCTCAAAATGTATTAATGATACTCCCACTTGTAAGAAAGTTTTATTAAAAAATTGTTTAGGTTTACATTTTTTCGTGATTAAATTAATTAAATTTATCATCGACAAAAAGATTAAAAGTAAACCTGTCCATTAATTTTCTTCATACGAATGAATGACAAGCAACCTCTTGTAAATGTCTATTTTTTATTGCATTATTAGGTACTCCCATTGATACTCCCCTGGACCATGATTTTGTCATCCATATATATTTATCCACCCTGTATATGGTCTGTGATATAGACATGAAGTGAGGAGTATTACAAAAGTGTCTCCTGAAAATAGTCATTAAAACTATTTATATAATAATTAATGAAATAAATTATTAAACTACATAAAAATTGAAATAATCAAAACGTATATAACATTACTTAGAATGTAATAATTTCCAAAAAGATGAGATTATGAAATATTTGTCTAAACTGCACTGTCGATGTTCACCACGCCAACTGTGTCAATCTCAGGAACTATATGAGACAACCTTAAAATTTACTACTGTTTCCTATCTAGTATATACAAACTACTTCTTCTTTCGTGTTTCTGGTTACCACAGATCGGTCGTTCTTTTCCGGTTTTAATCTCGAGTTAGGCAGTTCACTTTGTGCGCTGGTCGTCTTCTATCCAAACCTAAAATGACGTGAGTATTAAATCTTTCAATATCTTAGTAATCCATCGTTTTATTCTTTCATTATTAGTAAATTAATTTGCTTTAGTATATTATTTCATCGTGGTTATAAATATTTTATATAATGAACACTAATCTCAGACATCATGTTCAATTCTTTACATCTTCATCCACACTTTATCTATGAAATATTTTAACCAGTTTGGTTTGAGTTTATAATTACAATTCACATCATTATAAAACTTGAATCATTTAATTAAAATACATTTAAATTCTACAAATAAGTGCATGGTTGAATGAAATCAGATATCTACTACATGGTGTTCTCATTTCCATATGGGTCTCTACTTCATATTTTATTAATATTTCCTACTTATAACAATTCTGATCAACAGGTCTAAAGTATCGCGTGATACTCTTTACGAATGTGTGAACACTGTTCTTCAACACTCGCAAGATAAAAAAAGGAAATTTTTAGAAACTGTGGAACTGCAAATTGGATTGAAGAATTATGATCCGCAAAAGGACAAACGTTTCTCGGGCACTGTCAAGTATGTTTCTACCTGACATTGAGGATTCTTTTCATTTTTCATAACAGTTAGAAAATTTTTGTTAATTGAAATCTGAAAAGCTTGCCTCATGGTATAGTCAGGAAGCTGGGTTTTACCTGGCGGACCTTTACCCAGGGTCTTAAATAAATTGGGGAGGTTTTTAACCGTTATTTTTATTGCAGGATCATAATATATGATCCTGTTGGTAAGTTAATACTTAACTGTGATGATTATTTATGGAAAGCAATGTTCAATGATGGTTATCATATTGCATGTATTATCTAAATAATTCGTGTGGATACCATATACATTACTGAGAACATTGGTTTTCAATTATATTTAAAAATTTTTGAATTAAATAAAATTTTAAGTCAATAAAATTATATAATATCATAGTAATGAAAATTAAATATTAACACAATTGTTAAAGGTTGAAGAATATTCCAAGACCAAAAATGCAAGTTTGCGTTCTGGGTGATCAACAACATTGTGATGAAGCTAAAGCTAATAATATTCCATACATGGATGCAGAAGCATTAAAAAAATTGAATAAAAATAAGAAGCTTGTAAAGAAATTAGGTGGGTGTTATTTATTAGATGGATTTAATATTTGTTATCTTCCAAAAAGCACCATTGTTAATAAATAATTTGTAGCAGTGGTCGTCGAACGGAAGAAAATTAAATTCTTCGCTAGGTGAGGAGCGTTGTATTCGTTGCTCCGCTCCGCAATCCGCGTTGAGACATATTTATAAATTAGTTATAATCTTAGGTTGTATGTTAACCTGAAATTAAATTGAATGCATTGTTTTTAGCCAAAAAATATGATGCGTTTTTGGCCAGTGAATCTCTAATTAAACAAATCCCACGTATTGTTGGACCTGGGCTGAATAAAGCTGGTAAATTCCCTGGTCTCCTTTCTCACCAAGAATCGATGGTTGGAAAAATTGACGAGGTCAAAGCCACAATTAAATTCCAAATGAAAAAGGTACAGTAACTTATGATTAAAAAACTGATTAATTCCTTTTACATATAAATTATTAACAGAACTGTTTACAAAAATTACAATGTGCTATATAATTTAAAAATTATGTTCATAGGTACTGTGTCTCTCTGTAGCAGTAGGACACGTCGAAATGACTCCAGATGAACTGGTTCAAAATGTACATCTTTCAATCAACTTTTTGGTTTCATTGTTGAAGAAGCACTGGCAAAATGTGCGCTCTCTTCACATCAAATCTTCCATGGGACCCCCTCAAAGACTGTACTAATTTAGTTAGTACAATTGTTTTTGATGTGCATTAAATAAAAAAAGAGAATATAATTCCAATATTTATTCAGTGCTATTGCAAAAGTTGACCGTGATTCTGCCTTGAAAGTTGGCCATCGTTACACTTTTTAAAGATTATTCCTAATATACAAAGAATAAAGAAGTATGTACATATGTAGGATATTCTGGAATTATATTACTTTTCTTGAAACTTGGTCAAATAAGATTCAGAGTTGCGGACAACTCAAGCGGCACTATTGTATTTATATAAGTATTAAAAATACCGTTGTACAAATTTAGTTCCTTACCATGTTGTATAAGTTCTAATTGTAATTTTAATACAGACTTCGTACGTCTGTAACACGTTTGCGTTGGTCGAATGTATCAATACATTTTCAACGGAAGTTAGTGATTGAGTAAAAAACTACAATGCATTGGATGAAAAATTAAATTATTTGTTATCACATTTTTAGTTAATACAAAAATATAAAATACGCAAAGTACATTTACTTATAAAACTAAAATCGAATTTTTTTTATTTTTTTCATCACTTGTCACATGACGGTTGCAATTACGTATTTCCTAAAAGTGCAACATGGCTTTCGAATGGAGCGATATGCTGTTTCTTTAAAAAATGTTTAAATCCTGAAAATTACAAATTTTTAAAGTCATTGGAAGTATATAACACAAAGTTATCGTTGATAATAAGCAATAAAAAATACCTATAAATAAATGAAGTAATCCTTTGTTGGGTGGAAACAGAGTCTGAAGTACTTTTAACAATTCTTCAAAATTATTTGTGCTGTTATAGTCTTGTATCATTTTTGCAAATATTTTATAATTGGATTCTGATAATGAACATTTTACCTAAAAATATAATGCATGTCCATTATGCCACATACACTTAGCTTAAAAAATAATAAATTTTGCCATTTACCTTTTTTAAATATGTTTTGCCTAGAGCTTTTTTATCGGTACTGTCGTCAGCTTCTGTATTATTTTGTTGAGAATTTGTTACATTTGCATCTGAAGCGGTAGAAGGACCTGATACATACTCATTGCATTCCATTGGTAATATTTTTATCTTTCTTCTCTTTGGGGCTGATCCAGTAGTACTTTTTGTTGATTCAGAAAAGTTTTGTTGTTCTTTTAATTTACAATCACTAAAATTGATCATAGGTTTCGAATCGGTCGCTAAAATCTCGAAGAAACTTTTCTTCTTTACTTCAGTAGGCTTTTTATCTGTTTCATTTCCATCAACATATAAATCAATGTTAAAATTGTCTTCTACTCGAGTTATGTGATCATTTGCTTTAGAAGTATTCTTTAACGTTCGAGACGCAATCGTGTCAAACGACGCAGATGTTGCTGACAGTGAAACACCCGAATACATGCCACTATTTGGTTGCGGGAACTAAAAAATGATTTTACAGTAAATAGAAGCTATAACAAATATCACCGATATTTTAATAGCCAATTATTTCTTTCATATGAAAAATGAATCTTACGGCACGGTTCGCATATTTAAAAAAGTCTCTTAAGTCTTTTGTAATAACACCAAAATTATTAAACTTTTTAACGTGGGGCCTGAGCCACGCAGACAACTGCTTTTTGAAACTTGGATTCTCAAATCTACAATCGCAAAGGATTATAGCTCCGTAGTCGTTTTTATGACGAATTATACGACCAATAGCTTGATTCACAGCCCGTGATGCTTCCAGTTGATACCATTGCTGTCCAGATAAAGTCTAAGGGGTAAAAAGCACAATTAAAACATTTGTATATATATACTTAAAATCTTGTGTATTAAAATTTTAATTACTTCTTTATCCAAACGTTTCATTTCTTCTAAGTATTGCTGTTTCAATATAACTCTAGGATCTTTTAAAGGTGGGAATGGTAGGCCAGTTATTAGCACAGCTCTTCCATTTGCATTAGCAAAATCGAGTCCTTCACTCACTTTACCTCTACAAACCGCCATAAAAATAGCTCCTTTATGAGAAGGATCATTAATTTTTTCGTAATATTCACTCATAATACTCGCAAATTCATCTCTGTATTGCGGTTCTACATATATTGGCTAATGAGCATAAATGAATGTTCTGCTGTATTTATATAAATAATATAAATAATTATATAACAAATATAAATAATAATTACCTTACGTTCTGCTATTTTAGTCCACAAACCAACATTTTGCCATTCCTCTCTACATTTTTTCATTACTGGATACGAAGGGAAAAAAACTAGTAAACCTTCAGGAATAAGGCAGCTAAAATTAAATATTGTTCGACCAAGAGACATTATGTATTTTGGATCATTCCTAAAATAAAATGTCATAACTGTATGGGTTCTCATATACGTTATAGTCTTATTCTTTTAGCCATACCTTGTATTAAAAGAAGAATTTAAAGAATAGCCATCAGGGCCTTGACTAAGGACACCTACACATATTTGATCTCCTTTTACAATATGTGGATTTTCTAATTGAACTTCAATTGGTATTCCAAGATCAGATATAAAAGGTTGTAAGGGAGATAATGTTCCACTTGTTAACACTATTGAATGCACACCTTGTTCCATCAATTGGTGCATGCTTTGTAAAATATCATACCATTATAATTAACATGAAAATATGTAAATTTAACTCAAGGAAAAAAAAATACCTATATCCAGGGCTGAAGCACCAATAGCTAATAATTTTTCCTTCATTCTTCAAGACCTTTTTTTTCGATTCCCAAACATCTTTTTTACCTTTTTTTGGTTCTTCTACCTGAATATATACTTTATAGCATTGTTTAATTTTCTCTTTATAACGAGCGCTATTGCCACTGCTAAACACGGTTCTTAGCAGGTCACTGAATTTTTGGAGAGCATTACCCTTCCTTGCAAATGGAGATATACTTGCAGTTGATAAGTAAAATACAATTTTATCTAATTTGTCTATTACAAGTTGCTCTTTACCGTGGGTCAACTGTTGAACATATTAATTTTTTGTATTTCACGTCAATAAATGACTTATGACTATTTATTAATTATTTACTTGTGCTTTTTCTAATAATTCAAAAATGAATCCACTAGGGTGTGTATCTCCTTCTTCACGTTTTTTGATTTCTATTGCATCAATAGCCTTTTCTAATTCCAAAAACATAGATTTTAAGATACATAAGTCATCAGCAGTAAAATCTTTTTGAACATTTGTTGTTTCTGTTAAAAAATCGTTTTGTTCTGTCATTTCTTTAGCCATGTCTTCCATTACTACTGATAGTTCTTCAATGCACATTGCAATATCAGTACTACATATCTATAATTCATGATCTCATGAAGTTACAACTAATTTATGCTAAATATTATCGCATTATTTTAATACCTGTAAAGATGCTGCTTCCTCACATATTTTTTCAATATTGTGTGCTTCATCTAGGAGAACAACACAGTTTTGTAAATCTATACCTTGAGATCTTCGTGATTTTGGATCTAATAAATAATTATATGGCATAAAGGTAATATCTGCAGTTTGTTTAAGTTCTCTAGATAAAAAATATGGGCAACATCTGTATTTTTGACCTGCTTTAACTAAATCTTCTATATCTAATACTTCTTGTTTAAAAAAAGGATCTTCTTTCCTAAAAGATTTATCTTTTATTAATCCTGTTAATGAAGTTAATTAAAATAACTTAATAAGAATATTTTACCTGGTTTCAACATTATTGTAATAAAAACATGTCCTAGATTTTAGTTTAGAATGACACATATGTATCTTGTTGGAAGAATTGGTTTCTTTGGAAACTTCTGGATGAATACAAAGTTGATCTCGAGATCCTAATACAGCCACACTTACATGTTTGTAAGAAGTTCTTTTCAATTCTTGCATCGCCTGAGAAAGTTGGGAATGTGTTCTAGATGCATAAATAATTTTTGGTGCTGCCCAAGTAAAACCAGTAGAAGGTTTTGTGCTACCCGTAGCTTCTTTAAGCTCATTGTTTAACTTTTTAAAAAAATGTCCTCCAAAAGTGGGATTATCTACTGCACCTATCAACGATTGTGCTTGCATTTGAGCTTTTCTTGTCAATAACCAACTTAAGGAGGAACATAAAAGACTGAGAGTTTTTCCAGTTCCTAAAATACATTTCATTAGTTAATTTGGTCATTAGCAGAACAGGTACATAGATAATTTAACTGTACCAGTTGGTGATTCCAAAACACCATTTTTATTGTTCTGGAGGCATTCTATCACTTTGGTCATATATTCTTCTTGTACAGAATACGGTTTAAAAGGAAAATTGACGATAACATTATTAATTGTTATTTCGGGCATCTTATTATGAATTTCAAGAAATATACAAGTAAATTTATTTACAACATAAGGAGCAAACACTAATTGCAACAAGCGGGAATATTAAGCACATATTCCCGCCAAACGGAGGACTTGACAACTATTGGTTAGGTGTAGAGACAGTTCTAAAATCATACGGAACAAAAGAAATGAATTCAGTTTCTTTCAAAGGAACGTTTCGAGTTCAAAATGCCTACAACATACAATATTTCAGAATTCGATTCTTTAAACTCATAATACATCAAATTTGAAACATTTCAAATTTGGAATGTTTCAAATTTGGAACGTTTTGAACGAGGAACGTTTTAAATTCGATATACTTGAAACTTAAAGTACTTCAAATTTGAGACATTCTCAAATTTGGAGTGTTTTTCGCAGCGCTTCAAGATCAAAACACTTCAAACTCTAAACTCTTAAAACTTCGAACACTTATAAATTTTATAAACAAAATTTGTAATGCTCTAGCGCCTCCTTGTGCCATTCCTGAACAGGTGTTCATATTCATATTTACAAAAATTGATATATTTTAAATATACCGACTTTTGTTCTAGCGGTATAGTAACGATAAACATTGATCGAAACAAAAGTTTACGCATTTGCTAAATTATATTTGTAATGCTAACATTTATATGATTGAATAGACGTTAAAAGTTGTTATTTTTGATTGACATTTTTTAGATAATCGGGATTGTGTATTGCTAAATTATGAATCAGCTGTTTTCAATAATCTATTCTTAAAGCATCGTTTATCTTTGAGTAGAATATTAATTGCTTTCCAAAGTATTGCAACAAAGAACGAGATTAGGTTAGTCGCATATCAGCTGATACAGTGATTGGCCGATTATACCGTAAAAATTGCTCTTAGTTTTTTTCAGGTTCGTATTCGTTAGTTTCGTTTATGTATCTTCTATTTAACAAGTGCTAATCGCTGTTCTCTACATTTGTAAAAGATTTCTGAAATATATAAGTCAAAATGTTAAATAAAATAAGAGTGGCATCCCCCTGAGGTGAACAGTCATTGGTTATTGACCTCTAAACGAGCCACAAAAGTCCATACATGAGTTTAATATAAACGCACGTTGTATACATACCATATGCAAATATGTATTTTAATAAATTCCGAATGAAAAAACATAATACATTTAATCATTTACCATTTTTTATAAATGTTAAATATAAAAGGCATAAAAAACAAAATAACGAATGAAAGCAACACTTATACATGATTTATTTGAAGAAAGTTATTTTAAATGTAGTACAAAGTTTAAATCAAGAATATCATTCATTGTTTATGTTCGGATAAAGAGTCTATGACACTGAGATATCTCTGTACATATACATTGTAAATTCAATCAGGCCTTGGTAAATCACAGTATATATTATTTCTACACAATTTAGTGAGACATTAATTGTATTATTAAAATTAGTTATTACATTTTTATAAATTATTAAAATTTGTAATATATTTCTTGAATTATTTCTTATAATTTTACATTTTCTTTCAGTATTAAAGAAGTTTGTACAATATAAATTTAAAATGCGTTTAGTCATTTGTGATACAGTAGATCATGTAGCAGAATGGTCTGCAAAATATGTTATGAAAAGAATTAATGATTTTCAACCAAATAAGGATAAATATTTTGTTCTTGGTCTTCCAACAGGTATGTGCTTTTCTAAACTTTTAACATAAATTTATTTGAAAAATATGCTTGTAATTATTTATAACTATTTATTATCTAGGTGGTACACCTTTGGGAATGTATAAAAAACTTATAGAATATCACAAAGCAGGAAAACTTTCCTTCGAATATGTAAAGACATTCAACATGGACGAATATGTTGATTTACCCAGAAGTCATCCAGAGTCTTACCATTATTATATGTATAATAACTTTTTCAAGCATATAAATATCAATCCAGAAAATGTACATATTCTTGATGGCAATGCAGTAGATCTTGTAAAAGAATGCGATGATTTCGAGCAGAGCATCAAAGATGCTGGTGGAATTGAACTGTTTATTGGTGGTACGTAATATTAAAGTAATAATATTATGAATCAAGAAATTTTAGTACAACAAAGTATTATTTTTGCAGGTATTGGTCCAGATGGTCACATAGCTTTTAATGAACCAGGTTCCTCTTTAGTATCGCGTACAAGAGTAAAGACACTGGCACAAGATACCTTACAAGCCAATGCAAGATTCTTTGGAAATGATATTTCTAAAGTTCCAAAACAAGCACTAACTGTTGGTGTAGGTACAGTGATGGATGCTAAGGAAGTAATGATTCTCATTACAGGATCTCATAAAGCATTTGCTCTTTACAAAGCAATAGAGGAAGGTATTAATCATATGTGGACTGTATCAGCCTTTCAACAACATCCTCGTACAATAATTATTTGTGATGAAGATGCAACTCTAGAGTTACGTGTGAAAACTGTGAAGTACTTTAAGGTATATATTTTTAGACTTAAAGATACATACATTTTAGTTGAACTATTCTATTACAATGAATTTATATGGTACACAGGCCCTCAGTGCTGTACATCACAAATTGATTGAAGAAGATGGAGATGCAATTACCCGTTGTTCATTACAAAACTGTTAAAATGGTACTTATTTCTTTATTGTTATATGGACATAATTTTTGGATACGTTTTATATTTACAAAGCTGTATTTGTTCGAACGAAAATTCTGTAAGATTTGTTTGTTATCAGTATTTGATGAGTTCAAGAAAAGGAAAGATAATATGATAAGAGGAATTATAAGATATGGTCGAAATGGTAATGCAAGTAGAAATAAGAATAATTCCATGTATACAGATCAGAGAAAAATGCGGAATAACATAATGTACTTTATTTGAAGTGCGAAATTCATAAATTTTTATTACATATATATACAATTAGTAGAAACATAATTTATTTCTGTTTCACTCTGAATGTTTGTTCACATTTATAAAAAATACGGATATCTTTTATTTATCTTATACGTTTATGGTTATCATATAGTCGTTGTAATGTATATTACTTATTTGTTTATGATTTCATCGCCATTTCGACCGCAAAGTGACTCAGTTGTATGGGTCCTTAATACAGTACAGTCTGTAATGTTTTATCTTTTACAGAATTTATGGAACATTTATAGACTTAATATTACTGTTAAACATTAAGAAAATTTTGAAGTCTCGAATAAAAAAAGAATTTAAAAAGACGGATCTGTGGAAGGTAACACGAATATCGTGCATGTTACATAATGAATTACCTTTTATTATAAACACTATATGAGTGTATAATACATATACGTATTTGTTTTATTAAAACACAAGTTATTATATTCTTATAATTTTTGTTTTCAAAAAACAAAAATATTATATTTTTGTATTATTATACTTTTTCATGAATAAACTTACCCTTTTTATCACGTAAGTTTCTTTCAAACCTATAATTGTACTTTACTCTAATAGAATTTTTTATCTTCAGAATTTATCTATTAAGGATTAGTTTTTATATAACTCTATGAAGAATACACAATTGAGACTTTACAGAATACACAATTGAGATTTTACAAGATATGTATTGATATTGAAAAGTTTATTACAGATCACTTACAGAACTTAACATTAAGAAGGTCAACTTTTTAAATCTTCAGACTTTTATGGATTTAACCCACATTCGAAGAAGGTAGTAATGACTCATTTGCTTGTGAGTTGATAAATGAAGAGGACAGGAGCACAAAATATCTTTGCTATTTAAAAATGTATTTTATATAAAACTAATGTGACTCATCAAGTAAGTCAGAAAATATGTTCTGCGATTTTCTACAAATTTTACAGGAGATAATAAAATATGGACTTAGAATAAGCTGAAGATTTTCGGCAGTAAAAAACATGCAAACCAATGAGGAACTATTTGTACATATAATTTGCAATAGTGCGACGAATCTCGTTCCAAAAGTCGCACCTATTCAACAGCCTCATCTACACACGTGGAGTTAAATAGATAATTTGTTAAGTTCAGAGTCTATGATAGCATTCGTGTACTAAACGAGACCGTAAAAGTGGGAGACATTCCGCGAAGCAACGATCACTATCATCGTAGCCAGTGATGATAAATGGGGACATCGGCACCGGGGATACAATAAATCGGTGTTTTGTGAAAACTGAAAGTAATGTGTATTGGTCAGCATTACGTAATCCATAATACGAGGACAGAATTGATTGATAAGAATATTAATCTCCGTATTTGAGCAGCTTTTATAAAACCAATGATTACTCGCAAGAAATAAAGTTATTGTTTGAGGATCCCGCGACCGTAGCTCATCGAGAAACGGTTCCACTTTTGCTAAGTACACAGATTTCTCTCATTCCCGCGTAAACATGAGTAACAGTGACACGGAGCTGAAGGAAGTTGTTCTCCGCGATATCGAGTCCGTCTTGCGCGAGAAACTCGACAATCAAATAATTGTGGAGAATTACACCACCAAGCCGTTGCTACCGCCTGGAGAGAATTATGGGAGTTCCATCTTCAGCGTCCACGTCGAGCTGACCAACAAAAAAACCGGGAAGAATGAGGAACTTCACCTGATCGCCAAGATGGTACCACCTACAGAGTTCCAGAAACGTCTGTTCAACAGCTCCCGTACTTTCATAAAGGAGATCTTCATGTACGACAACATTGTACCAACGTATAATAAACTGGAACTCGAGTGTGGATTCAGGGAGAGCGAATTGTTCGACATCTTGCCCAAATTCTATGGCTCCAGGCTGTCTTCGCGACCTGACGCTGACTTTGACGATGACGCTGTTATTCTGATGGAAAATTTAAAGATCAAGGGTTATTACACTGGCGAAAGGACTAAAGGTAAAATTAGTAATTGATCCTGGAAAAATTAATCATAGGAAAAAGAAGTCATTTGTTATAATATTACTATGCTTCCAAATCCTACCCATGTAGGACACCCAATATTTTATTCAAGTTTGTTTCATAACGATATTTCTCCACAGGTTACGATCTGGAGCACGCGACAGCGACAGTGAAAACTCTAGCGAGATTCCACGCCTTAGGAATCGCCACCAAGCAAAAGAAGCCGGGTATGTTCGAGGTGTTCAAGATGTACGCTAAATGCTTACCAGGAGAGGACGTCGGTGGAAGCGCCTTCAAGTCCATTCTGATCAAAATCAAAAACGATCCTGAAATGAGCCCGTACTTCGAGAGATGCTTTAAGATCCTGTCGGAAGTGACCGCCGACAACATCTGGACAGACTCTTACCAAGAACCGTGGACGAGCATCATCCATTCCGACTTCTGGGTGAACAACGTTATGTTCCATCGCAATAACAAGGGTGTACTCGACAGCGTGAAATTCGTCGATTTCCAGATGTACTTATACGCCAGTCCACTGCGCGATTTGATATTTTTCCTATACTCGAGCGTGGACCTGGAAGTGACCGACGAGCAGATAGACGATCTGATGGATCTGTATTACGATTCGTTCGTGAACACGTTGAGCAAAATGGGATGCAACACGGACGCCTTCACGAAAGAGGAATTCAAGAAGAAGATCGACAATGACGCGGAGCGTGAGTTCATCCATGCATGCTTCATGGTCAAGTTACTCACTCTCAGCACGAAAGACATTGACGATTTTAATTACGACAAGATGCAGAATGCCATTGTCGAGTACGACGGAAGCGAGTTGTTCGTTGAACGACTACGCAGAGTGGTGTTATCCTTTGCTAAACGTAATTGGATTTAAATAAATCGATAGAACAATTATAAGTACAGGTTTAGGCTTCATATTTTCCTGGATTCCATTTTCCAAAATCATACATTTATTCTGATACGTTACGTTTCAATGTAATAGGATGTATCTATGTTAAAAAGTCTAAGAAAATTGTATACTACTTTTCGGATTAATTGAGGGAAGCTAGCACGTGGATTCGTTAATACCTGTTGAAAGAATTTTAATACTCAATTCGTTTTAAATCTCCTTTATCTAAACTGATAGCAATAAGCTGTCAAATGATCAGATTTTAATTTGACTAAATGATATTGATAGCGATTGAAGTCAGTTCTGTTTTATGAAAACTAAAGTAAAATTTCATTTGCGTCAATTGTTCCGATAAAGACCCGTATCAATGTGGGAGGAAATATAACACCGTCACGTCGTTGATGATACAAACTGATTGTTATATCGCATTTTCGTCTGGGGTTGAGATATCAGCATGGAATGACTTGCAAAGAAAAAGGCCTCTTAAAAAATGTAACATAAATCATTAGTTCTGAATAGTCATACTTCCATGGAAATGGAATTCTCTCTAATTATATCTCTGAATGGAAATTTTATTATCAAAGCTTTACAAGAAAATATTTTTTTTAATGAAAGATTATTAAGTTTCTTTTGGTTGCAAAAATTATAACAGATTGTAACAGTTTATAACAAATTGTTTGAATCAAGTATTCATTGAAGTTCACTTTATTTTTTTTTTTTCTATTAAAAGATTGCAGTATTAAATATTTCATAACTTTTTTATAAATTAAACTTTCATTAAAAAACTTTATCAATTTTGTAAAAAACTGTAATATCAAATAATTGGATACTGCTAAAAAAATAATGATAAACAAATTGTTTATATGTTATATTATTTAAAGAATAACGTAATTAGACCAAGTATTAAATAAGATTAATGTGAAGTATAAAATAGCACATGTCACAATTTCAATTATTTATCAGTTTTATATCTTTTATCAATGTGAGTGATTCAAATGATAAACAGGAATTTCAGATAAATTCCAATAATTTTGAAGATAAACCCAGACATGATGTATAATCTTTCTTGGACTTTGTTTTTATTATATCAGTATTTACTTACCCTTAATTTGAAAACTTAGATAAATCTAGGAGGTTTTTAAATACAATTACATTTACTAAACATAATTTGTTTAATTTGAAAACATAATTTTAAAACAAATGCAGAAATTAAATATAATAATATTTATACAATGATTTTTATTATGAGGAACAAAATTGAAAAAGTTGCAGGTAAGTAAAATCAACAATATTTAAAAAAGATGTAAATCTTATTACATTATGTGATTAAAGAATGGGACATTCTTAAAACAATAGATTGTTTTCTTCACATTTTGTATCAATAAAATTATTCATATTATAAATGTTGTAAAAATCATATTTTATTCGCGCCAACGATGGGTCTGCAACAAATCCACAATTTACCCACATTGTATTCGTAATGAATCGGTATTGTACCCATTGTGGGTACGCGGAGAATCCCTGATTTATCCACAACGAATTTTCACTGTATCGGCACTTTTGTTTCGTTTATTTTGATAGTTTGTCATGTATTAATAAAGTAATTATATTCGATAATTTAGAATTTAAGATATATACTAGAAATGTAAAAAAATAGAATTGAATTTATATTTATCTATGAATATTATTAAAAAGTTAAATTAAATTGAAAATTATAGGAAAATGTAAAATCGCGTTACTATCTCATGCACTGTATATTTACGCAACAGTTAGTGCGTATTTGCGATGGAGCAGGCAGTTTTATAGTGGTAGAGGCCACTTTAAACAATTTTTTTATATTTTTATAAAACTTTTAAGCAGATTTATCTGCGACCAGAAATATACCGAAATTTCATTTTGTTATTAAAATAATGGGTTTGCTTGTGATGCAGAATTTTCATGGATTAATTCTGTTTGTATGGATCGTATCTATTCTAACCTTGTCTAGGAGCGATGTGGTTAAAACAGATGGTACTGCACCTTTGACATCTGGTTCAAGTGCACTTTCAAAGGATGAACAACAAACGTTATCCTCATTTGTTCATTCCACAACTGAATCTGTTGGATTCACTGAAACATTGAAAGTACGTAATAATATTTATTCAGTTTGACATTTAATGTGTCAGTGGCTCCACAGAATTTTAAATGATTGTTCTTAAATATAAGATTTCTTTGTTTCAACAATAAATGTATATAGGGAAACTACAGTAATTGAAGTGCAAATTGAAATGTGTACAAATATAATTTCAGAACAATGGTGCCACTCCTCAGGTTGCCGGAGAAGGTGGTCCAATTTCTATTTCTTCTACTATGGGTGGTGTTGCTTCTCATTTAACGAATATTTCTGATAGTTTAAATAAGCAAGACACTTTATTAAAAGAAGAGGACAATATTCAAAGTACAGGGAACAGAAAGATTAATAAAATTGTGTCAAGAAAAGGGGCAAATGAAATGTTGAATATGAAACAAGAAAATGTTACTCATACTGAATTGATGACATCGAATAATACGAAACTAATAACTGAATCTTCTTCAGTAGCAAATACTACTCACAATGATGAGAAACATATTGCTCTTAATACGAACAAATTGAAATTAAATATTACTGCTGTAAATAGTACCATAAATTCTGCAAATGTATCTCAAGAAAATGTAACAAAAAGCACTGCTGTAACAGCATCTTCAGTTCAAGAACATCGACCAAAACCAACAGCTACAGTAGTAGGACCTAACAGTGATAAGCGAGCATTTATATCTCATACAAAAGGTGCACATTTAGGAATGTCAAAGAAAATTGATTATGTTTTGCCAGTTATTGTTACTCTTATATCTCTGCCAATACTAGGTGCTATTATTTTTATGATATATAAACAAGGTAGAGATTGTTGGGACAAAAGACATTACCGGAGAATGGATTTTCTTATTGATGGAATGTACAATGATTAATATTTACAAACTTGTTTATAAAGTTGGTTCACAATAATGCTTTTATATACTCAGTATAAAATGTACACAAGTAATCAAGCTTCGATCAATATATATCAAAGCATTTACATAAAGGGTTAAATCTTTTGTTCTATTGCAACTTGCTCTACATATATTTGTACTATGCTACTGCCGTAATATGAGATTTATTACTTATAGAAATTTGTAAGCAAGAAGCTATCATCTATTTGTTAAAGTTGAAACTTGGAAAGTAAAAAGGTATATGGGAAAGACAATATGGAAATAATGAGTTCATTTACAACATTATGGTAATTAAAATACTCTATGAGCATTATAAATAAGGTATTTCAAAATGAGCTTTGATTTGAGTAAGTTTTGCAAACTTATTAAAATGTACAGTTTTATACATATGTAAATATAAAACAATTTTTGAAATCTTCTTTTTAATGACACAGTTTTGTGCAAAAATAATTTGTTAATAATTTGTTATAGCTAAATTTAAAGATAGATTTTGCTGTAAAAATAAATGTGCCAAGATTTCAGAATATTTTCTTTTTAAACAAAAATTAATTTTTTACGCAGCTCAGAAGCGACGTTCATTTTAAATACATTCGATTAGATATAACGTTTCCATATGATTTCCTTTTCGTTAAAATTTTCTTCTGAAATTTAGTGAAAATCCATTCTATGTTAATTTATAAATTGTAAAATAATATCTAGCCCACCAAAGAAATATTTGATTTGCGTAATAAGATGTTTGTAACTATTTGTATTAATTTAATGGCATTGCATTTTCATTTTTATTACTGAAGAAAGTTTGTACAAAATCATAGTGATTGCCATAAAGAATGAATGGGTATCGAATGCTCATTTATAAAATTATACTGAACTAAATATAAGGGATGGTTAATGCAATTATTTTATCAGATAAGATTTTTGCGATTGTTATTCGTTAAAATGGAATTCTATGAATTTCCATTTTGGTTTATCATTTGTAGAATTTATATTTGATCAAAAATGTAATGAAGCAATAACTATTTTTATATATGTATGTAAAAAAATAATTTGTATTGTTATAAAATATAAACACTTGTAACTAAAAATGCTGTTTTATCTTCTACTTAGCGTTGGTAATACATTATTTATTACCATAGAAAAAAAATTGTAAGACATTTTGATTTTGTGAATTTTATTAATAAGCTTTTTATGTGGGTACATAAAATTATTGACATTAAAATTGCATATAAATTACAAAGTATATCTTGACAAATAGTTATAGAATAATGTAGCCACTGTATATAATAACTGACAAATACTGAGATTTATATTGCCTTTATACATTTAATTACTTTAATACTTTTCGTTACAGTTTCTCTCATGGATTTGTGTAAATAACAAAAATATTTTTACATCAAAAAGAAATAAAGGAGAATAATGAAGCGTCAATTCCATGATTCGATCTGCGTGTTTTCATTATGTGCATAAGTTTTGATTAGAGAAGAATATGATTAATCGATTTAAACAGTTTGATTCTATTCGTTTTGAAAATTTGAAGCTTTAAAATCGACCACAATCTAGAATAATTATTTTCTTTTTTTACTATAATATCATAATCATAATTTCATCTTAGATTAAATTTATATTAAGTCATTGCTTTCATTATGGAACTAAATATAAAAATAGTAATTCGACTTGATAACAGTACTCGATATAATTCTAGATTTCCCAACAGTATATTTTGTCGTAAAAAAGATATTCTAATAATCTAAAGTTCATCCTTTAAAGTTATGGTAAAATTTTTATAATATTCCAGGGATCTTATTACAATTTTAGATTCAGAAGAAAAAAGAAAACGCAATACAATGTCATTGTACGTTTAAAACGATTGTTTATCTATTTGAAAGTTTTGATTAAAAATCAAAGCTGTAAGAATATATGGACGGAGCCCAAAACGAGGGGGATTACCATATTTTAAGCAAATGTAAATGTGCAATTTTAAATGCCTTTTCAATATATCTCACAACAAATGGGAATTACAATTTTCATCTGAACATTTAGAATTAATTCCATAAATATATATTTAAGTTTGGTAGATAAAAAAGGTAAAATACGTAAAAGTTTTTATTTAATAATAAAATAAACTAATAACATATAATAAATTAATTTAAAGTAATGTTTGTTCCCTTCTTTAAGATGGAACATTGGATTCCGTCTATAGATTCTTAAAAATACTGTAATACCATTAAATTGAGTACGATATTGTACAAAAAACGAACAGTCTTTAACAATAATATCATATTACGACCACACCATAATCGTGTTTATATTAACGGAGGTTACACATAGTACGAAATTATTTTAAAATATACGGTTCTCGTATATACAAAGAAAAAATTTGTTCGTGAAAATAGAAAAACATACGAAAAATTGATCTTCGGTTGAGTTACATAGATGAAATTTTAGCGGCGTATTAACCGCTTTCGATGAAAAATAATACAAACGAAGAAAGTATTTAAAACCCTGAAGTATTTTATACTTGCATTTTTATACTAAATATAGTTTCACAACGAACTTTCATATTTAATGATGGCACTCAACAAAACTTTTTTATTTAGATTTATATTTAGCTTGATCCGGAAAAGCTTCTCTTGGTGGTACTAAGCTAAGCATTATTACATGTCGCTGATAAGCTCTAGAATTACGAAACTGTGTATCTGTTCCGTGAATACGGTCTAACACTCCTAAAACACCGTAACACTGGTTGAATCTGAAACAATATAATAAATAAAATTTGATGGAATTTTAATCTTTTAAATTGCAACATCCAAATTAGATCTGTTACATAAATTTAGTTTTCACATGATATTAAATGTATTCAATTACTTACTTTAGATGGTGGAAATCATGAGCTTCTGGAGATGGAAAGAATGGCAAGTGATATCCAGAATGAGCATTTAACGTGGAAAGAATAGCAAGGGAGAACCAAAGCCAAGCTGTAGCCACGTGAGAACCTACAATGAATACTCCCAAAAATGGTGGCAGCAGATTTGATCCAATATGTTCTAAAGGATGGCAATACAGCGACGTTACAGCTATAGGGGCTGTCCATTCATGGTGCTGTTTGTGTATATATTTATACAAATAGCGGCTATGCAGGAATCTGTAATGTGATTATACATTTAATAAAATAATTACAGCTAAGCCCATGACAGGAGTAAATTTATCTTAATATGAATTTCATCATATTATTTTAAACGAATTGAAGAACATAAATATGTACCTGTGCGAGTAATAAAATCCAATTTCCTCGCACAATATATGAATGGCGATTTCAACGAGCACCCAGTGGAAGGTCGGCAATTCGCGTACAGGGGGATAACCGCGCCATTCCATAAAGTGATAACTGACGTATGCCAGAGGAAGTCCAACAATGATCTGATTGAACAGTACTTGAGCGATTACTTTACACAATTCCCTTGTGTCGACGGGCTCATTCGTGCCCGGCTGTATTTTGTATCTTCTCAAAGCTGCTGGTCGATTGGTTATGTCTAGGATCGTATAAATACCACCGAACAACCAGTACACGACAAACGTCAGTCCCAACGATCCTACGAGAAATTAATCTAAGTTATTAATTGTTAACAAGAAATACAGGGTGTATAAAGAACCAAAGGGTCAAGACTTTTGCTCAAAGACTTTAGATAAAAGTTTTCACGACTATACATTTGTACATTTGTAAATGTAAACATTTTCCAAACAATTAATGAACAAGGTTTTTCCTCTACATTATCATTTTTCCTAGGAAAATGTGGTGCTTGTGACAGTATGTAGATAAAGTAATGAGTCACTGTGCAAAGCATTCAGCGTTCTGTCACTTTACAATATATTGAATGTAAACAGAAGAGTTGTTATAAGAACATACTTATGAGTACATTTGCTCAAGATTGTCTGATAATACCAGAGTATTATTAGTATCAACAAAGATAACTTCATAGACAAAAATGTGAAGATTGCTAATAAGCTAGGAGCTTGTTTAAATATATTTTACTTATATAATGAAGTCTTAAGACCCCTCCTTTCAAACACTCTGTACAATATTTATTGATTAATGTGTAGTGTTCAAAGATAAATGCTGTTTGTCATTCAGTTTTTATTTCAAACAGATTTTATGATGTTTGTGTCTCTCCCTGCTCTTCCAAGACTAAGTTCATCTAGGTTCTATTTGAATTCTCCTTAGAGTATTTCAAACAGCATTTGTTTAAGAACATCTTAACTCTTCAAGTTTCATTTTTTTGTACCATAAACCCAAAGGGTTACAGGATCATCTCCCAATTTATCTAAAATTTTGTCCCATTGTGCTTGCCAGAAATCTCCAGATGCTCCCCAGAATCTCTGCAAATGCCTGAAGAACAAAGGAAACATGATAATATGATAATCATTGTAGAGGAAAATAAAAAATTCCTCAAAAACAGGATTTTCTTGTGAGATCAAAACATGAATGTACAGGAATTGATTGTATACCTTATCCTTTAAAATTTACCATGTTAGTGAGTTGCAGAATGCAGCGAATCCAATCACTACCGTTCCGATTACGAAAAGAACGCTTCTTAAACTTGAAAGCAGGGTTGGCGGTGTTTGATTTTTACAGCCATCGCTTCTCGCAGGAATCACTGCAAAATAATTTTTTGTATGTAATTAATAACAATTTTGAAATTATAATCGATGTTAATGAGAATTAAAAATAACGAGGAAATAAAAGGAATTAGCATTAAGTTGCGTTATATCGCCACACGTTATATGGTCATTCGTTATACGCTGAACGATCTGTGGAAGTTCAAGGTTGACTGGAGATAAATAGATGATACCAAGAAACAGCTGAACACGTTTACGTAAACGTGAGATGCGATGGAAAAATATTTTGTTCAATCGACGCAAATAAATTAAACTTGTAGAATGTTTGAAATATATCAAACAATTTAAAATTTTTGTAGACACAAAATTTCAAACATTAACACCAGTTTTTGTCCGCAAATGCTAAATAAATACATGAGTATAAATGCGAAGAACAACGAAGCGGTAAGCATGAAGGAACCGCTTCACTGTTATTCTTCGCGGCTATAAAAATAATCTATTGTTTCAAGTGCTTGGTACAAACATAAAACACTTTAAACGGGTTACGGGCTTAGGTAAATCACGTTAGAAAGAACGTGTAATCCAAATGGTAGATACATAAGCAACTTTCTTAAATGTCCAACTAGATTAAAGGTAGAGTGAAATGTTCAAATGCAAATTTAACATGACGCGCTGATATTTAGCCGGTGTCGTGTACAGTATTCGGCAAAATTCTAAAATAAATTACAGAAGAACACCAAGGACGAATTAAGACCTTTGAAGGTTTCATTTAATTACGTTACTGGTTATATGAATAAAAAATAAATCAAAATAATAAACACTAAATTGATTTTGCACATATTTTTAAATATGTGCATAATGAAAGATATTTTTCTAGTAAAAAGGTATTGCTTACAACAAAGATATTCTACTTAGTTATTATGCGACTTGATTCGAAAATTGAATCGCACGTGATGATTTAACTTGATTAAGGTCACACATTGCTCTCGTATAATTCACCCCATTACGCCCCCGTTTATTTTCGAGCGGTACTATTGATATATTTGATTCTATTTGCATTAGCGTAATAACATACGTAATTTGAATTATGGATAATTAAAAACAAATTCGATTTGTTAAACACTAGGTGAATGTAAGGCGGCTAATGCTTGAAGATAAATTAGAAAGTAGAATAATATCTAAAGTATGTATTGTAAAAGCTAGGTTTACTATTCGCCGTAAATATATCATGTTTTCGATATTTATAAATTACGAACTTTTCTAACTAAAAATAACGTGTGTATAATGGAATATTCATTAATGATTAATAAAAAATGAAATAGGTAAACAAATTACTAACTACGTAATTCGTGATGTAGTTTGCATTAACGACTCTGTTGATGTTTGTCGTCGAACATGTCGAATGAAGGGGGATGGAGTAGTTTCATAGTGCGATGGGTCATGTTAATGTCTTTATGTAAATACAAATTTTTTATCACTGTTAGAAGTCCAATAAAGTAGAAGCAATTCCTCGTAATTACGACAAGTATAAAATCGATATCATCAACGAAGATAAATGAACAGCCTCGGAAAATCGATTAACACGCGTTTATTTACATCTCCACCTACAACTGTTGTTCCTTCAAAACTATATATCAACGATTCTGTCCCTGTCAATACATTTTGACGTCAGAACAGTTGAAAATGTAACAAACAGTAATAAATACTTAAATGCGATCAATTTTTGACAGATACCTAACAGTTACAGAAATATTTAACGAATTGTTTTGTTCGCGGTATTTGTCACGGTGGTTAAATTATCTTCTGTCTGAGCATGTCTTATCCAAATGTCAATGAGAAAGAATTGAAAGATTTTTCCTGACCTTTGTATTGGCTCTGCACATCCATCATGTTTAACAATGGTAACGTTTACGAAGAAACACGTCAATTCTCGTATTCAGAGTCAGTGGATCGCATTAGCCACAAAACACACGCGTTAGTCGATAAACGCAGACCGTTGCTACTAGCAAATGCGCCGTAGCACTAAGCGCGTACCCTACAGCTTAAATGCACGTATAGATGTGTATGATTTCTCATATACACTCTAAGTTCGTGTGTGAAAGCATATATATACGTATAATAAACGACAACACATGAACACTATAGGTTTCCCGTGATTGAAGGAGGAACGGAGGAGAAATCTCCCACTACTTGTCTGATTCATTCTTGTTTTTTATGAGCGTTGACAGGAGTCAGACTTTGTTGAACTGTCAAGGCCTGAACATGAGAAAGTTGGGTAAATGGTAGGAGAGACCTTTTCTTTCTCTCCCTGTTGATTCAGCGGAGCCTAACGGATTTGTGGATGTAATGTGATACATAACATATTCAAAGAATATGTTTACTTTTGTCAGAGAGGTAAAAGTAGCTCTCAGAATAAAGTAGCGCCTTCATATGGAGAAGCTGAGAAACTCCGTGTTTAAAAAGTTTGGAATATGAGAATTTGATACTTTAAGCTTTTAAAGGATCTAGGGATTTGGTAATTTAGGACTTAAGTTTTCCTATGGTATTTGTTCCCCTATACTTAATAAGGCTGTTGACTGTATATTACATATTTAGAGTAGTCTTTTAATTTATAAGTGTAGTATATCATTATTATTGTTTTAAATATTTACAGCTTGATGAAATATGTACTTCAGAAATTTTATTAACAACTATGGTAATAAATCTTATTCTGTTTAACTCAACTTTACAGGTTCATATTTTAATATGAAGGTAACATTACATTAAGTTAAAAACATTAAAATTATTAATATTAAAAGTTCGTAAACGCAAATGAACGAAATTTAAATAATAGTAAAGAGATTTACTTTGTTTCTTGTATTCTAATTCTATTTTAATAATGTGTGTGTTGTCATACTTTGTCTCTTGGATAATTTTGCATTTGTTTTAATTTCTTTAGAGCACATTTTGCAGCTGTACACTTTGCGATCCTGTAATTTCTTCCAATTCCTTTGAAGGACCCTTTGCCAAAAACATCCACTGTAACTCTAACTCTATGTCCATCGGCCAATTTTTCTGGTTTCCCGAATTTCGCTGTTTCAGGTTCTAATTCCAATAATTCTCTAATTGGAGATTTAGGAACATTGGTGCTGAATTGTTCTGAAATAATAAAATACATATATTACTATTCCACCTTTTGCAAGATACATGTACAAATAAAAGAAAGAAGTAATTACCGATTTCATTTTTCATGATCACGTAATATACACTCCATACTGCATCTAAAGACATCCCACTATCTAAATAAATTGCACCAGCTAATGATTCAAAAACATCACCTAATGCTTTTGGTACTTCCACGTCTTCAGCTTCCTCACATTTTTCTTCCCCAATTAAATAATACTGCAAAATTAAATATACAATTGCATCACTTGTTTGCACCATAATGAAGAATATATATTATGTTCTAATTTCCAATTATTTTTTGACTTATTAACCTACATAAGTCCAATGTATTCTTTCAAATAAACTGCTTACCTCCTCACTAATGGAATGTCCGTTTTCTTCTTGAATTCTAACAAAACGATTTATTACAACGCTTAAACCCGGAGAAAGATGTCGAAAATATTTATGAAATCCACATCTAACCGCTAAAGAAGCAAATATAGTATTGTTAACTAAAGCTGATCGCAAATCCGTTAAAGCTCCTGGAGAATGTTGTCGAGCATCTTCATACAAATGCCTTGTTATTAAATAATCTAAAATTATAAATAATAAATTAAATAAATTATAATGAAAGAATTTAATACAATAAATTACCTAAAACTGCATCTCCAAGAAATTCTAAACGTTGATAACAGTCTGTTAACTTATTGGGTTGATATGACGCATGAGTAAATGCTTGCAACAGGTAACTTATATCATTAAATTTATATCCTATATTTTTCTCCAGTTCTTCGTATCCATCGAGCATCATCAATAATTCCTGTTCTGGATTAGGGATGTATCGAAGCAGAGGATTTTGTGGTTCCTCCAACTTTCCATAACGAATCTATAATAATAATTTTCTTTATTATTTAAAATTGAATTTAGTTAAAGATTTATTTATAATCGTTCAATTTTAATTACCTGTATCCATGTTACTTCACCCTGATCGTTCGTTCCTTTTACGTATGGTGTACTACCAGGAATTCTTTCTTCTGGTTCAGTTTCTTGTACAATACAAATTTCTTCCATGGGTAAAACATGAATCCCTAACCAAGCCATGAAAAGTAATGCTCCTCTAGGTCCACAAGCAATTAAGTAGGCTCCAATCAATGCTTCCACACAGTCTGCGATACTTTTATCAGGAATGCTATGTTGAGTAATTAAATTGTAAGGTATAAAACAACGCAAGTTATCTAGATTGTTTGAAAGTATAGCTTCATTCCTAACAAGTTCATCTTTCATGATACCCAATTTCTGTTCTGTTTCTCGAACAAGTTGAGTTATCTCGTTTGGATTGACAGCTTGTAAAGTTGGAATGTCAGCTTGGTTCCATAAGGTAGAAGGTATGCCAGATTTAATAAGTGCTTGTTCAAGTTCCTTTGGAACATAATAACATGGTGGCAACCAGTTGTCGTGTGGTTCAAATTTTGTCGCTATCATACTCTCACCCAACATTTTCTGCCTTCCTAATCTGTATAAATTTAAATTGCTCACCTAAAAGAAATTTCATTTCACTAAAAAGAAAAAAATATAAGATAGGATAGATAATGTTTCACTTTTAATACCTGTTTTGATCTTAAGTGACTCAGTTTGCCTTCATGTATGTTATCATAAGTACAATACAAATAAGTAGTTATGGCATATTTTAAAAAAGAATCTCCAATAGTTTCTAACCGCTCTAAATTAATACCATCATTCGCGTTGGACATAGTCAAAGCTTGCAAAATTAAACTGGGACTTGGTCCTGGATGATTTTCCAATTCCGGTTGGAAATCGAAACTAAAAAGATTATTGCTCGGATGATATGTAAATTTGGAACTGTTTGATTTTTGTTTTACTGGCTGTGAAATGTTGTTGTTATTTAATACTTCTGTGGTAAACTTGTTAACAATATTTTGTACATAAGGTTTGTGTCTATAATCTGATGAATTGTCTTCAAACGGTGAATTAAATGAATTTTTCCTTTTAATTATTATTTCGTTATCACAGGATATAAAAGATCCATTCTCCATTATTTCACATTCTCTTAGTTTTGTAAATTCATAGTGAGTTAATTTGTGTTTTGCGATTAAAGATTCTTCCTTTTCTTCTGTATAAGACCATAAAGTGTCTAAATTTTTTTCCGTTTCTAATAAATCTAAAATTTTTTTATTTATCTCTTGTTTAGATATTTGTTTTTCGTCCTCTATGGCTTCTGCCACATTTTCTCCCATATAAGAAATGCGTAATCCTCTATTTTCATCTTCACTTTCATCGGATGTGTCTGCAAATCCATCGCTATAAATATCATCCGATACATATCCGTCATAGTCCGATTCGCATGCAGGAGAACCGTATCGAATGTCGCTCCAGTTGAAATTATTTGGTAAAACAGTTACATTCACTGGAAATGACTTCAAGTCATTCGTTTCGCAATCAATAGCGTTCACTGCCATGTCATTTGACCAAGTGCCAATTTCTAATTCCTGTTCTTCATTTGATATTTCTAACTCTTTATCTGTTAAGTTATCATTTTCTAATTCAAGTTCATATTCTTTATCATTCAAATCCTCCATATCAAGTTCGTTAAAGTTGTTCATCGTCTTTTCAGGCATAGCTTGATATTTTTCCACCGTATTACTTAAAGAATTTGATTGGGTAGTTTCAGTTTTAGCCACCTTCGTTTTTTCAGATTCTTTGGACTTCTTTAGAACTTCTGCTAAACTCCAGCCAAAGTCTAATGCTGGCCACTCAAAATCTATGAATGAACAATATCATATATTAATATTATAAAAATATGAAACAACTTCTCATTATACATACCAGGAGCTAAATTTTGTTGTCCTAAATTTATCATTTGTGCAACTTGACATCGTATTTGATTGGCAAGTAATAAGGCATTAATTCTATATAAAATACATGGTAGACAAACTGCTTGTCTCCATAATGATGCAGGAAACGGATGAATTGCACACAACTCGGCTACAAGAATCTGCTTCTGTTCTAAATTTTCTCGTTTTGCTCGTTTGGTTTCCTCGCTACTTGTAGGTAAAGCAACACCTTTCCGGTTGACATACCTATAAAAGAATCATCACAAAATGTATATGTTATTTCCTAGAATTATAATTATAAGAATTTTGTATACTACCTGGGTGTTAGAAAGTTTAATCTAGCTGATGTGTGATCCACGTCTAACAGAGGTTGATCTAAATTTTGTATTTGTATTTCATATTTCTTAAAATAATATTCTTCGAAGGTACTATAATCGTCGCCAGGAAAGGAAGATTTAGGATTTAAGTTTGTGCAAATTTCAGCAACATAAAAATACTGAAATACATAAAGAGAATTAATTATACTTAAAATTGTAATTTTTCTTAACTATAATTCTATTAATATACCTGAGGTTGGTCTTGATTTCTATACCAAGGCATAATTACTGCATCCTGATACTTTGATGCATCAAATTTAAAGTCTTTTCTATCCTCCTCCGGAACCTTAGTTGGCACTGTAGTTCGATTGTTGTATATACATTCCAAAAATTCCCAGTCTACAGTGACGTCAGACTCAGTATCTGTTGAAAATGTAAAGTCATATACATAATGTTAAATACTAATATTAATAAAAATTTCCGTAATTACCTAATTTTACAGGTACAATCATATACGAGTTCTCTGAAGCATTAGGATCAAAAAGCATTAAATATTGTTGCAACCGTAATACATTTGTAAAAGTATAATTAAGGAAGGTGGAAATTTTTTCTATTTGTATTTCATTTAAAACTACGGTGCATTTACTGAGTTTCAACTGTACATGCACTTCTCCTGATCTGGTGTAAATAGGGAATGGACATAACTGAAACAAAGAATTAAGCATTACTTTGATGCATATTTTGTGATATCTTAAGATAAGTGTTTTTATGGTTTACTTATTACTTTAGGAATTTCTTTCAGTGTTATAATACCAAAACCAATAGCTGATTCTTCAGGAGGATATATCCGCCGACCTCTGGTATTTTGTTCTTCAGGTAAGGCACAACTTAGAACCATATTAATATGATACAGATAAGAAGGAGCTCCGACTATTGGTCTACAATCTGTTAACGCGTTAGCTGTCTGAAAAATTCATTATTAATTTGATAATTTTAAAGGCACTGATTCTCAAATGTGGACATTTTCCATCCTGAATAAATTTTCTGCTGTTGCATGCTAATACACTTTTACTAAATCAAACCTTTTTATAATAATATTGTCTCCGTTTAGTTGTTCCAGGTCGAGCTTCAGAAAAATCTACTTTAATTTCATCTGGTAAAGCGGGTACTTCTGCATCTTCTGGTTTAGCTTTAAAATTTTCCTTCCCAATAGGTAGTAAATTATCATCTATTTCATTCTTTCTGTGTAAATCAATACATAATTGCAAGGCAGCCATTCGTCTTGCCATAGCTCTATTAGGCATAGGATATGACTGAAATGATATTATAAATGAGCATGTAATTATAACTTCTTAACATGTAACTTCTAAATCATTATAAAACAAATATTTACCGATACAGCATATTTCACTGGAGAATTTATAGGTAACCGTAAAGAACAGACATACATAGGCATATTGTCTGAATTTATCTGCTCAATAGACCACTCTGGAGTTAGTCTTGTAAAAGTATCACTAGGTAATTTGGCACAGTATCTACATGGCAAAAATTTTCTAGCATGAAATAATGCTGGAAACTTTAATAAAAAGCCTTTAGAACGTTCATATTATATTACCTGTTTACCAATGATATAGCAGAATTAAACGTTACTTTAGGTGCATCATCTTCACTGAGCGGTTTATAGTGTGGTATCATAGCAGCATACATGTCTGCTTCGTTTTCTTCTTCTTCAGATGGTTCGTTATTAGAACACTTTATTAACAAAGTCTACAAAATAGATTGATGCTCTTCCATTAAAATTTTCGACTGGGATGGACACAGGTAATGAACCACATTAAATGGTTGATATTAAAACTGGTACACACTGAAGGTCATGAATAAATTAAATCGAGTAGACATTATAATCATTAATTAAGCATCAGATCCATTTTATATATTCAATTAAATTTTACCGTAATTCATGATTAAAATAGTTGAGAAAATAATGTATATTATAACTTAGTACCTTTTCTATATAATGATACTGTGCTAATTGCCATATGCACTCCTTTGACGTTTCTTTTGGTACTAATAATACATGTAAGGCATCTATAGCTCTAGCTCGACTTTTACATTGTACATAGGACTGATACGTTTTTGGAAAATCATATCTCATTACAAAGTTACATTTTGGAATATCAATGCCTAATAAAAATAATGTGAAGTTTAATTCATTGCTTTAAAAAATTATTTTTTAATGATAAAGTTAATTGATAACAAACCTTCTTCTAAAATGGAAGTTGAAATTAATAAATTACATTCATGTATCCTAAATTTTTTCAAAACTTCTTCTTGTTTTTTGTGTTCTATTTCTAAATCTTTTGAATAACTGACATCATCTGTATTCCTTTCAATCGTATAAAGAGGCGATAAAAATTCTAAATCTTCATCATGTGCAGATATTTCATTTAATAAATAAAACAGAACCTTTGCTACAAATCCTTTATCTACAAAGATTACTCCACAGAGTAAATCAGGATCCGTAGCTCCACGCATATGTCTTTGAAATTTAAATGGTCTTTTATCATTTTCTTCATTACCTTTCCTACCATGAATAAATTTATCTCTAATATAATTTTCTCTGTTATTTACATGTAATTTTTGAGAACTATTTTCACCATTTATTTTACTATCAGAATTTTTGACATCCTTGTTATAATATGGTGTATAGGTTTTCAAGACTTGCAATAATCTATGAACTTTTGGAGTAGTATACTTATATATCCTCTCTTTATCAGACAAAATTTCAAATGCATTATCGCACAAAGCTCGTATCTTCATAAAAACTGATGCGACCATGTTCAATAATAAATAATGCCTTTCATAAGGGGTTTTTATTTTCAATTTTTCTGTTAATATCAAAAGAGCAAGTGCGGCACGATCGGCACACCATGGTCCAAGAGTTTCTAATACATGTAAAAAGTCTTGCATCATTTCAAAGGGCTTCTCTGTAGGATCAGGTATTTTTTGAATATCCTCATAAAACTCTTCATTATAAATTTCTGTTGGATCATGACGATGATCGCGTAAAAATTCAATAGCATGTAATATATAATTTTTAATAGTAATGTGTAACTCTCCTTTTTCACCATTACAATATTCCACTATGTATTCTTTAGCCTTAGGACTATACCTGTTTAATAATTACCATTATTATAATTTTAATTACTGCTACAAAATAAATATTTCTATTCCTGAATTATGCTGAAACAGTAAAAAAATGTATTTACCTTAATATAGATAATATATCACTAGCTGTTTCAACTTCGCACTGAAATGTGGTTTCTACTTTTTCTATTTCTAAACCTAGTCTCCCAGGTTCTTGTGTTAAATTAAACAATGGTACAGCTAATCCTATAATTCTAGGAACATCAGTGCAAGATAGAAAAGTTTGCAAAATAAATTTTAATTTATTATCATTTATAAATTTATGGCACTCATCAACTATGACTAGATTTATCTGATGTGGTAAAATTTTTTTCTCAGCCAATAATTTTGTACATACTTCAGATGTTAAAACTAGTACCTAAAGAGAAATTTCATAAATGAAAGATATTGAATACATAAATACAAAAAGGGTCATAAAAACATTTGTGTATCTTACATGAGAAGTTTCAAATTTGTCTACAAATTCGTTGGATGAACAAGCAGTATACATTAATACTTTTAAATCTGTCAATTGTTGTATGTAACTTGCTTTTATAATACATTTTTCCTCATCTGTTAATATGTACAATGAACGTTTTCCTCCTTCACTTAGTGGCCTAAATGTACATACAAAAGATCCAATAGAATTAAAAAGAAAAATTAATCATAGCTGTATTGTACTACCTTCTATTGTTCGCAGCAAATTCTTGAATCAATTTTATAACTATAAAAGTTTGTTCATAACTTTTTCCTAGACAGACAATAATATTTTTGTCTCTTGCTGCATAAAACAATTCTACCTATAAGAATGATTATTTTAAATTCAGCATATAATAAATAATACCTTCATACAAAATCTTTCAAGTAACTTACTTGGTATTCTCTAGGTGTAAAAGATTTTGTATAAATCTGATCGTTTAGTGGAAATGCCATGGAACCTATAACTTGTACTGTTTGTAACTAAAAGAAAAATGCATTTATGTTTGTATTTTATTAAGTTTTGTTGTCAGATTTCAATTCAATTTTAGAATCAAGACAGAGCAGCTACGGATACGATTGACATATGCAGTACTTGTATGTGTAATTATATGTGAACAGTCGACTGAACGATGGTTAGGGAAAATATTGGGAAAGGAATCCCCTAGTATTTTCCCTATAATTTCGCATAGGGACACTATTTGCAAATCGCAATTTGATTGGTTATCATTTTTATTTAGTTTTATAATTATAATATATAATATTCAATGTTTCTTTCTTTACTTTTACAGGAAATATAATAAAATTTTATAATACGTACACGAGTAAAATTGTAACTGAGAAAGTACTGTATAAAGCATTTAAAAGTATTATGTATGTGTAACACTTTTACCAAGTTTTATCGTCGTATACTATCTTATAAACCTTGAAATTAATTGAAAATGTGATAAAGAAAATAAAATTTATGATTATTACTGATAAATCATTATCGATGATAACAAAATCGATTAATCGTCCATTATCGATAGTTGATTACAATTTTTAACAACTTCAATTCGAGAGTCTTTTCAGTCGTTATTGCGTTGCAAGTAAGTTCGTATTCCATTGTTTCTTCCTTTTCGTATTATAAATATATTAGTAAACGGTTAATCTATATTAGTAAAACATTTGGTTAGTGGCATTTTATATCATAAACATATTTTAATAACAAAAATGGTTATCTAACAGTTAAATATGTTTTTTGTATTAACATGTGTTAATCATCCATTTTTCATTGAACATCTTTGTTATCCGTATTTTACGCCTATAAAATTAAACCGAAGTAAAAATTTTTAAAGTGGTTTGTTTAAAGTTTATTTTTCTTAAAGTTATATGCTGCATATGCACATGATAATATTTTATACGTGTGCACGTGTATAAAAGAGTAATCGTTTATTTGTATATAACTTGTATTCAGTTTAGATAATAATTTTATTTAAAGCAATGTTTTATGCATATTAAATTATTTGTACATAAATTTCACTGTTTTCAGAGCGAGCAAACATGCAGCTACAAATTAGAGGAGATCACACGACTGTTGTCGAGTCACATGAAAATGAGACTATTGCAGAATTAAAGGTACATTGATGATGCTATTATATTGTCTTAGTTAAAATCTGAATAACTTTTTTAATTTCAAAGTTAGATAAAAACATCTGTATTTAAAATATAAAGGAAACAATTTTTTCATTATATAAGTAGGCGTATCTCTTCAATAATTGCGTCGAATGATAATCCAGAAGTAGATCTTTATATTTCTGGCACGAGCAACGACGCAATATCAAACAACGAATTTATGAGCTGGTGATCAAATACATTTTTATTGGTCATCATTCGCAATTGTTCGTTAACAGTATTATATTTAATCATGCTTATATTTTACAATAATATGCATGATAAAGTAATTAACATTGTTTATTTGGTTGCAAATGACTTCATGTGAGAATGTAAATTACATTCATTTTGCAGAAAAAAATTGTGGAGTTAGATGCTGCTGCAAACACAGAGTTCAATCTGTACTGTTCTGGCTTTCTGTTACAAAATGAAGCATTAGTAGGAGAACTTACATCCAATGTTTTGGAACTAACAGTTTCTCTTCCTGGTGGTAAGTATTCATTTCCTTTTCAAGTTACTATACTATTCAGAACTTAAATTGTGTATTTCATATTTAAATAAGTAATAATGTTAATTGTACTATTTTAATTTTTAAGGTAAGGTGCATGGGTCTTTAGCTCGTGCTGGAAAAGTAAAGGCACAAACCCCAAAAGTAAGTGAATTACAATTAGTAATTGATTGAAAACAAATAGTCACTTTAAACTTGGTCTGGTTTTTACAAATTTTTATCTTCCATTGTATAGGTAGAAAAGCAGGAAAAGAGTAAGAAGAAGACTGGCCGAGCTAAAAGAAGGATCCAATATAACAGAAGATTCGTGAACGTTGTCCAATCCTTTGGTCGTCGTCGCGGTCCAAACGCTAATTCTAATTCATAATTGTATAAAACTACACATGTAATGATGCTGAAAATAAATTAAAAAAAAAACTTTAAACAAAACAGTTTATTTCCCATTGTATTAAAAATCTCGATTTGAATTAAAATCATTAATAATTTTGATTAACTTTAATCAATACATGAAATATTTACAAATATTAAAGAAGTGTTACAGAGTCTATGAAACAAACTCAACAAAAATATGTTGCTTCATAAAACAATTTACAATTTATGCGAAATTACATACATAAACGTAAAATAAAATTATAAATACACACTTGCACATACTTCAGAGTGTAGTAAATACGTAAATATACATACATACATCAATGCATACACACTATGCATTTTCTAACTCGAAACAAAAATTTGATAAAACTTATGGACTAGATACAAGTACAAAATTTATAATCAAACATATCAGAGGCTTTCTATTTCAATACTTATTTTTGTTTGTACATTGTTTATTGTGGTATAAACTTCACTATCTTAAAAGTGTATGGTAGTCATTAATTGTAAAGATTAATGAATTCATTATTAAAAATTCATTATTATGAAACACTTATCTATGCAGTACCACAATTATTATTTATTCTTCGATTATTTTATTTAAATTATTGATAAAATCATCAATTATTTACTTGATAATTGAATACTTTATACATTATATAATACTTCAGCTGCAACAAGAAAACGTATTTCTTCACTTTTAAAAAATATTATTCTCAATAGCAGTAGTTAAAATATAATAAACTATATATTGTTAATCTAATCTGTCCATAAATCAAAGTTATTTAAAACTGTATTATTAAGACAATACATCAAAACTCAATGAAACTGTACAATTAAAAATCACTGAACTCTCTCTTTCATTTACATTTTCATAAAGTACAAAAGGATCTAATAACGCGTAGTTTCTATTTTTGTTTCCTAGTACTGAAGAAGTAAATCTCTGATATCTTTGCAAAGAGTTGCAAAATCTGGCCTTTGATGACTTTGTAAATGCCAACAGGGATACATAAGTTTTATATAAATCGCTTGAGGGCAAGTAGATGGGCAAGGAAGACGAGTGCCTCTTTCTAGCGCAGCTAATAGTTCAGTACTTCCTTTTTCTTGCTCATTTTGAAGACGTTCTATGCTTGAATCGAGCCCGGGTAATCGCGGTTCTTCTCCATAACCAAATGTTTCGTACATTGTTACACCAAAAGACCATACATCTGATCGAGTTGAGAATTTCCCATCTCGAATACTTTCTGGAGCATACCTACAAAAAGTATAGTTGAATTTACTTACTTATGTTGGTACAACGTAAAACAATAAATGGGAAAATTAAATACCATTTAATAGGAAGACCACGATCAGTTTGTAAAATATAATAATCATTTTTTCCAGTAACTTGTGCCAGCCCAAAATCGCTGATTTTCACCTTGTTTTCGTCAGCAACTAAAATATTTCTTGCAGCAAGATCTCTATGAACAATACTCATGCTACCTAAATATTCCATTCCTGTTGCAATATCCAATGCAAACCCTAATAATCTCTTATGCGATAATTCTTGTTTATGAATTAATAGATAACTTTGTAATGAACCGTGCTTTACATATTCCATTACTAAACAAACTTCAGGCTCTGATATTACTCCCAAAATTTCTACTACGTTCGGATGTTTCAGAGTCTATAAAATTAAATTTCACTATATCTTTGTTACTGAAGTATTATTATTAATATCGAATTTATGAATGATGATACTACCTTCATTATGGCAATTTCTCTTTCGAAATCCCTTATGTCTGCTTCGAGTGCTTTGGTTTTTAATTTTTTAATAGCAACTTGTTGAGGTTCTGTATCTTTTCCATTTTCTCTCTCGAGAGTTCCCCTATAAACCTCCCCGTAGAAACCTTGACCAATTCTACCTTGCAAAATTACATTGCAATCGATATCTAATTCATAAATTCCTCGCATTTGACCTAACGAATCGTTACTGCTTCCTCTGGAGTCGGAGTCTTCTTCAACTCCTTGTTCATTTCTTCCTATCATCTGTTTTTTATTTAATACAATCTAATTTTATTATTGTACTTTAAATAAATGATTAACTTTTGGAAAAGAAGAACCTAATTACCTCATCTAAGTCACCGGGATGTCTTATTCGCAGTGTTTGAGCAGAGTGATCAATACAATTCATATTAGGAACATTATTTTGAGATATTGAACCACCTTCTGAATCTCTTCTTGTATTGGATAACCAACTTAAGTATGCAGACAAGTCTTCTGTACTACCTACACTGGTACCGTTAAAGTTAATTAAACTTTGTGTACCTGCAATTAAAGTAAGAGTATGTAAAATCATCATTTAAACGAATATCATTATAAAAAATAAATTATTATCTCACTATCATCCGTATCATTCCAAGGAAGACTTGTATTGTCAGTAAGAAGACTACTAGCCCTTGATTCACTATTTATTGACTTGTTATCATCACTGGTATCAGAATTATCTTGACTATGCTTTTTTAATTCAGAACTAAACAGTTTAGGAAATGCTGTTGCATAAGCATGACTTCTGCGAGAATTATATACTTGATACAAAATTTGATTAATATCTCTCATAATTGCTTGTGGTTGTTTTCTAGAGCCATTTAGATCTCCCCAACAGTCAAGCATCAGTCTATACACTTCTGTAGGACAGCCATTTGGAATAGGCAAACGTTTCCCAGATTCATAATATTTCTTCATAACAGCAGCATTTTGAAATTCTAATAACGTGGCTCCTCTAAAATGGAGTAATATTCAATTATTAATAAATATTTTTGTTTACAGTAGGCATTAAGCAAAAATTTATTTTGTATAATAAAAGATCATTCTATTGGAGTAAGTTTAGATAATACTGTAATAATAAAATAAAATTGTTGATTATTTTATTTTACCTAGCAAAGATTTGCCAAATTGTCGTTCCCACAGCCCAAACGTCTGCTTGGAAACTATACCTAGCTAATTCTGGATTGTTGTATGTTTCTGGAGGTAACCAATGAATATCTGTTTCCTTATACACAAATATTCCTGGATCGGCAAGTTTTACTACAAAGCTGTTATTAGTATGGGCATGTACTAGGAGTTTATTGCATCTAATGTTACCATGAACTACACCGTTCTCTTCGAGATGCCAAAGAGCGGTAGCTAGACAAGCTGTAGCTTCTACCATATCTACAGTTTTAACAGTTTGAGAAGAAGAACTACGTAAATATTCATCAAGAGTACCATGCCGTACCAATTCCAAAAGCATTCCAATCGATGGTGTTACTGTTAAACCATATAACCTGATAGAGTACATCAAATTATTATACTAACAATATGATTTTGACATGTACAGTTTTGTTGTTGAAGTTAATTTCAAAATATCTACCTCACAAGAGTCCCGGATCGTAGCTGAGACCATTTTCCAGCAAGTTCTAAAAATTCTTTTGTATAATTTGTCTCTTCTTCTTGTTTCAAAATTTTAAGTGCGACTTCTAATTTTTTCCCTTTAGTTAATCTCCAGATTGCTCTATGAAGAACTGTCGGTGAATAATGCTGGCTTCTAGTGGTTCTTAAGAAAGGTTTATAAATTTCAAGTTGATTTTGAGGTACACAACGTGGTCCAGTTTCTAAAACTGAAGCAACAATTTCTTCATCTGCTGCAACTTCGCTAACTGCACTTTCAGGAGCACAAAGTAGCAGTGGTGATTTATCTGAACAATTAAAACATAAATCAGTTCTTTTGTACTTTAAATAACAAGTTTTGCTTTGAAAATTTATCCATTACAGTTCATTTAATTTACCATACTCTGAAGGTGGTAAACATTCTGTAAGATATGACTGTCCTTCAGAATCTTGAAAAGACAAAACACACTGTGCCAATGAATTGTAGCGATTAGGACTACCGACAATGATAAAATCATTTGATAAAACTTTTTCTTCTACTCTTTTAGAAAATAGCTTTCCTTCTTTATTGTATCCATCTAAATAATATACGTCATACTCAGTTTCACTTTCCCTGAGAAGGTAGCAGCCTGGTTTATTTGCTCGTTTCTCTTGTAGTTTTGCATATGAGAATTCTTGCCTATAATAATGAATAGTTCTTTAGTAACAATAGTAATGTATCACAATTACATTAATTGATATAAGCAGAATCTTACCCAACTGGACCATGGCATTTTAATTTATATAATCTTTCCAAAGAAGGAGTAACAATTTCACCACACAAGTTAAATGTCCATTTAACTGCTAAACGATAATAACCATCCAGCGCAGAAACGAAGGACATTAAGAATGTGTTTTTTGAAAATTTTAAATACGAAGGTATACCATTCTTTCGTGATATTTCCACTGTATTATCTTGTCTAAAAAATAAATAAAATTATAGTATAAGTATAATGAATTATCCTGCATAGTAAAATACAAACATTTTATAAATAAAACTTCATTTAAGTTTGAATAATTTTTCCTTTTACATTCTGCATGTGTAACAAAGAAATTTATGTTATAAAAATTATGTAATCTGCTACTCTATACAAAAAAGAATTTTATATTTAGAGAAATGACTAATTTTTGAACCTTATAGAAATAAAACATAAATCTTCAATTGCACACAATGTAGTCCATGAAGTAGCAACTGTTTCATAATATTTCACTTCATTTACATTGATTCTCAAAGACACTTTTGCCGGAGGATTTTGAAAACCTCTATCCATTAAAGCTTCATATTCTTCAGATGGATAATTTGGTGCCATGCATTGAAACTGTTTCAAATATTGCTCTTTAACATAATTTGCATCATAACCAGATATTTTACGAAGTGCATTATGAATTGGTTTTTTGATAAAAAATGCATGGCGCTTTATACATTCTTTAGGAATATATTTTCTGTATTCAGATTCTACTGTTTCTCTTGGTACTTTCTTTTCTAACATCACTCTATAAACAACAAGTATATTAATTGATATTAATATTAAGAAACTATAATATTTTCAGATGACAGATTATATACAAACCTGTACATATCACTAACACCAAGACCAATTAGTTCTTGTTTATGTCTCTCATAAACAATATCTGGTACCTTATTATCCATAACATCTGAACGTGCTTGTTGAAAGTAGTAATCATAAGCATTTGCATCAATTTGTTTTAATCTATATAAGCTTGATGGTTTAAATCTTAGTCTAAAATCAAACTTGTTTTTATCTTTTGCTTCTAAACGATGAGCCAGCGAATACCATAGTTTTGTGTGATGATTTCTAAGGGCAAAAAGATGCTTGGCCACTGGACCTATGCCTAAATATTTACAGATCTGAAAGATTTATTATTATTTATTAATGCACTAAATAAAAGGCCAATTTTATGCTAAAATATAGCTGAATAAAGAAAGAATAACTATAGTTTTTAAATAATTTCATATACCTTGATACAAAGATCTTCAATTGTTTGTCCATAAGTAATTGGATAAGTTAATTCCTTTTCCTCATTTGCAACATAAACGATCGCGTGTCGATCGTTTTCCATTGTTTTAAACAATTATATCGTTCTCACATTTTGTTACTTCAATTATCCCATTGCGTATCGTTTATTTACAACGTTTACAACGCAAACTGAACTCTGTGCGCATGTCAATGAAAAAGCACGATAGCCATGATAATAAACTAAAGATTACGTCACAACTATGTTATTCATACATATTGGTAAAAATATTAAATTTATGCAACTATTGTAGATTGGTTAAACAAGCTATATCTATATTTATTCAAAGAAAGATTAATTAAAAATATTTAAATTAATAATAAATTGATAAATAGCTCAAATTAAATGAATAAAATTATTATTTAATATATTAAAACTAAGTTTTCTATTATCTCAACTTTATCCGACTGTTTGTTTATTCATTCTTTTACCGTAATAATAATCTTTTAGATACTAGGGATACAGAAAACTAGGGGTCTAGGGATATTGGAGTACACAGTATAGGAATTTAAAAACATGTCTCGAACATAATACACATACGTATATTTAATATTTATAATATAGATATATATAAATATACAATAATTCCAGTGATAAAAAATCACAATTGTATAATTTATTTCAAAATATGAACGTCAGAAAAGTAAACGAATATTGTCCATTCATTACCTATGTATATGCTTGATAAAGCATTTATACATGACATATATGCTTACAGTTTAATATACAATATATAAAATGGCACTTTATGGTATTTATTTGTCCGACCAAATATTCAATTCCTATAGAACTGAACATGAGGAAGACTATTGCTTGCAAGACAGAAAATTACAACAAGAATATATTAAATAGAAGACAGTTATATCAGAAGTATAAATTCATTTCAGAAAAGTTCATTGCATAAAAACAATAGTTATATTTTTGAAAACAATTGTTATTCAATTATCATTGTTTAATATAAACAATTGTTATTGTTTTAATTTGATTAATGATGTATAAAGAAGTAGAAATAGATGATCCCGATGATTTCTTATTTAAGTAATCAATCACATTTTTTTGATTGTTGGCCCTTGGATCTGAAAGAATTAAACAATTCTAGTAAATAGAACAAATTATAAAATGAAAAGATTATATATTAAACTTACAAGACTGATATGTATATATTTAAAATGTAGGTGAATTCAAATTGGGACTGCCCGGGGTCGAAGTGGGCGTTGACGGGGTATCCGGTGATGAAGTTTCCAGAGGACAAACCAAGTTACCATAATCTGCTTCATTTTTGCTTTTTTTACGTTTTAAAGTGAACTGAGATTTCTTTGGTACCTGAATCACATATTTAAAATGTTATATAAATTTGAAATGAAAATAATTTTCAAAAAATTACCTTTAGACGAGCAGTAAGCGTAAGTGGAACGAATCCAAGAGTGTTCTCTATTTCTCTTTTTCTTTGTACAATTTCTCTACCAAGAATTTGATTGAAATGTGTAGTTAAATGTCTGCGAAGTAGAGTTTTCCCAGGAGAAATACTAAGTATTGTGGCTAATAGTTCCGAAGTAAATCTGCCTTCGTACACCATTAAACCTCCATGTACGCCAGATCCTCTCATATTTGGAGCATACTCTGCTAAATCAACCATTCTCAGCCATTCCATCACTCTATGGTTTGTCCAAAGACGTACATTATTACCGTCCATTCCGTTCCCGTTTATAGATCTTCTTTCAAGATTATCGAATTCAAAATTTAGTTCTCTCAATATCTATAAAATTAAATATATTCTTTTAACAAAGATAGGAGAATTATAGTGATTAATGTATAATCAAATATATAGAAATACCTGAATTCCTCGTCTGAGACTTGCTGCATGCAATTGTGCGGTGACGCCGAGATTTAAAAGGTCTTCAGTAGTAAGTCGATGCAGCATTCTTCCATCAATTTTAGCATTTTGAAAAGCATCTTTATGCTGTGGCAGGCCAATATCATCAAGCCATCTTAAAACAGCTGCACTGTCCATCTGTAATTTTTCAAAATTTATGGTACTCGTAACCATATTTTGCATGCACTTTAAATAGCTTTAAATTATAATACAAAAAATTGTATAACAATAACAGTGAAAGATGATAAATATACATATAATAATAATAATAAATATATTTATAAATACATACACCATTCATGATGAAACAATAAAAAATACCTTATCTGCTCCAAGAAATTGAACACTACCGGATTTTTCTGATTCTATCGCATACAATAATTTCTTTTTATGAAAAACATTCTTAATTTCTAGTTCCTTTTCTAATTGCTGCTGCGAACATTCAAATAACTTTGATCCGGTTGCACCCCAACGTCTAAGTTCACCCGCATAACATTCTAATCCTAGATTTGCGAGCCAATTTCCAATTTCTTCCATTGAAAGTTCTGCCAAAGGTTTCTGTGTAATTGATTCTACCCGAGAATTCGAGTTTTCTATGATAATTGCTTTCTCTTCTTCGGCTGAAATAAAAACAAATAATTAAAGAATTTTATAATATGCAATTTAGTTTACTATACATGGCTAACACTTTGGTACATGTCGATTAAGTCAATCACTCAAGAGTATTATTAATTCTATTTCCTTTTCGTTTTTCTTTCTTATGTGCTATTATTAAATCAGGCTAAAATATTACATATTTTAATGTTTTTTAGTCGCAAAATATTAATAAAAAAATATGTTATCAATTACTACTGATTTATTGCATTTAAAAAATAAAAAAGTTTGTATAAATATTTTCAATATGTACTATTGCTTTATTGTTTACTATTATTAATTTAATGTATTATTTAATCGAATAAAAAGCTGAATAAACGAATAAAAATATTCATGCAAACACGAAAATAAAGCTTTAAAAAAACAACTTCAATCACTGTTAATGAACGTAAGTTTTTCGATATTAGCCACGACTGCCTGTCATACAGAAAAAATACATAGTTATTAAAGAAACAAAAACTAAAGATGCATGCTTAAAGGAGAAATCAATCGCAACCTAAGGTAGGTGCAGACAGGCATCTCGCGGATGCTCCTCTAACGGCCAATGGTACCGTCGTGTGTGCTCCATAAACTAAACTGGGTATCTTACCAAACACTACGCCTTTCTTCGAAGAACTCGGTGGCCTTGGAAGACTACTATACTGACTCGTATGCCTTCCAAATCTTTCTCCCTATAATAAACCACTAACACTAATGTTTTCCTCTATTTTTCATTACAGTTATATATAAATTTTAAAAAGGCGTATTTAAAACTTTTTTTTATATTTAGATTTATACTTAATTCTGTATATTCCTATTAACTTACATTTGATACGGTACTTGTACTTCGAAGATTTTCATGTTCTAAACTTGCTTGTCTGAGTTTCATTTCTGATAAAGAGCTTAAAAGCTCTAATTTTTGTGTTTCTAAAGCGCTTCTTGAAAGTATTTCCTTTAAAAAGCAAAATCGTTAAAATAAAATGGAAATAATAGTAAAATGTAAGTACAAATTAAATTAAAATACAGTAACATAAAGAAATAATAGCATTATAAACATGTTACAATTATATAAATAAGATAATAAAATTACTTTTTGTAATGCCTCCTCCATTCTTCTAAGTGAATCCTTTTTTTCCCGTAACATATCTTCCAATTCTTGGATTTTATTACATTGTGCATCCACCCGTTCTGATAAAACAGATACTTCCATGTGCAATGTCTCACGTTCATTTTCTAATTTTCTTAAGCGTTCCTGCAACATTATAATTTTGTACAAATGATATATTAATGTTTAAGGTAAACACAATAATAATTGTTTTAATACTTAAATTTCAAACAATTATTCAATACAATTTCCTAATCCAAAATAATACCTAAGTGAATTTTTCTGTCATATTGTTTCCTTTAATAAAAAAGAACAACAAACTTGTAATTTATCTTCTAGTTCAGTTCTTTAGTTCATAATCTACAACACAATACTATCAAATAATGTAGTATAATGAATGAACATATAAATATAAATATTCAAATTTACTAACTGGTTGCATCCATTCCAGTAAAATTTTTGTAGTAGTTATATCTGGAGGAGAAGGAGGTCTAGGAGAACTTTTAATTGCTGTTAAAAGATTTTTTGTAGCCTCTTTAATAGGATCCTTCCATTCCATGTTTCCTTCATTATTACTTTCTGAGCAAGCACCTATTAAGTATATATAATACATAAAATTTTAAGCATGTTTTAAATAATTATTAAACATTTATGAGAAGGCTAAAGCCTACCGTTCTCAATAAGTCAGATTCATTCTATAAATGATATGAACTTTTTGTGAGGTATAACAATAAAAATAATAGATTTACCAGAAATTATGTCATCCATCTGTAATAAAGCAGCTTCTAGCATCTTACTAGCCTTACTTGATGGCTTTGTAAGAAAACTTGGTTCACTTGGGCATATTGTACTTTCATTTTTTTCTTCGCTTTTACCCATTGTTGATTCCTATATGTTAAAGGTACATACATGAAAAGCTATATATATTATGCATTGAAGTTATCATTTCTTACACATTATATAAACTATAACACAAGTTTCTAAATTTATTTAATACTTCTGAAACAGTAAACTGAGAGAAAAATTAATAGAATTGCATTTTCTGCAATTTACAAATTCGTTGTTATATAAATTTATATTTATCTTTATAAATGAATTTAAATCATAACCTTGTGTTTAGATCAACAATGTTAGAAAAAGGACAAAAAGAAAGCAAGAAACATAAAACAAAATGTCAAAGTCACATTTCAAAATGGCGTATTTATTAAACTATTTATATATTTAACAAAGAAATTAATAATATTAATCTGTACTAACAGGCTTTTGTATTCTCTGTTCTAAAAATCGATTAATATTTCAATATTTAATAAAAATAATAATGGGAAAGGAAAGTTTACTGTGCTTTTACTAAAAATGCTTAATTACCTCTTTGCATCATGATTCAGATTTGAATTTTTTACACAAGTCTTTTAAAATCTGTTTAAAATCAGAGACAGTAGTTGGATTCAATCGAAAAGTCAACAAACGACAACAGGTGTTACAAATAATACTCAATAATTTATCACCATGTATAATATTGCGCACGCTTTTGTCGATGAATCCACAGTTCACAACATGGACCTATATACTATGCCTATACATATCTATATTTATATAGGATTATATACATGCAGTACCGGTACAAGGGAATCGAGAACCCAACTCCTTGGTCCAATTTTTGTACAAAAAAGTTAATATTAACATTTATCAAGTTATCAATTTCAAATGGAAGCAATGGTATTTTTATAAACTTTCATTCTAAAATAATTTAATAGAAAAATGAACCATTTCTCTAAAAGTCGCAAATTATATTAATTACAAGTGTCATTTAATTAAAAATACATCATTTATTATATATCTTTATTTTATTAGTTTTATTTAAAATGAATTCATATCTACTGTATTTATAATGGAATTAGTGTATGATTGAAACAATTACTTTTTTGTTCTAAGATTTTTGCTATAATATTAGGACATATTTGTTGTTAAAAACAGTATTCTTTGACGACCTAGTATATGGCTCATTACGTTTCTTTTATTTTTACATTAAAAAAAAAAAAAACATCTTTCATATTTTAATTTTATAGTGGGTGTATTTATATAAGGTGTTAAAGAAATTTGTGCTTTGACAATGTTAATTTAAACTTCTTTGTTTCATACAGCTTATTTCATAATTAACAATCAACTACTATTAATTAATAATTTCTTAGTTGGTCTGTGTTTTCCTTAATGCATTAAAAATAGTTAAAGTTTAATATTATGTTATTGAAATAAACGTTTCTTCTGTAACCTTAGTTGATTTTAATTAATTAGAGCTTTATTTGATAACAAAAATAATTAGTTTGAAAAATTTTAATTTTTCAAACTGTCAAATACTGTAGACGAAAGATAAGATAGAAAAATGAAAAAAAAAAGGAAAGAAAAAATAGAAGAACGTTGTCAAGAATCGGACGTATTTAAAATCTAGCACATTGGAATGCAAAGTAACAATAAATAACTTATGTGTTAATAAACAATACAATAATAATAATAATATCATAATAATATAATAGTTGTTTTAAATACTACACAATTTATGGAACGATTTTTAAATAATTACAACCATTGACAACAGTTTCCGTGCGTACATCTCTAGTTATATTTGTTTAAAATAAAATATATACAAAATACCCAATTTAACTGCATAACCGGCCACACTTTGTTATCTTTTATACTTTTAACATAGTACTAAATATGATTCACTTTGTAGACATGCCTTTATTTCAATATACTTTTGTATATAATTTTCAGAAGCAATAACGTATGTAAATCTGGGCACAAATTGGGTATTTTATATAAATGTATATACATAACATTTTTATATAAACACTAGAGTGGAAAATCATATTTTGTTACTTCACAAAAAAATGAATTTCTTGTACTAATTTGTATTAAAGCTAATATTGATTTAACTTCTATTTAATTTTAAATTCTAATCCCATCTCATTTTTTGCTTTTTCCTAATTTTTAGTTTTATATAGAATTCTGTTTTAAATCGTGAATCATAAATACTTTTATAAAATTTAATTTGAATAGTCGTGTAACAATTCGTTCTGGTATTAATATATACCTCTGAAATATAACATAACTTCTTTATGTATTTTTTTTAGATTTAATACTTCTTTGTACAAATATTTCTATATAAAATATTTCTTAAGCTGATACAATATTCAGCTATCACCTTCTATTTATATATTAATATTTATATATAACGATACATATAACCCGATTCTTTTTTTGCACCATAATAATAAATTAATGATCGAAATCTAATTTGTATACAATAGAATATTAATTATCTTTTTTTCATATTAAATTAATAACTATTTATTCACATTCATTTAAATGTAATAAAATAAGTGATATATATTATATATATATAAAATTTAATGACCAATTTTACAAAAGTGTCAAACATAAGACGGCGTGCAAAAAGAATTGGTATTCACTTTTTATTTTTTTGTTTTAAATCTAAGTATACACAACTAGGTTTAAAATTATAGATAGAGCTTCTGGAATACGTTTTAATAAAGCCCCATGGACGGATTGTTCATACCATCATAAATTAGCACGATTTGGACGAATGCGAATGTTGGCAAAGGTATTTTGGTGAAGGCACAACTTCTTCCAGATCTCAATATCAGTCCTCGAATCTCGATTATTTGATTTTTAACATAAATCGAGATGTATCTATCGACGCAGATACTAAATAATTAAAAACATTGATCCAAACGTTCAAATACAAATACTTTTGTTTGTACTTTATAAAATGTATTTCTTTTTGGTTCAAGCTTTTAGTATTCTTTATTATGAATCATATTAAATTCGTTTATACTATTTAATAAATATTTAAATAATCGAGATTCTACGACTCTATAAAGAACGTTATTTTTGTTTTTACTACTGATGACTTTTGCTTAGCAGATGTGAATTAAATTGGTACAAATTGCAACATTGTTCTCCACAGATGTTGCATTTCCAAGGATTACTTTCACTATGACACCCCTTATGCAGAAAATACAGTGTTTGATCAGGGAAAGTAATTTTACAATGAGTACATTGAAGCCCATTGCTTCGTTGATCGGGCCTCGTTGAACTAGGAGGTTCTCCTCTTGAATGGGAATTTGAATTTGAAGTGTTATTACCTATTACAAAATGAATTGAATCTACACTTGTATGAATTATACAAATAAAAAATTATTATAAAAAATGTTTATACAAGTGTCAACTGAAGTAAAGTTATCAGTAACAAAGTAAAAAATTGTCAAATTTATATTTTATATAGACTCATCTAAATCCAACATTTAAGTGGTAAAATATTAATAAACATAAATCAACGTTTATAAATAAACGTATAAACTTATTGACGGCAGCAGTAATTTGTATAATAAAACAGTTGAATTACCATTATTATTGTTGTTGTTATTATTTCCAGAACCAGATGAAAGTTTGCGTCGTAAATCATCTCGAAGAAGGGACTTTAATGGAGAAACTTTGATCAATGATGGTAGTGGAAGGTTGCTGGATGTTGCTCCGTTTTCTTCTGTTCCATTGCTGTTTGGTTCTTGCTTAATAGGAATTAGTGAAATAGAAGGCGTAATCGTATCTTCGTTTCCGCTAAGATTCCTTTAATTAGAAAGCTAGATGAGACTGAATTAAAAGTAGATTAATTTTGACTTGTTAAACATCTTTCATACCTGTGAATGCCACTACTGTTAATAGGTAACTGGTGATGACTACTACTTGGTGCATTACTGTTACTATCTGCACTTTGAGGACTATTTGGGCTATCTCCGTTTAGCGGAGCAGGACTTGGATTTCGTTGATTTGGAGTTTGTTCCGGATAAGGAATTGATATTTCTATGTGAGGTGTCAGAAAATGCATTGGCGGCGTTGCATTGTCTGCTGAACGATTTCCAGTACTATCTCCACTGTCTGAAAGAGGCGCAGAAGGCATAGCTTCACCTGGAGTACAACTGTTCATTAATGAACTTGAACTGTTTGGTCCTGGATTATCTAAATCTATTCCATGTCTAAAACGATAATTATTTAATTAAATGTAATTAGCTTATCATAAAAATGTAACAGTATTGAATTAATGAAATATTAACCTATTAAAAAAGTGTAACCTGAGGCACTTCATAGTTGCTGCACGATAATTGCACAAAGGGCAAGATTTAACCATGTCATGTTGACCAACATGTTCATTCTGAAAATGGGCTCTCATCGCAATTTGTCTTTGGAAACCTCGGTTACAAATTGGACAATGATATGGCAGAGTTTTAGAATGAGTCGTGAAGTGTTCTGCCAAATGATCCTTGCGAAAAAATCTTTTTTGGCACACACGACATTCATACGGTTTTACACCAGTATGTCTCATCTATAATTAAATTTACATTTATCTTATAATAACTTATATTTATAGAATAATTTAATTTTGAAAATTGTTGATATTATGACTTAAATAGAATGTAATTAATACTTTGTGCCGCCTCATGTTAGCTCCATTTGAGAACTGCATATTGCAAACATCACATTCAAACATTTTTCTATGAGAACGAATTCCAGGATGACTTTCTTCTCCATCCCCATCATTTTCAACGGCTTCTATATTTTCTGCACTTTCCCCTGGCTCAGCACTAGCCAAACATTGGTCTTGATGAGCACAAAATGCTGTTTTATTTATAGTCTCATAGTTTTCACACCTTTCACACCTGTCCACATGTTATGGATCCTTTGATATGCTATTTAAAATCTTGATTATCTAAATGTTTACTGCAACTTTTTAAATTTGAAAAAATCAATTACATGAAGACGACAGACCTAAAAGCAGGCACAGCACCATCACTGCTATCATAATTGGTGTTTAAGGCTGCCTCATTGTCTGGGTCTAAATTTTCCTCTTCTCTTGTGTTTGACGACTCTCCAACATCAGTGTGAGAACAGGAATGGGAATCTACCTCGTTTTCCCCGCCGCCAGCATCAACCCCATCTGACATGGTATCGAACCCTCCAAACACTCTGTCGTTCAACCTGCACCATTCGTTATTGATTACCTACGATATTAAAAACCAACAATTTAATCTCTTCTTTTCCTCACACTACAACTTGCTTTACTTGCAATAAATTGTGATAACATATATAGAATATTAAAAGGTATTTAGGAAGAAAAATACAGTATATCTACTTCTACAGAACTTTTTAATATATAGTGCTTAATAAAGCAGCAATACTGATAATGAAATGGTAAAATCTAGATAAAATAAATGGTGAGAAATATTATGGAGAGAAAATTACTCGGATTACGAGCAATTTAATAAAAATTTCGAAAATCTTGATGTTTACCTGTCAATTTCGATCCAGGGTTCGGGGATGACGAGACGATTGGTCAAGCCTGAGAGCAAGAAAGAGAAGAAGGAGAGAAGAGAAAAAGGAAGAGAGAAAATGAGAGGGAGAGATAGAAAAAGAAGAAGAGAGAGTGAGAGAGTGAAGAAAGAGAGGGGAGGGTACTAGGACATGGAGTGAGATTCCGGTAAAGCGCAATGCCAGAGTACACTGCACTTTGTCCCAGTTTCGGGAGAATCCGTCAGTGATGACGCAGTTTTTCACCCATTTGGCTGAATTCGTTACTATATACTTGGCATTACTTTATGAAAATCGGGTTCCTACTAATGTTTTCTGATCGAATCACACGTGATCGATCATCTTTAACTTTTACTTCGCTTTAGTTTCTCTATTAGTTGAAATTCACAATACCCTTGTGAACCACCGCACACTACTATTCCACTACCTTTTTCTGAACAATCGATTAATCGAAATTATCGATCTTAATGATATTTCGATTTCGTAGCATTTTTCGATTTATCAAATCGGTAGTAGCGTCGATTTTTTTATCCAACTTCGTAAATGAATATTATGCCATAATTATATGACATCAAATTAAAATTATTATGGGAAAATATTTGTTTACAGTAAGTAGGTCACTAAAGTTGAGCTTTCTGCATTTTAAATTATTTAAAGGGCATTAAATTAGTTTTAACTGCAGTTATTATGTTATAATGCTAAAAATACATAGCGGTATTTATAAAAACTTTGGTGACCTTCAAGTCTCAAAAGATATAATTCCGAAGCAAATTTTTTGCTCGCAATATTTGCCCCTCGATATGAAATTGTTTGTTTCTGATATTTTATTCTATTATCGGAAACAAACAAGATATTATGGTAAATAGGTTAGGCGAGACACATTGCAAATCGATCACTGGTTTCCTGTATAAAATACATATGCTTCGACAAAATTTTTTAAGGGTGAATGCAAAAAATTTATTAATATATGTATATGTAGGATTACACAACAAGGTTACGTGCATGTATTGAATATTTTTTAGCTTCGTTCAACGAGAAATTATGCTCATCATATGACGAATTTTCGCTAGGTTTGCGCATATCAACTTTGATTGGTTAAAACATGTTTAGTAACCAAGGGCAACGCGCATGCGCTCTTATATTGTTTCTGACGTCGACGTAATTCGAATATTTGAAAATTTTATAATTTTTAAAACACGAAATCTTCAAATTTTCACATTCCGAAATATCTAAATTTTGAATTTCCAAATTTTTAAGTGCCTAAATTTGAAAAATCTCAGGTTTCCAAATTCTAAAATTTTTAAATTTTCAAATATTCAATTTCAAATAGTTAGGAAACTTTGTCCCGCGTAACTAACAAGAGACATCACCCAAATAATATTTTTTCGTATATTTTTTTATTGGCAAACATCCACTCTGAAGTGGTGAAAATAACCCTTAAAGTTGGGGTTGAAAAAACTGTTTTCGTAAATATCTCAGAAACTATGAGGCCTAGACAAAAAATTAAAAGTGCAAATTTTTCTGTTTTAGAAGGCCAATAATATGACGTAAGTGGATTTTTGAAAAATTTATTTGTTCAAAAAATATGTTAAAAATTAACATAAATTTGCAAATTTTTTTAATAAAACGTTGTACCATTTTGATCAAATTTCACATAGATAAACTATGGGTCCAAAGAAAAAATACGGATAAATTGGAATTTTTAATTTCGCTCGTGGAAAAAATATTACTGTCGTTGAAGTTATATGTACATTTTATACCCTCCGTTCGGTTCACGATTGACTTCTATACATAGTATTCTGGCAATTGTATTATATCATATGTTTTGTATTAATTTATTTAAAAAAAGAATTTAGGGGTCGATAAGTGCATCTATAAAAATATGGGGCCCGAGTCAGATATCCTATTTGTTCCGCGTTCTGGGCGCGTACTGGTGGTAGTATTCGACGCACGGAAAATCTTAACGCGTAAATTGTATTTCTGTGAAGCGTAATATCTTCATAATAATGTAGAGTATATACAATTAAAGGAATTACATCTGTTCATTAAGAATTGCCTCGCGATTGTAAAATATATAGTAACACAGAAATTATAATTTTTTTATAATTTTGAAAATTATGTCTTTTATTTTGAAATGTAATACAAATGGTAGTAAATGTAAAAGATGTAGTGGTGTTATGTATTATAAAATCGAAACGGATATCAGTATTTGTCAGCGCATATTTTGTAAAAGTGACGTAGCTTTAATTTGATTGAAACTAAAGTCACCGGGATTATCAAAATATTCCGGTCTGCTACTGATGCAACCGAACGGTCGCATGCCTATAGGTTAGTTTGTAAGTCTAATGTAGGTATAGGATTTGATATTTCTTGCGCGAAATTTTTCCATATTTTATAACCATATACATCACGAGGTTGTATTAATGCAGTAGCGTTTTTTTTTATGCTTAAAACTGTCAAAGTTTTATTTGGCGAAATGATATTTCTTATCAAAATTAAAAAAAATTATAAAATGATAACAAAACTGATATTTCCAAAGTTACCCAACCTAACAATATACATTTTACAATCGTGAGGTAATTCTTAATCGACAGATGCAATTTCTTTAATTGCATGTATTCTACAATATTATGAAGATATTACGCTTCACAAAAATACAATTTACGCGTTTAGATCTTCCGTGCGTCGCACACGGTCACCAGTATGCGCCCAGAACGCGGAACACATAGGATATTTGACTCTGGCCCCATATTTTTATAGAGGCACTTATCGACCCCTAAATTCTTTTTTTAAATAAATTAGTACAAAAAATATAATATAATACAATTGCCAGAATACTATGTACACAAGTCAATCGTGAACCGAACGGAAGGTATAAAATGTACGTATAACTTCAACGACAGTAATATTTTTTCCACGAGTGAAATTAAAAATTCCAATTTATCCGTATTTTTTCTTTGGACCCATAGTTTATCTATGTGAAATTTGATGAAAATGGTACAACGTTTTATTAAAAAAATTTGCAAATTTATGTTAATTTTTAACATATTTTTTGAACAAATAAATTTTACAAAAATCCACTTACGCTATATTATTGGCCTTCTAAAACAGAAAAATTTACACTTTGAATTTTTTCTCTAGGCCTCATAGTTCCCGAGATATTTGCGAAAATAGTTTTTTCAACCCCAACTTTAAGGGTTATTTTCACCACTTCAGAGTGGATGTTTGCTGATAAAAAAAAATACGTGTCAAATATTTTTTCGAGTTCTATAACATATAAAAATTTCATCAAAATCAGTGTGTATCAATTGGGTGATGTCCCTAATAAGCATACTTTGTAGCTCAGTACAATTTCACTTGTGAAACGTGTTCTTGATAATTTCCGGTGCAAATTTTACTCTGAAATGGCCATGTAGTAATACATATTTTTTTGTAAATATTATATATCCATCTACGCAAGTGGTTTACTCACACGACTTCAAACTTGTAATTACAGCTAATAGATGGCAGATCCATCTACATTTGCATGTAGTTGTGCGAATATCTATAGTCCCATTGATGCCTTCATTTGTTCTGTGTGCGCGGCTTTCAAGATAAATTGATAATTCTGTGTTTTTAATATATTCAATAACAACGTGTTATTCATGAGCATGAGTTATTTTGTTTATCAGTTCGAGCTGCGTTTTTTCTAGCTTCGTCAATTATACTTTAAAAAATTGAATAACAGAAAATTGTTTCGATATTTCTCGATCTTTCGAAATTTATAGGGTGCTGTTCATAAGGTGTGACGAAATAAAACAATTTTTTTATTTGACACATATTTCAAGTATAAAAGGGTAACAGGTAACAAAAAAAGAAAGTGTCCTGTGGTGAAAGTTGGACGTAATTTTCGTTGCAGAAACTAGTTTCTTCCATTTGCTGTTCATATAATGACCTCAGTGGCCAACCAGGATGAGACTCATATGACAACAGTAAGCTTTTTTATTTTTTTTTTAATAGCTGTAACTTGTGCTCTAATTACAATTATTATTAGTACTACATTTTTTAAAATTCGTTTAAATACCTTTTAAGTTTTAATTAATTGTTTTTATGTCAGTGTCAACATCATAAAATAATAAAATTTTGTTTGTATTAGCCAGAACTAATTGCGACACATAATTATATACCCGAAACACATCACATTTGGACAGAAGATGGATATTGTTTAAGTGTACATAGGGTTCTCCCTGAGAAACCATATGAGCATTCCCATGACTTTAATGAAAATGAAAATATTTTAAATGATAACATAATAAAGGTAAAATAATAATAAAATAAATAAATAAGATAACTATAAAATCAAAAAGTAATTTAACTCTTTCTCTACTAACGATTAGTATCAAATGCCACATTTAAATATTAATAGTAAGGTTCTTGTTTTCCAATTAATTTATTATTCATTCTAATTTATAATTTATAGTAGCTTCTATTTCTGTGGTATATCATGTAATTTGGTAAGCTTAAATGTTTTTATAATTTTTGCAGCAAACTGTAACGTAGTGAAAGAGTTAAAAGACATTCAAATTAGATTAAATTATAGTATAATAAACTTTCTGTCGAGATTAAAGTAAAGTAAGTATCTAATATTTAGCATTCAAGTTATGATATCACACATAATATAAACAAACGAGTACCAATTCTTATTCATCATGGACTCCTATCAAGTTCAGCTGATTGGGTATTATTGGGTCCAGGAAAAGCTTTAGCATATCTTTTGTGTGACGATAATTATGATGTTTGGTTGGGAAATGCAAGGGGTAATGCATATTCCAGAAAACACAAGCAGTATACAACTAGGGACAGAGAATTCTGGAATTTCAGGTAATTATAGTTTTATAATTATTCAACAAAATTATTGAAATTATTATAGTGTGATACTAAATGTAAGATACATAAATGAATATGTAAGGAAATAATTATATTAATTAGCAGGTGAATAATTCAATAATCTTTTAGTTGGCATGAAATTGGCTATTATGATTTACCAGCAACAATAGACTATATTTTAGAACATACTGGACATACAGAACTCTATTACATGGGTTATAGCCAGGGTACCACTGCATTTTATGTAATGATCAGTGAAAAACCTGAATATAATCGGAAAATTAAAGGAATGGTTAGTTTGGCACCAGTAGCATTTCTCTCAAATCAGAGAAGTCCTTTGCTTAAATTAGTTGTTCATTTTTATGGATTACTGGAGGTGTGTTTCTAAATATGTAAAATAAATATTTAGAGAACAAAGTCTTACTAACAATAAACGTCAAATATCTATAGTAAGTATGTTTTAGTGGGGATCTTCTTACTGTAATCTACATCAGTGGTTTCCACGCAACAAATTACAAGCACAAGCTTTGGGAACCTTAATTAGGAATGCTCCAGACCGTTTTACTAAAGGTTTCTGTGTGTGCTGGTTCTCTTTAATTGCTGGATTTGGTAGTGACCAGCTAGATAAATCTATGCTGCCACTGATTTTAGGACATTTTCCAGCTGGTGCTTCTGCTAAGCAGATTATTCATTATAGCCAAAGTATATTGTCAGGTGATTTTTTAAATCTTTTTCATTTATGTTTCCTAACTTGTAAAATTCGTATAATGAAAATCTTATACAGAATCATATATGTTTAATTACTATTTTCTTTCAAACAGGAGCTTTTCGTAAATTTGATTATGGGCCAACAGAAAATTTAAAAATTTATGGATCAACACAACCGCCAAAATATGATCTTGAAAAAATAAAAGTTCCAGTTGCAATGTTTTATAGTGATCATGATTTTTTAACAGATCCTGCAGATGTCAAAAAGCTGACGGATAGACTACCAAATGTTATAGGAACATGGAAAATCAGCTATCCAAAATTTAACCATGTAGATTATTTATGGGGTAGAGATGTTAAATCATTGATCTATAATCCCATCATCGCAGTTTTAAAGAAACTTAAATAAAAAAACTATTATAAAGTTGTTTATTTTTAATTTTATTGTTATTGTAAATGTAAAGTGAAGGATAATACTCAAAGGAGCAATAGTTCAATTAAATATATTTTTTCCACCACTTTTTGATCTTTTTATTATGACTTTAGTGCTAAGTTTGAATTTTTGTAGTCCTACAAGATCATGACAAACTTGGATCTGTATTTACTCTTAATATAAAATGTTACTCGCATTTTAATAGCATTAGAAGAGAATTTTGAAATTAATATTAAAGCAATTGTAAAATTTTTTACAAATAATGACTATACCTAGTACAACAGGGACAATTTCTCGTTCTTCTTTCTTGGCTGTTTAGTAAATGTGATGTTATAATATATAAATGACGTGTATAATGCAGATTTGGAGCATTCACTGCCACATAATTTACAGATAAATTCAATAGCTATCATAACTACTAACGAATTCTTATCTTAGACGTGTTAATTTTTTCTTTTACTTTCAAAAATGCACATTATTTGCAACCTATGAAACTTCGTTCCCATCAATTCGTTCTCGTGCCATTCACTAGGTCTACGGTAGTCTAGACTCTAGAGCATTGTCTTACACATTTCGTACGTATGGTGATTAAAGCGCCATCACGATGTGGTTCACCACACTACAAAATAGCGACAAGTGTGGCGCGTTCATCGTGCCACACTTTGTGGCTAGTCTGAAAGCGTTCTAAACCTAGACGAATCAGGTTTAAGTGCAGTTCCAGCTTATAGCGTTCTGTTCTGTCAAAGTGGCGTTTCGAGACTGTTCAGAAACGGTGAAAATTCAGGGCGCGAGAGAAACAGGAGTGGCCCTTCACTGAATGTAATATACGAAATCTTTTAGAAATGATTTTTAAGTTGTTTTATCATTGAATTTCAAAACTGTTTGTGCTCGAAGTCTTTTAGTCTGTCGTAATTTACAGCTGGAAGCCATGGAGGACTATCTGCCAAATGAATACGATGTCGTTGTTGTAGGGACAGGTATTGATTTTTGCAACATATGTATCATTTATTTTGACCACTTTTTCATTTCGTGACTTAGATATAATGAATTTGGTAATTTTACAGGTATGACGGAATCCATTGTTGCAGCAGCAGCAAGTAGAATTGGGAAAAAAGTTCTTCACTTAGACAGGTATATTGGGCTCTGTTTCTTGCGTATGCGCGGTGCTCTCGCAACGTAGCCGGTTTCTCTTTTACTTGTATTGTTTTTTCCATTTTTTGCTGACCTTTTTTTTTCTAAGTATATTGCTTTCAATATAGTCGATATCTTTTAATTGTAATTTGATTGTAAATTAAAAAATATTATAAGAATAAGAAAACTATTTTTTATCTATTTTTATGCAACATTTGTTAATACATTAATTATAATTTTTGTTAAATTACTATTGTATCAACTACTACATTTGAACATATATACCTACCTTATTATTCTGTATTATATCATCACATGTTACATTACCATTTGTTGTATTGCCACTCTTTATATTGCCATGTATTATGTAGTTGATTTTTATATAGTCACTTGTTATGGAATTACATAATGAGGGTATTTCATCAATTAATTAATACTTGTATACTAATATCACTTATACTTGTTAATCAGATGATCACATAGAATGATAAATTTATCTTATGTCATATACTATTCTTTACACATATATTACATGTAAAAGATATTTTATATTATCAATGTATTAATTTTGTTGTCCTTAAAAATCAGTAAGTTTACATCAGAAATTTAGAACAAATGATCTTGATTAAAACCATTGTTATTGCAGTAATGAATATTATGGAGGCTTATGGGCAACATTTAATTTTGATGGTCTGCAGAAATGGATAGATGATTTGAAAGTTTCTGGAAGTAATGCCAAAAATGCATTTAATCTAGATTTAAAACCTGAAGAACAGTTTTTAGAAGCTAGTAATCAATATTCTACTGTTGAAAATATTGAACAAACTTGGTTTATTTCAAAGTAAGTTCAGATAATTTGTGTTGTTTATTTAAATTCGAAACTTAATTATTTGTTTTATTGCAGTGAAGTAGATTTACCAGTAGTTTCTTCAAAAGATACTCAGACTGATAATGGAGATAACAGTGGTAGTGGCGATGAAAAAGTAGATGATGATAAAATTGAAAAGAAAGAGAATGTAAAACAGTGGAGCATAGATCGTATAAGCAACGAATACAGAAAATTTAATATTGATCTGGCACCAAAGGTACAAAAATATTAGCAACTTTGTGTCAAATCCAGAAAATGCCAATATCAATTAAGATGTTGCAATAGAAAAATAAATATATCTCTTTGAACTTGACATTGCTATTAACTATTGCTACATTGTAATGTTTAAATCGATAACTCCGATTTTTTTGTAACAGTTGCTATTTGCACGTGGTGAACTAGTTGAGCTCTTGATTTCTAGTAACATTGCTCGTTACGCGGAATTTCGTGCTGTGTCAAGAGTAGCAACATTTATGGATGGAAAATTAACGCAAGTACCTTGCTCAAGAGCTGATGTATTTGCAAATAAAACTGTTAGCGTTGTCGAAAAAAGAATGCTAATGCAATTGCTCACTTCATGCATGGAGCAAGGCGCTGATAGTCCAGAATTTGATGGTAACTATTGACTTTGTTATCGAATCTTTTATTATTGTACATAACTTGTAATATAATGTTGTTCTGTAATCTTACTGTTACTTTACCATTTGTTGTTTTCTTGTTACTTTTGTAATTTTAAGGGGGTTTTAATATGATGACTTGATTTGTCAATGTGATAAACTTCTTATACATTTCTCAGTGTCACAGTTACATTTTATTAAACGTGATTTTAATAGAAATATGAACTTAAGACTTTAGGACAATGTAAAATTATCTATGTATTAATGTAGCAACATGAAACATAATGTTAGCTGCAGATATAACGTTAAGATTTAACAGTATATAAAGTATAACACATAGCAAGATTGACTAAATTCAGCATTACAATTCATTGATGTGATACATTAATAGGATTCCGTGACAAGACCTTTTTAGAGTATTTAAACACAAAAAATTTGACACCAATCGTGCAGCATTATGTTGTTCAAGCAATTGCTATGGCCACTGAAAAGACTTCCTGTAGGGATGGTGTAAATCGTACAAAGCATTTTCTGAATAGTCTTGGACGATATGGAAATACACCTTTTCTTTGGCCTATGTATGGTAGTGGTGAATTGCCTCAGTGCTTCTGTAGGTAAAGTTATCATAGCTGTTGAATTACTTTTTTACAATGATTAGTATTGTTATTGGCATAAATTGATTATTATTATTATTTACAGATTATGTGCAGTATTTGGAGGTGTCTACTGTTTAAAGAGGCAGCTTGATGGCGTAATAATAAATAAGGACAAGTGCAAAGCTATTATTAGCGGCAAACAAAGAATAAGTTTAGAACATCTGATTGTTGGTCAAGGTCATTTGCCGCCAGAAATTGTTGCTTCTGAAGGAGAACAACGAATATCGCGTGGAATTTTTATAACTGACAGGTAACAATAAAAAGCAATCAAACAAATTCTAGTTATGCGAACACGGTGTAAATTATGCGATAAAATAAAATTATAATGACGTTTGTTTTAGGTCAATTATGCAAGGTGAAAAAGAGAACTTAACACTTTTATATTATCCTCCAGAAGAACCTGATCAAGAACCTGTTACGGTGATTGAATTAGGACCATCTACAAATGCTTGTCCTCAAGGACTCTGTATGTGGTATATTTCTATAATTTTTTAGTACATCTTTTTGATCATTTTAAATATGTTATTTTGTTTGAAACAGTCGTGGTTCATATGACATGCAAACGAACAACAAATGCGAAAGAAGATTTAAGCTATGCAGTTAATAAGTTTTTAAAAGCAGAGCCACTTGATCCATTGGCTACCCGTTCATCTATTCATAGCCATACGCAGACTGTTTCTCCAGATAAAAGACACATTCAGGTATGTCTTTTTGTATAATTGTTTTCCCTTTACAGTGATAATTAATTAGTTAGATATATGTTGGATATAAATTTCATGCTAATAGCTATATATTTTTAAAACCATTTTTGTGTTAAAACCTATCTTTGTTATCTGCATATATTTTAAACTTAATTTTGTCTAAAAAGCTCTCATCCAGGTCGTAATTTCGTTTTGTAAGTTTCTTTCATTCGACTGTTTTTATTTTAAATAGAAACTGATTATGAATTGTTTTAAACATTCATCACGGAAATTATATTCAAATTGAAAAATAAAAGAAATTTATAGGAGGGTGAAGAAAACAACAAGGAAGAACCTGCTGAGAGTACAAAGCCTCAGGTTTTGTGGTCATTGTACCTAAATCTACCTGCGAGTGACATTAAATTAAAGGATTCTGCGCCAACTAATCTTCATCTTTGCTCTGGTCCAGATTTGGAACTTGATTTTGATTTTGCTGTCAACCAGGTTCAGCTTATTTAATTATCGCTAGAATTTAATAATAGTATTGTTGAAGTGGCAACTAAAGAATTATTTTATAAGAATTTTTGCATGATTTTTTGTTATAAAATATTATAATTTTTCAAGGCGAAGAGCATCTTCAAGTCAATGTATCCCGAAGAAGATTTTCTTCCTCGCGCACCGGATCCAGAAGAGATCGTACTTGAAGGTGAAGAAGCACCAGGACCGAAGTTTGAAGGTGATACAGAGGCTGAAGAAAAACAGGATATTGAGAAGGCTGAGAAAGAGGATTAAGATATCTTTTTCCATCTTTTCATCTTGAAAAATACAGGCCAATTCCGTTAGCCGCACACCTTTTTCTATTCGAAGTTCTTCGCGCATTTTTCTTTGAAAATTGGAGAATTTTTATCCGAATAATTGACGAACTAATTTTTACGAAGATGAATTATCATTTATATAAGTAAACAGTGATAAATATTATAGTAAATAATTTTAACACTTTGACTGTTACGTTGAAATCATAGAATATTCTGTCACCAGTGATTTCGCTCTTAATAAGTTTCTTAGATACACTTAGTTCTTTCTAGTACTTGTACATTCAAGTACTTAGCAAAGTTATTCATAATTGTGTAATAGTTTTCCACAAACTGGATATAAAATGAGCGATTTTGTGGAAATTTATGCATTATGCAGTAATAAATATCGTGACAGTCAAAATGTTTATCTAAATGGTTATTTAAATAATATTATAAGATATAAGTTTATTTATTACGAGATAAATGATCGAGATATTCTTTTGTCTAGCAGTTTTTGTAGATGAAATTGTCTCTTCAGCAAGAAATTTTGTTTCGTCGAATATTTAAAAAATTGCTCGTAAATTTTTCGAATAACATTCCAATAGACTAGCGCTGAAGTCTGCATTACACTCGCTCTTTTATTGAATTATGGACCAATTGGCCGAAAGCATTCGCTTTTCTTTCTTTTTTTGGTCAAATTTTGGATTTGTGTTGAACTTTGAGGAAGCGAAATGTAGCTTTATAATATATAAGAGATTAAAATTACTACTAAACGTAGAATTTTGACTGAATTAAGTAGGTAGTTTTTGTAAATTAATCTCTTAATCATCTCGAATTAAGTTTAAAATTAATTTCAAATTTATTATTTCCTGTTGTGATTGAGTTTTAACATAGTGGAGATAATTAAGGCCTACGTAATATTGATTATATTTTATGAATTACCAAATTTTTGAGAATTCAGTGGTTATAATATATTAATAAAATTCTGATTGATTTTATATTGTATATGCAAAGACACGTGTACATCATTCTGTGTTACTCTATTATACATCAATAATATAAAAAACTATTGTAATGCCTTTTATCGAATGGTTAATATCATTAACCATTTAGTATTATATATCGTTAGTGTATTTATTATGCATTGTATTACATAGCATAGTTTATTCGTTATATACTGTTAGTATAAGAACAAATTTACACCGTGAAAAACTAATCGTTCCTCGACTATTTATTTGTATTTGTAAGTTATTTCGCTAGTTACTTAATTATGTGTTATTAATTTTTATATTTGCTAACATCACGCATTTTTTGTTACACGTTTTTATGAATTTTTTTGTTTTTTTTTTTTGATCATTCTAAAATAATTTTTATACAATATATTATCAGTTTTATATCATTATATACTTTTATATTCACCAGTTTTATTTAATACTTAATACCGCTACGCACTACTATTTATTTATTTATTTCGATTTCTTTTCACTTACATTCAATGTTTGATCTTTAAATAAAACATATTTCACTGATTGTATTATTGTTTTGAAAAAAAAAAGAGAAAAGAGATGCTATCGGCTAGTTTCACTCACATCTATGAAAACTTTTAGACACATTGTTCGTAGAATGGCTTGAATGTCAAAGTCGATATCGTTTTCTTGCCATTATTGCTTTGATGTGCGCGCATTTATTTGCATTTAACTGATAATACACCGTATTCAGCATTGAAATACATTAAACTGATATAAATTAAAAACCAATCATTTATTTCTCTCTGCCCTATTAAATTATTTACATAATTTTAACGATTTAAGTGAATTAAAAAAAAACATGTTGCATTATAGTATCATATATATATATTTTTCATATTTCAAGTAACGTGCATTGAAAAACAGAATTTTAAACATTCATTTCTTTTATATTATATATAAATGCCAACTGTAGTCACTCTATAACACTTCTGATAGTAAGTGAGATTTCTCTTTTATAATACAATTTTTAATTGTGACAGACAGCAGAAGTCTTTTTTTGTACTATATACAATTGATAAATATAAGATTAATAATTTCAAAGATTTTCAAGTCTACTTGAACAGCAAGCTGAAACAAACAAGTTATTCCTCACTGAGACACGATGTAATAATAGTTCTCAACAATAGCAAACAAATGAAGTATACTACTATACTCATTAAAGGTTTAGAGATATATTACAGGATAGCCTTATGAATATACTAGTATACTTCACTATGGTAATTACATCTTATTAATTATAAGAAAAACTTTATTTTGAATTTCCATACCTGTATGGGTAACCTTGCGCTTTGTTCCTAAATATTGATAACAACAGACTAAAGAAAATAGCAACTAAACCTGCCCCTATAATAGCAAATATCCGCCTCTTTTTCACATCATCTTTGCGTGATGCTGCTTCGATCATTAAAATCATACCTAAAACCACTGCTCCATCTAATTACATTTTATTAAGGAAAATACCAGTATACCAGTTACTAATTACAATAGCCCACACTGCAAATTTGAATCAGTACTTTTTTGTGAAAAGGATACACAACACCATAACAATATACGTTTCTAGAATAAACTGGCCTTGAGATGAGCTATGTATGTAAGCTACATTCCCACTGGCAGATTTATGTATGAATGGAGGTCCTCTGATGTGATTCCACATTTGACCAGAAATCATTGTAAGCGTAAAGAACTATGAATGAAACCATTTTAGAAGAAGTTACTTACACGAAATATTAATACATGAACTTATAATATTTGTCAAATAATCGTTACCAATGCTCCAAGTCCCCACACTGTTTTATTATAAATAAAGTCTAAGTTATTACGCCTAAGGTACAAGAATCCTCCAATAAGTATTAGCAACATTATTATTGCTACTGTGCCAGAATAATTAGGAGGTCTAAATACTCTAATCTGAAATATATTTTAACAATATTATTAACAATTTTGTTTTTCAACTATAAAATACTTGGGTGTATGGATACCTGAATATCAGTACGTTCGGATATCCACTTTGCAATTGCTTCTGCTCCAAATCCAACTCTTTGAATATCCATGGTATCAGCAGGCTTTGGTTTTCCTTTTGGTGGAAAGTGCATGTACACTGGTGCAGTGTTTAACCGCATCTGTACAATTTTAAGTTTCAACAATATGCATTTTATAGATAGATAAATAAATATGTTATACCTACCATTTGAAACACATCTGATCCTTCATCAAAATCCACGGATGCAAAGAACAATTTTTTAGAATGAGCTTGTAAATATCGGAATGAATTTGCTACTATGACGAATTCATCGTTTGCATGCCTGATAAAATATAAATAACAATTAGAATTAAATGTGACGAATATTAAAAATATGTTAATATTGAATTTACCTGCATATCTGGCACTGTCTTTGAGGTGCCATTGCAGTGAACATAACGATGACAGAATAATTTCTTGGCATAGTTTTAACATATTCTTTGAATCTTGCGCCATTGAATTTGATTACGGGTCTTGTCAGAGCTAGCTCTGTTAATTGTTGTACTCGATCAGATAACGAAGAACCTTGAGTCTAAAACATATTATCATTTTATGTTAAACAGAAAATAAAGATATATATATTTTTGCTTTTAATTACTGTGATTAGAAATATTTATATATGCTGAATTGGTAAACATTGCTTGTTAAGTTATGTTATCAAAAATATATTCCAACATATGCATTTTATCAAATCCAAACATTTCATTCAACATTTTAGCATTCATGACAGGTATTCCAAAAAGAAATGGATTCTTACGTTTTTTACTCGGTACTGACAGCAGACATAATTTAAACTTAAAATAAATGTTAAACATATAAAGAAGTTTTTACAATCCATTGTTCCTGTTGTAAAGTAACATATTACAACCTATTTTCTACTGGGAACAACTACAGCTGTGCCGAAAAAGTAGAAAGCCTATTGGTCTGTGTGATACAACGTGGCATCGCAAAACAGTGATAGCGTGATTTACGAATATGTCAATAATATCGAAATCTTAATAAGTTATTTCGAACAAACTTATCATTTAGAGTATCAGAATTGTTGACCTAACCGAAGAAATAACAAATTCTCAGCATAAAAAATGTATTCCATTCGCCGGTACTTTCAGGGGTGTATGAAAATGTTCTGGTAAAATGTGTCGTACAAAGTAAAATTTTAATACATTTGCAAATTTTTATATATTTGTAATACACTACAAATTGTTACAATACATTATGATATTCGTAATGTAATACAGGATTTTTATAAAGAAAAGTTTAATAGTTCGAACATATAGAATAGGCTCTTGATAGACACCTGACTTCAGTGGATTGGTTGTTTGTCGAATTCGAGTTCTCTAATTCGTCACTCTATTACCGCTAATATTTTTTAATTGCAATAATTAATAAATTCGTTGTTTGAACAAATACTGATAAGGAAATGGGAACATTTTTATATAGAATTATTCACTGAAAATTAATTGGTGGATTTATGAATAGCAATAGTAATACTTATTAAAATCTGCTACAAATTGATGCGTTGAGAATGTACTAAATTATTTATTGATTTTATCAATAATTCTATAGATTACGTAACAAAAGTAATTAGTAGTTCACAATAGTTTGTTGTAAAGTAGTAAAAAGTAGAAAGTATTCTGAAAATCGTCGCAGGTTTTTAAAATTCATATTTTCGCGCGCTGTCTTCGGAAGAGCACCACTGACGTCATCTAGTTGTCAACGACAGAACGTGATACACGTCGCCATCTACTGGCAGTACATGGGAACTAATGAAACTACCTGTTTCAAAAGTGTGTAGTTCACCCTGTTTGCCGAAGAGATGGCGCCACTAGTTCAATTATCTGAAAACTCAATTAATACCGATTTTATAAGCTTAATTCACTATAATATACATTCCTAAGTTAATTACACTTGCATTCCGATGTAATTTGATGTATATTATAGTAAATTAAGCCAGAAAATCGATTAAAAAAAAAATTGAACTAGTGAAGTTTGAATTTCGCGCGCAAACGAGTGGCGCCATCTCTCCGGCGAACAGGGTGAACTACACACTTTTTCAACCGCAGTTTCATTAGTTCTCAAACGTGCCACCAGACGGCGCCATTGGTTCTTCTGGTTCGCCATCTAGCGGCAGAAGATGGGAACTAATTAAAGTACTGTTTCAAAAGTGCGTAGTTCACCATGTTCGCCGGAGAGATGGCGCCACTCGTTTGCGCGCGAAATTCAAACTTCAAAAAGTGCACAACGGTGAGTCTATCGAAATTCGTTTAACTTTTTAAACTAATTTTTTTAGCAACAATCTACTATAAACTATTGCTAACTTTTTTATTATAGAATGAACCAGTTTTCTTTCAAAAATAATCATTTATTTGATTTGTATTATTCATCGATTTCTGCTAAATAAATATAGTGCTGATGCTTTATTAAGCAGGTGGGGAGCTCAGCCGCCATTTTTCCCGAGGAAATCAGATTTACCTGTACGCTCACCTCAGCAACGGCCGATAAAAGAGTATCATGCGATAAAATCGGTCAGTAACGTCCACGTATCCGTTGAGATACCTGGTCGTTAATATCAAACAAACCCAGTTCATACAAAATTACACAATGGAGCGTGGAATCTCTATATTCTTCCTGATCGTCCTTGGAGCAGCGACATGCAACGGTGACATTGATCCTGCGTCCTACCGTCTTCCCGAAGAGGTCGTCCCAGTTTCCTACGACCTTTGGATACTAACCCGCCTAGCCGCCGACAATTTCACCTATCAAGGTCACGTGGACATAACATTGAACGTCCTTCAAACAACAGACACTGTCATCCTCCACAACGATGGTCTCCTCATTCGAAACAACTCTCTCCACCGAGGAACAAATAAATCAATCGATTCACTCGTTCCAATCACCACCACAACTTATAACAAACAACGACAATTCTATATTCTGGAATCCTCGAAACTGGAAGTCGGTGTTTATATATTGACACTGGACTTCGAAGGTCAAGTCCGGGACGACTTGTTCGGATTTTACAGAAGCAGCTATGGGCCTCATGATATTAAGTACATATGTGTTTCTTATGATAACTTATTTTTAGAATGATAATTTTAGAGAGTTATTTTAATTAGCTACATGGGAGTCACTCAGTTTTCACCGGTACATGCACGGAAAGCGTTTCCTTGTATGGACGAGCCACATTTGAAAGCGACCTTCATCCTCCATGTTGGTCATACTGGGGATCAGACGGCGACTAGTAATACTGTGGCTGAAAGTACTGTACATATGTAGTAAGTTTTGGTATATGTTTTTTTGGTGTTTGTTATTTGATGTTATTATATAATGTTAAGTTACGTTATTTTTGGGGGTCTTCCAAAAATTGTTAATATTAAGGAAATGGAAGTCAATAAGCGTTCTATGCGTTACCATGGTACCTATTATGTGTGTGGCGCACGTTGTATATTTAGAGGTCATTCACGTTAGGGAGCAGTGTACTTTCACGTTTCCAAATTGCTACGTTCTTAAATCCCCACGTCCCCAAATTTCCACGTCTCCAATTTGCTACGTCCCCAAATTCCCATGGCCCCAAATTTTCACGTCCCCAATTTGCTACGTTCCCAAATCCCCACGTTCCCAGATTCCCACGTCCCCTAATTCCCACGTCCCCAAATCCCCATGTCCCCAAATCCCCACGTCCCCAATTTGCTACGTTCCCAAATCCCCACGTCCCCAGATTCCCACGTCCCCTAATTCCCACGTCCCCAAATCCCCATGTCCCCAAATCCCCACGTCCCCAATTTGCTACGTTCCCAAATCCCCACGTCCCCAGATTCCCACGTCCCCTAATTCCCACGTCCCCAAATCCCCATGTCCCCAAATCCCCACGTCCCCAATTTGCTACGTTCCCAAATCCCCACGTCCCCAGATTCCCACGTCCCCTAATTCCCACGTCCCCAAATCCCCATGTCCCCAAATCCCCACGTCCCCAATTTGCTACGTTCCCAAATCCCCACGTCCCCAGATTCCCACGTCCCCTAATTCCCACGTCCCCAAATCCCCATGTCCCCAAATCCCCACGTCCCCAATTTGCTACGTCCCCAAATCCCCACGTCCCCAAATCCCCGCGCCCCCAAATCCCTATATCCCCCTACCCTACGTCCACCCCTTCAGAAAGGGTAAAAGGGTGTCTCACAAACACTACCCCTCCCATCATAAGTCCGTTGGGTTCGCGATTCTGAACAACTTTTCCCTTTACAAAAATTGAATCTGAAGCTCCGTTCTCGAGTTATTAACAAAAAAACACCGATCAATCAGATGTCCCCATGTCGCTGCGTCCTCATATCCCTACGTCTCCAAATCGCTGCCTCACATGTTCACGTAATGCATACCAAATTCCCAGTCTCTTACTATGAAAGCCTTGACACTCATTCTCTTCAAGTTTCGAAAGAATCGACACCACAACTACTACATAACAATCACTCTTTCAGCGATGACCTCTACGTGACGACATTCTCCCCAACACCAAAGATGTCCACATACCTAGTAGGCTGGGCCATTCACGACTTCGTGCAAGAAACCTCAGCCTTCTCCGATAATCTGAGCATCTGGACCCGGAAGGCCATGCGGCGTCACGGAACCACCAGCCTCTATCAAGGTTCATCCCTGTACATGTTTCTGACGAAGTACCTCAAGGTTCCGAACCCGGTCCCCAAAATGGAGCAGATAGCTTTAAATGATTTCAACTTCAACGCCATGGAGAACTGGGGTATGATCACGTACAGGGAGTCCGTGCTGCTGTACGAAGGTGGCGTGACTCCGACAAAGAAAATGGTGGACGGATTCACTACGATGGCTCACGAATATGCTCACACGTGGTTTGGGAATTTGGTCACGCCGAGATTCTGGGATGTGGCGTGGTTGAAGGAGGGATTTGCCTCGTATTTCCAGTATTTCGCTTTGTCGAGGGTGCAGCCGACTTGGGGGATGATGGATAAATTTGTTGTGGATATGCTGCAGCCTACTTTGTTACTGGATGCTGAGAACCATACTAGGAGTATGGATGGGAAGGATGTGGGCAGTCCTAGCAGCATCATGGGGGTGCTGGATTTTGTTTCTTATAAGAAGGGTAGGTTCTTGGTTAGGTTAGGTTTAAGGTTAGGTAGGTTAGGGGTTTTTTTTTAAGGGAGAGATGAAATTAGAGGAGGAAGGAATTTTTTAAATATTTAAGAGCGAAAAATTTTTGTATGTTACTGTGTATTATATTAGAACTGAATAATTGGAGGTTCATTTTGGGGAAATTGTTAAGAGGATAACAGATTAAAATTTGAGATGTTGTATTTAAGGGGCGTCTGTGATTCGAATGCTCTCCCACGTGATGGGGGAACCAGCCTTCCAAGATGGTCTGCAAAATTACTTGAAAAATATGTAAGTATTCACTAAATACTTATAAATGTTGAAATATGCTTCTACATGGTTCTGTTGTTAACATTAAACGAGAAGCAATAAGAAAATGATAATAGGCTATCTGCAATTTTGCTGTATCTGTAGTTTAGTTAATATGTTTTTAACTTAAGATAAGCTCCTTTAACAGTAAGTACCAGTGCTGATAAAGAAGATATAAGAATTAAGAGTCTGGTGTTTGAGACACGTGACAAGTGTTTCTACTTAATAAATTGTTATAAGTGTTACTTCTGTGGTATCTGTTATCGAATCATGATTGATCTTACTTTATTTTTATGCGATTTGATAGGGGAGTTTGCGAAGATGTAATTCAACCGAATTTTATGTTCCTGAATTGCTACGTCCCCAAATTCCCCACGTTTCCAAATCCCCATGCTTCAAATTCCCATGTTCCCAAATTCCCCACGTCTCCAAATCCCCACGTCTCCAATTTCCCCACGTTCCCAAATCCCCACGTTCCCAAATCCCCACGTTCCCAAAAT